CAATGCTTTATTCTTCGGGGAGAATAAAAAAGCAAGATAGTTAACAAAATTCTGCTCCATTGGGAACTAGCGAGCAAACTGTGTGAAGAACTGGATTTATTTATTTATTTAATGTGTTAACAATACTTGCCTTCAACACAAATAGAAACATACGTCATAAATTCAACTTCATAAGCCAATAAAAAATGTACGAAAGTATCTAATAATAACTCTGGCGGGGTGTGTTTGTTTTGATTGCCAGTTGGATCAGACCGAACGAATAAAACTAAAAAAATAGGAGATCGTTCTAATGCTCAACAAATAATTATTTAATTTCGTTACTTACTTGGCTCAATTATTTTGAATACATACTACTCCAAGAGTTCTTTCGCGAGAGCTGCTAATTGTTCATAGATTTTTAATCATTTTAAAGCTATTTCCAAAAGGATCTAAAGTTGTGTTTTAATATATTTATGCAAGGAATCGTCCTGCAACGTTGGCTATTACAAAACAGTTAGCTACAAGGACGCCAAACTTAACAAGCTTATAAACAAAATATAAATACTAACAATTACAATCTTAAAACCTTCTTTTGAGCCGAGTTATTGAGCGTTCATCAGGTAGGGGCCTGGCCAGCCCGTTGCGGTGGTTCAATAACCGGTCGTTGTAGCGGCTAGTATGACGGTTGATTTCCGTTTCAACGATCGCCAGATTAAGATCATTGGACAGTGTTGTACCCCGAATGTACCAGTCACACCCCGTAATAAACTGTAAGGGAACCGCACCATTGAGTAACTCAGAATGTTATTTAAGATTTGCTAAGATTTTCTTTTCTTAAATTTGGCAGTCTGTCCAAACACAATATGCTTACACCGCTTTGATTTGATAACTTCTGCCAGGCAGGCAAATTATGGAATCTTGGAATTTGTTTTGAAATCTTGCCATTTGATAAATTAAATGTTTTTGCATTAAAAAATAATATTCTTATCTCTAATAAGAACATTTCTACAAGAAGGAATCAAGGCTAAATTTACTTGATCGCTTCCTAGTTGTATTCTTTATGGGTGTCACTGACATACGCTCCAATTCCACATATCTACGACACATTGTAAGCATCACATAATCAAAACAAAACTAAACTGAAACAAGGTATGCAAATATCGTGTCCTCTTGCTTCAAATGCCAAATGTTTTCCATTAAATTACATGTGGCTAGGCGGTTGTCACGCCCATCTTTCGCCCCCACTCTCATTATGCCTCATGAACCAATTCGCTAGGAACTATGTGCCGGCATGGCCACAAAAGTCATGAAATTTAGTGTTGGCGGCATAATTAGACCATCAATTGCGGAAAATTCATGACAGTCATGAATGGGGCGTCTGTGTGACCGAGAAACCGCAGAGTTGGATGCGAAAACGCACACACACACACAACCACACACCCACATACGTACGTATACAGCAAAAATAAAGTAATATAGCCCAAAAGCATAAACTCATCAGCGTCGGAAATGCTGACAACGACAACAGTACCAACAACAACAACAAAACAACAACAAGAGACGGAAAACTAAAAGCCTCGCAATGGCAACAGCGGCTAAAACAAAACTACCAGCAACCGACCAAGCAGTGATGACGACGACGAGCCACAGTTTGGACGCCGGGCCGATGCTTGGCCGACTGTTGCTTACTGTAGATATGTAAGGATAACAACAGCACCAACAGAAACAGCAGCAACAGCAGCAACAACAACAGCAGATGCGCGCCATTTTGAAAGCAAATGCAAAGCACAAATGCTACTTTTGTCGCTCATAAATATTCACTTGAATATATTTCGAGTTTTGGCTTTTGTTCCTTTTATTGTTGCCCACTCGCTCGCTTTCATTTTCAGTTTTAGGCAAAAGGCGCCAAAGTGTGAAAATGTTCCAAATTTGTGAGTGTAGGTGGTAAGGGTTTATGCAGGGATGTGGGGGGCACGGAAAAGGACCAAATGCGTTAGCGTCCAGCATTTTTATGACTATTTTTCGTGGCTGTGGCCAACGGACTGTGAAAGTTAAGCGCGCGAAGCTCTTTCTGTGGATGTGAATGCGTTTGGTGTTGTGTGTATGTGTGTGTGTGTGTGGGTGTGCTCATAAATTACGTGCGAATTTTCTGTAGAGAAATTAAAAGCACATTGCAAAACCAAAACACTTAAAATATAGCACCCACACAAGCAAACAAACATATTTACAGCCGCACATACACTCATCAGGCGTTCTTCTGACACATGCTGAGCCGTTTATACGCACCAGGAATTGCATGCAAATACAGTTATTATTATATCAACAGCCTTCCATAGATTTCTTCCCAGTTCTCTTTCTAATGCATACCTAAGTATGAAATGTATTTCACCGATAATAGCATATAAGTAATGGATGCACGGTTTATTGGATTCGCTTTCGCGAAATGAAAATATGTGGTAAATCTATGCCACAAATAGTATACACATCTTAGGAAAGAAAATTCCGCAATGCTGCTTTCTTTTATTTCCATTCCAAATCTTTTAGGATTTGCACGATTTGTTTCGATTGCCAAAGTCGTACAATGTCTAAAAATTGAGGTTAGTGCCGGGCATAAACATCCCAACAGACATGCACCTCTGGCGCTCGTCCTTCAGAGTGCACTCTAGACGTCGGCACTGCTGGTGGCGTGTATGAAGAGCAGCCCAGCCGAGCATTGCGCAGCGCTCTTTTTAGTAAAATTACACGCTCTAATCCACAACTTTTGAGTGGGCTTGTGGGCTTTAGAACTCGCAAAAAAACGCGTCTAGTTGAGTAATGGCCGAGATGGGGAGACCATTCCTCTCTAAAACTTGAAAGGCGACATTTCGTAACATGCAAACAGGCGGCAGCCAGTAGATTTCTCTTCTTCTTCTTCTTGTTCTTCTCTTTTACGCCTGCAGACACTGCTACCCCAAACAAGCCCAAAATAAGCAACAAGAAAAATACATAAACTGGTAAGCATGGATGTATGCACGAGTACGAATTTTTACCCCCACAGCAGCAGCATAAACATCAGAAGCAAAAAGTATGCAAAACATAATTCATGCTGATGGAATTGTATGCATGAATATATGAAGCGCTAGCTGTTTTGGCCGCATCCTCTCCCCCTCCCCCACCCCCTCTTCGGGACATCAGCCACCGACCGTGCTATCCTGACGTCAACAGCAGCAGCAGCAGCAGCGGAGAAAAATCATATGCATCACGTGATTAAACGCGTCATGCATAAAAATTGTGCGACTCCATGTATGTAGAGTGCGATGGGGCTGGGGATGTGAAGCCAAACAACAACAATCACAAAATCAAGCATGGGGCAAGGGTTAGAGTAAGAAAAAATTAGACACTGCACATCATGTTTACTTGGCTTGACTTCACAAGCTTTGAATTTTGCACAAACAGCTCGTGACCAGCACTGGCATCAACAACAACAATGCCAGTAAGCAAAATGCCTCGGTTACAAATTTTACACAATTTTTTCTCATTTAGATGGAAAAATGTTGCAATGCTGTGGCTGACTGAGATGAATCTGAGCAGCACGTGCTAAAGAGGGAAGATGGCAAAAGGAGGATGGATCATTGTATTGTATTTTAGCATCAGAGTATGAGTGTGTGTATAATGTTGCTTAAACGCTTAGAGTCATGTGTGTGTATGTATGTGTACCCCATCTGAACATTTAAGTGAGTTATTACTTTAAAAGGGATACAAGCAAAATAGAATAAAACATAATATTTGTTAATAATATAAGCTTTCAAAAAATTTGAGGCAAAGACACGTCAGCAATACGGAAACTCAACAGATTTAATATGTTTTTTCATCAACCTAAAAAGTATACAAGCCCTACAGTGTTTTAATTATTAGTAAGTTTTTCCAGCCTAGAAAATATTTATTTGATTTTAAAATCATAATTTAGATGTAGTCGAATCAGTCTTATCAGTCTTATTTGATAATGGAATCTCATTGTAGGAAAACTAAATTAGCAAAGAAGTATACGCAACATCGTAGTACAAAAAACCTTTATATTTTAAACTTCAAGTATACTTATTTGTTCAATTTTTCGTTATCTTGTGCTATATTCTGTCTATGCACAATATATATTATTTTAATAGTGTAAAAATCTTTCAATCCGTTGATCAAAAAACGAATATTTAATTTCTTCTTCCCTACATTACACTTAATACAATGCCCTTCTTTCAGTTTGTTTAATTTAAATAAGTACTAGAGCAGAGGAAAGTGTACTTTAATGGGTACAAGTATTTCAAATTAGCTTAGGGCCTGACCCAACTCTGGCCGCACATACATATGTGTCAGAGAACTTCTTTTTCACTCTTTTCGAAAAACTTTCGCATACTTTTCTACGTCGCCGTGGAAATTTATTACTGGAAGTTATATCATCGCACGCAGAAATTATGTCAGGCAAAGCTAAAGTTAAACTTTAACTACTTTTCTACGACTTTTTGCAAACCCTAAAAAAAAAAAAAATAATAAAAAACTCAAGAAACTTTCTTCATTTGTCGCAGTTCCTTGGTGCCCATGTACCCTGGCTTAGTTGATTATTTGGTGCAGCCTACAAATATGCCAAGTGCCACAAAATGTGACAAATTTAGCTGCCCGGCCAGCGGAGCTTAATGCCTGCCCATGCGACGCAGTAAGAGGAAAACAGACCAAGTGACACATATTTAGTTTCTTTTAGCATACTTTCATTCGCTGCGCAGTGCGACGCCAAGCTCACAAAAAAAGAACTTAAAAATAAAGCCAAATTATTGTGGACACGCGCTGTATGCAGTGCCAAGCTTTCTCTATGAATATGTGCCTTGAGGCCAAGCACAAACAAAACAAATAAAAATGTTATGAGCGAACTCCTCCGACTGTGGACTGCTCTTTAGTTAGTTAGATTCTAAATTATTTCTAAGCTGCTGCTGCTACGAGTGAATCCTTGATTTCAAGAAGACTTTAATTGGAATGCTACGTTACCAAAATTATTCACATTTTCTTGTATTATTTATAGAATATAATTCATAGAATTTTGTAAAATTACATTCAATTGATAATGGTGCCTACCGGAAATACGACAATCTTGCGCTTCTTTTTAATTGAAAATGTTTCGTAGTGATAGCCATTGACAACTCTCGCTGCATTACGCTGCGCTTGGACCAACGGCATGACTGGACCCAGATCCACATTATAGCAATTTATTAGGATAATACCGTAGGGTGTCATTCCTACAATATCGTACACAGAGGACACTCTCTTATTCCAAATGCTGACGGATTTGAATGGCGTTTTGATCTCCTTTCGATGCATCTGGAACGCCTCTCGGATTGTGCGAAAGGTATGCATTGTAATGACGCCGGTGGGTCCGTTGGCAATATGTCCATGCGTGAAGTCTGACACCACCATGGGCGTGGCACTGGAAGGCACCAGCTTTGGATCTCCTGTGTAGATTTTACCCTTGAGGTATTTTAGCCTAGTCAATGTGCCCATATACGCAGGATGCTGGGCTATTGCAGGATTTAATCGCCTCATGCGATGAACTGTTCGCTCCATAAATGGCTCCGCCAAGCCTTCTTGGATAACCACCGTGGCCACGGAGTTGGCTGCAAACGGATTGTGCAGTGACTCCACTAAGTGATGTCGAGCACTGTTGGTATCACCTTCGTCGAAAACAATCATTAGACACGGCTGGTTCCATAAATAATGGATTGTCTCCTTAGCTTGCACAGTATGCACCTCCTCCTTTTTAGGCATTTTAAGTTCACTGCCGTCCATCGGAGAATCGGTATTAAGTCCGTCTTGTAATTTTTCAGATGAGGCGGCAACTTTACCAATAGTTTTCACAATTGGCAGAGAAAACTCTTCATTTTTCTCATACTTCAGATCATTAAGAAAGGCGTGTGTGATTACAGGCAATTTAGGTGGTCTTCGAACTTTAGCAGATTTGTCAGATTCTTCACGTGACATCCCGAATAAAAAGTGTAACGCTTTACCAAATGCTGATAATTTGTTTTCCCTTGCGATTTTTCAAAATTACATCAATTAATATATAAGGAATAAGGAAATAAAGCTTTGTTTTTCTAAAGAAATAATAAAACTACATACAATAAATATGAACTGACAGACAATGCTTGGGGACTTTTGAAATGTTTACTTATTTTCGCACATTTGGTGTTTAAAATTATAGTAATATTTTTTCCAAGGGTCGTACATCACTATTCATTGTTGTAAACTGTAAGTTTGTAAATGGAATATAAGTTGTGAAAAATGTTTATGTGTGTATCTTCTAACAAAAGCGAATCTTCATATTCAGACTCAACTTAGTCCGATCTTATTATCTTACTATATCGTATTTGTTCTGGGATGCCTTAAGTTAATGAATTGATGTTCAATTCATTTCGGTTCTTTACAAAAATATGTATTCTGTATTTTGTAACATTTTCTGTATGAATGCTTTTTGTCCGCAAATCATATCTAGAGGCAAATATTTTGCTCAAGAAGTACAGTTTATTTATGACCTTAATTGGAGTTGAAATTTCAAAGCATTTTCATCTTTCAAATTTAATAATCGATAGTCATTATTTATGCATTATAATTATTTGTTATCTTAAATACAGATATTGTGATAATGAGGGTAGAGCGATTTATATGCAGATAGTTTTTATGGATTGTGGCATACTTGTTACATACATTGCCAAATCTTAATATACTCTGGGAGTGTAGTGTATTATAAGTCATGGAAAAAGGCGGTGCACAAAAGCTGAATTCAGCTTAAGTTGACGCAACTACTTGAATTAGGCGCAATTTAAATATAAAGTCACGCTCGCTTAGTTTTTCGTATTCTAATGCCAATCTAGGTTAGCACAGTGCTCTTTATGCTCCAAATTGTAGGCACAGCATATCCTCTATCTAAGTTGAAAGCTATGGCGGACAGGTTGTTTTTATGTCAATTTTTTATAACCAAAAATCATACAATAAAGCCAGCATGCAAATATAAAGTTGACATTCCTTTATTGAACCATAAACCTTGAAGCTAATTTTCTGGTGAAATATTTTATACAAAGACAGTCATACTGAATTATTGAAAGTAAATCTAAAAGTTTAACCTCTTAAACTGATATTTGAAGCAGAAGTGTGAAGCAAAACCAAATATTAAAATTCACTAATTGAAAATTAACTATTTTTCTCATTGCTTGTTTGCATTATCAAAACATCGATTTTTTTCTCTTCTTTTTTGACTAAAAAGTTTGTGTCACAAATCAGTAAAGAAAATTGCAAAAACATAAGTAATTCATTTATTGGCAACCAAAAAATTGATGTAAAGAACTTATATAAAGTCCACCTTTTGTCGTCTGTACAAATGATGTCCATCGCCCCCTGTTAGTGTTTCTTGGATCAGATGTGGATGCCATTTCGCGCATTTTCCGAAGCCTTTACTTCCGTTCTTGTTCCGTTTTGATGGCTCTAGATGTGGATGCCCTTTCGCAAAGACCTTGCAAACAATATTCACATTCATCGGCATTTTCAGCTGCATTTTTTTGAATTCGATTTTACTTTTTTATTTGTTTACGAATGAAACACTGACAAACAGAGTAAAAAGTGGCTGTCAAACATATTAAAATGAGCAGAAATAAGCCAGAAAACGATGGTTGATTGGATTATTTTGAATATTGCCACTAAATACATACATACATACATGCATACACATATACTTCATTGTATATATATATATATATAGATTATACCTTTGATCCCTAAATTGCCTGTCAATTAAATTTTAGTTTTAAATTCTTTAAGTAAGCAACTAAGCTTGAATATTTACTTACTACTTACCCCTGTACATACATTCGTACAGAAAATTCGTTGAATCATAGTTTACTTAGTACATAGGTACAATAGTAAAAGTCATTTTAATAAATACAAACATAGTAGGAAAGCAAGATTAGAGCACCAACAAAGCCCTGCTAAAAGTTTTTCGGACAAAATCAGCGAAAGCGCCAACAAACTATTAAAAACTTTGCAGCAAGAAATATGTAGTAAGAATAAAATGTTGTGCAGATACTTGTAGATATATGTGGATATTTGTCAGAACTGTGTCATCTGGTGGTTCGTTTCGGTATTGCAATAAGCTTAGCAATCGTATTTATTAATGCTATATATAAACACTTAAAAGTGTCCCGTCATGACCTCTGAAAGACTGACTATCTCTCTTTTTTTTTGGAGGACCTGAATATCGTTGGAAACTTAACTAATTTGCCGAGTTTTACACGAACAAGGACATCTTTAATGTAATTTAATTCACATTAAGTCCTCTATTAAAAGGTCATAACAACATAACTATATGTTGGTATAAACAAGGTAGTATTTTATCATACTTGTACTAGTTCATTTGCCGACATAGTTCTGAGCTGCGAACTGGATTCACACATTACTCTGTAAAGGAGATCGAAAAAGAGGGGGTATGGAAGAGAACTGGTATTTTAAGACATTTTGTGTTGTGCTTATGCAGTCAGGAACGTGGCATGGTCGCCATATCTGAGGAGTGCCAAAAAGCAAAAGTTTTTCATACTCACTGACTGACCGACTGTCTCACTCTCTGTCTGACTGGCCGGCTGGCTTGCTGCAAGTGCATACAATGTTTGTGCTGATTGCAGTGCAGCAAATAGCTTTTGATTTCACAAATCAAAACTTTCTTGTGCGCGAACGTGATTTATGCTTGCTGCATAGCCAGCTAGCTTGAGGTATGGGGTCGGGATTGAAGGCGTGGCTCGAATGCAACGCCATGCACGAGTGCGCGTACACAAAAAACTTAGCCTTGTCCAGGACATAGTCGCCGACAAACACTGGACAAAGTTGCTATTTTGTTTGATTTTAGTTGCCAATGCGTAGGGCGGTGGCAGCGATGGCGACCACTGACGTCCGTCTTGGACGACTGCACATTTTGCACAAATTTCACTTCCATTCTTCAGTGTATTTGGCGATGCATATGTAATCAGAATGGAAATTTCATCAAGTCTTGAAAACAATTCATGGCTGCTTAGGTTCCAATATAAAAAATTTGTCAGTACTTCTATAACGAACTCTAGGAAGCCTTAAAAGGGAGCCCGTATTTGTGCTCATTTTATGGCTATACTCTTTTTGGTTAGCCTCGCACGTGAATTTCCTTTATTGCACTTTCATTTAATTGCCTGCATTGCAAACTTTTCTTACACTTGTTAACGAAAATAACATTGAATACTTTATGGTGCTGCAGGTGTTGCTACTGTAAGTTTGTAGGATTGCGTCCACTATTAACTAAAATTCATGTCTAAACGTCTGCGAGTCATAAATAAAATAAAATAACAAGCACAAGTACAAGTACAAATACAAATACAAATACAACAAGCACCCACACCCATTCAGCCTCAGCTGCTGCTCTAGTACCCGTTACAATAATAACAGAAGCAGAAAAAGCAACACAATCAACACGTTTGCTACACTGAAGCTGTCGTGCATTTTAAGCTGCAGCGCCAAAAGTTTTTGGACAACGCGCTTTGCGGTAGATGCAACGCAGCTAACTGTTTATACAAAACACAACAGCAACAAAAACAACTACAACATCTACAACATTTTATAGCATACTTTGCAGGTGGCTAGCAATGGCAGCAAATTTAGGCTAATTAGTTGCGCTTAAACGCGGCTTATGTGCAACTTAATGATGCCTAGCGCTAGCTTGACGCACACACACACACGAAAAGCTTGCAACCTCATATTTCTGTTACAGTTTCCACTGTAATTACAGCTGTTTGTATGTCGCAATTACATAGGTCTGAGAAAAGATAAAGACGAAAAATAATAAGCAACGCTATAGTCCTTCTATTCGACCATAATATTCTCTGTCTTTGCACTGAGGACGTATTATTAAAATAAAGTCTTTTTAAAAATATCACAATTTTTGAGTCCACCATACGAGTTCACGGTATTTTTAATAGAATACATATAGAGAAGTTATTGGATATGAAGTTGTTCTATTATTCATTCATTCGACAAAGTTAAACTTCTCAAAATCTTACTATTATTATATTATATATGTTATAAACGACCACTGATGTACACCATTTCAAATTATTACAAGCATTATTAAATAAACATTAAAGATAAAAATTAAATACACACGTTTATCATAACATTAACATCTTTTAAGCAATAAATGTATATATGTATAATACAAGAAAATAAAAATGTTAACTGTGCAGGTTTCGTACAAATATTTATAAATACTCACTGCATTTAATATGTGAAACATTATACAAGTATTTTAAAATGGTGGAAATATACATTTTGGAACCTTTTATACAATTCTAAGTCATTTAAAATCATGTTCGTTAAACATATCATTAGAATTAAAATATTTTTCTATTAAAACATATTTAAAAGCATTTAAGAATCAACGATTTTAATAAATTTTGTATTTCTCTCTACTTATAAAATTATTAGATAGATTAGATGCGATTTCATGTGTTCGATTCCACATGTTCTTACATTGCTACTTACTCACTCTCAAGTATGGGGTATTCAAACAACCTAAGATGTACTGCCAACATTCTTACGTAAAAGCCAACAAAAATATGGCTGATGTACAAAAATAATAGAATGCCACAAATATGCAAAAAAAAAGCTGCACTGCCAACGGAAACATGCCAAAAATAGCGACTCCCATCCCCGTGGCTTTGAATGCTCTTGGCGCTTTCCGTCATGGCCTAGACAGCCACCTCCTGTCATCTTATTGAAGCGTAAATGAGACATTTGCGACGCTTGTTTAATTAAAATAAATTTTAATTAAATTAAAAATGTGTGTTTTGGTGTTTGTGTATGGGAAAGTACATGGCGCCACAACAACAGCAACAATGGCCATGGCTTATGTAGACAAACTATAAGTATACTATATACGCAGGCATTTTACATTAAAATTGTTGGAATAGTTTTGGCCACCAGCTCGCTTCCCCGTGCTTAAACTCACTCAAAGATTTTCACAAAACTGTCACAAGCTTTCAACTAAACACAGTTGTTGTAGACAGCATCTAGAAATTTATACGTGTATGTGTATAAACATACATGCTTATATTTAAAGCAGCACTAAGAAATTGCCTTTCTTTTTCTTGAACATTTGTTTTTAAGTCTTTCAGGTGCCAAACGTGGTTAGCCTATCTTAAATAACCAATATCATATAAATTAATTATACCAACAATTTGATTAATTGTCAATTTATGTTTACCTGCTCATCTTGCAGCTTGTTGTTGTTGTTGTCAGTTATTTTTCCTTAATTGTCTTAATGTGTACATGCATAATGGATTGAATAAATGTAAGTTGTCAGAAGAGCTTTGTACTATAAGAATACATTTCTTAAATGCAACCGTATACATAATGAAATGTCAACCTATCAACAAAAGATTTGTAAAAGAAAGACAGTCTGTTAAGAGAACGAATACAATAAGGCTTCGGATGCAGCGTCATTTGCAAAATATAAATACCTTTACGACACATTTTAAAGAGAAATACGTGTAAATGTTTTATTTCTCTTAGTCATCAAACAATTGCTTACTCAGTGGAAGTTTCATGTCATTTGCAATTGCCCTGATTTGAGTTCGGGCCCTCGAGTGACGCGTGCGAGTCTGTAAAGCAATTCAATTAAATGCTTTTGCTTAAAAGCAAAGTTTTTCATTTAATTGCCAAACAGCAGTAGCGAAATGTATTCCCTTGCTTTTAATTTATTTCCTGCACTGTCCATCAACTGATGCTTCTGGCGTCCCGTTTTATTGGATTTAGGAAAGTGAAAGCCAGCTCCAAGGCAAACACAGCGGGGCGAACCATGTGTTTGGGACGTAAGCTTTATTTCTATGTATGCAACTTTTGTGAAAGAGAAAACACACAAAAGCTGCGCAATGCACACGCTAATTGCCAAAAATAAATGCAATTTAAGTTATCTAGTCAAATTTTATTACAATTAAAAGAAGAATCTGCGTACACAAAAAAATCCACAATGAAATTTTTTTGGTTGTGCAGGAGTCCATGAAAAATGCATATTTGAGTTTAACCGACAAACAAAAGGGCAACAAAAATTCCAGCAGGCAGACATCTAGATGTGCGCACAAACAAAAGAGGCCGTGATGAACATGCCAATGTATGAGAGCCGTGCATAAATACAATTCAAAGTTGCGTCGATTATACGTAAAAGCTAATGTGGAAACGATATCACTGTCCGGAAAGGGACTGAATCAAATGTGTAATATTACTCAGAGTGATCCTGTGCACAAACCGCTTCATTCGGTATATATTATATTGTAATACTATTCAAGTGCAACGACAGTTCATAAAGGCACTATCAACAGTCACAAAAAAAAAAAAATCACGAAGGTCAGGGCTTTTTTAAATGTTTGCTTGTTGAATAAATCCTTTTTAAAAATTGGAAATTGTGCATAAAACAGAACCAAATTGGTCATTTTTTTAAACATTGCCGTAATAAATAAAATAGAGCTCAATATATTTATTTGTCTATTGTATGGTGTATTTCTTCGAGTAGACTCTTAAGAATCTGTTCTGATGAAATCAACAAAACAAATATGTATTTAAATGTTCAAAATCCGCAAAATATATTTATATGTACTTTTAAAAAATAACACAGTGGATGAAATGTTGTTATAGTATTTAATAATAATAGTATTTATTATTATTTGAGCTATTTGTGAATACAAAAGGATTCATTTAAATGCCTGTTATATTTTGTATTGCAGATGCATTTATGCAAAGCCCTATATGTACTCGTATGTATGCATGTATATATAAACAATCACGTGCAGTACAGCTTTTTTCATTTGTCCGCCGGCGCGCGCTGAGCCGAAAAGTATGCAACAATAAATTTCACTTTGAGCGCGCGCATGTTACGCTTTTCATTATGTTTGAACGAACCTTCGAAATAACAATACCGAATACAAAATAAAAATACTTGCAAACTAAAAACAGTTTGCTTGCCAATTTTCTATCAATTTTGCAAGTCATGTGCTAGTTTATGGCTTTGTATTGATATTGCAATTGAATGCGGGGGGTTGATTCAGTCTAAATGTACGCTCTGTCAACAGCCGCCATTTCGCACTTTACTTCCCAAAAGAAAAAAGGCAATAAATTTTATGTCAAGTGAGTTTAACCTCGCCTATTTATTTTTTACCAAGCTCGCTGGATTTTTATTGCCACTCAATTGATTTAAATAGAGTCAGCTATGTTAACCCACTGTTAACTAACAGTAACACTACTGTACTGCTACAGAGCCCCATCAACGCTGAAGCTTAAAAACTTTATTGCCACTTCCAACTAATTTAAATATGTTTTGGTATGTTACCTTTATGCTAACTAACAGTGAGTACCGCTTTACCCCCGTAGCACCCACGGCTGACTCAGCAAATTGGCAATTTTATTGCCAGACCACTTGAAACCAAAGATAACTTCAGGCCGATTGCATCTCATAGTTCAATTTTTGCCCAGTCCTATCAACAAAAAGGCTTTGTCCATTGTCATCTCATCACATAGATAAGCTGCACCTGCATTTTGTTGCTGTCAGCTGCAATTGTTTTGTGCTCTGGAAAATCTGAGCAATGACAAGATGTTCGAGGCAATTTTAGATACGAGTAGTTTTTGCTTTTTCCGCTGCATGAACTAAAATCGTTTCTCGTTTTTGTCTTGTCTTTTTCACGAACAATTTTTTTTTAAGATAAAATGTATTTTTGATTTTATTGACAACTGCTTTTCTGTACCAAGTCAAGCGTGGCAACCAGTTCTAGTTGCAAGGAAGCCATAGCAATGTGTTGGGTGGGCAACTGAAACCGAAGCTTTTGTTGCATAATTAGTTAATATGGTATATGCATGTGCTAAGAGTACTAGGCTTATGAGTTCGTTGTCTAGTTTTTTGGTTCATGTGACACATCAAATAAATAAACAAGTATGAAATAAATAAGCAATTGGAACTTCTTTAAAACTGTTTAAGTGTCTACCATTGGTGATTTTGCCTTAATATATAAAAACGTATTACGTATTTTTAGTACCCTATACTTATGGATAGATAGCTATTCTTTATCAGTCACCCAATAACCATTGGCTAGTGGATTAAGCAAAAATGTGTTGAGCACGCTAACACTTCAATTCAATCATATATTCAGTGATATTTAATACTCAGTAAATATTTGTACATACGATTATTTTGCGATAGTCAACAATTCTGTTCTAGTACTTACTCGTACATTCTGAAGCCAACTACTTGTATATTCGCTTTAGTGAGCGCATGCCGTAGCACAAAATACATTTTTACGCCAGTTAGTTTTCCATGCCCTGGTACTATGCACAAAGAAATATGAAAATAATCCGCTAGTGTCAGCCGAGAGATTAGTGACAACAGCGAAAGCCGCAAAACGAAATGAGATTTTGGTTTTGTATCAAATTTCTACAAGCATAGCCTGGAAAAAATAGTAAATGCTGAAATAATAAGTAGCCGTCGCAGTTAAATGAAAAAGAAGCAACGCACAGATAAAGCGACAAGTGCAATGTACGCATAATCTGAAAGCAACTACTTATACACGTATAGAAACGAACACAAGTTGCAGACAATTCCTAATGAGTGGAATTTACTTATAAAGCCGCTACGATCTAGTGCAGAACTACATAAACATTTGCTGAACAATAAAGGTGATCAACGTACATATACTATTGCAATATATTAAAAGTGATTTGGCGGGTCCAAGGCAAAGTCAATCGATGAAAAGACCCATGAACTGCACAATCGACAAAGATGCCGACTTCTATCGCTCTGAGAGCGAGCATCACAGATAATGCCAAGAAGTAAACGACTCTGTATGAGTCTAGCACTTCAAATGCTGATTCAGTGCGCATTCAGTTGTCATTTTTAATTTATTTTTATATAAATGAAATTGAAATGGGGTTAAATATTGGTATGACTGGCCTTACAGCTATACAAACTCGGGATAAAATAAGAAAGTGCATTAGTCCTTAAAGTAAGACTTTAAAACATAATGTAAGGGGGGCATGTTCTCAATTATATAAACATAAGCTCATTTTTTCTACTGTGCTTCTTAAAGCGTGAATCCACTTATGACATCAAACCATAAGAACAACCAACGAGAAATTTGATATTTTCATTTGTTGTGCATCGCTTTCCGAGCGAAAGAGTGCAGCTTCCAGCATCAGTTGCGCTTGAAACGCGACAGCGAGCGATTGTCTCTGGCTGTTCATCCTCTACGTCGCTATCTCTCATTGTTATCTATCAACCAATCAGTATGAGCAAGTTCTATTGGCGAAACAAGGTGGCTGTCATAACCGGTGCCTCTGTGGGCATTGGAGCTAGTACGGCCGTTACTTTAGCCAATGCCGGCATGGTTGTGGTTGGCCTGGCCCGGCGCTCTGAGCTCATCGAGGTGTGTGTGTCAGCACTTTAAGAGTGTCTCTTGTAAATAATTGCCTAATGTGATGGCCTTTTATTTAGGCACTGAAAGAACAAGTGACCGGCGAGGGAAAAATATTTGCGCGTCAATGCGATCTAAGCGATGAACGCCAACTGACGGAAACTTTCAATTGGATACAGGAACGTTTCCACTGCATTCATGTTCTAGTATGTAATGCGGGCATACTGAAGGCCAACTTTTTGAGTGGTAAGTACTCCTAAATTACGAGGGGCCAGTGAATTGGTTTGACTTGACAACAACCTTAACTGTTACTAAACACTTAGAGTCACCTACGAAGGACATCAAGGAGCTGTTCGACTTGAATGTGGTAGCCACAGCTTGTTGCTTGCGTGAGTCCTTAAAGCACATGGCAGCCATCAAAGTGCGCGGCCATATTGTGGTCATAAATAGGTGAGTTTGGTGGTGCAATATAACGGTATTCGTTTTTGCCAAACATAATGAGTATAATCGTTTTTTTCTGGAAAAAATAAAAGAGCATATAAAATTTAAAATACATAGGGGGAACGTTGCCCTCCACCCCCCCCCCCCCCACCCCCTACGATAAATGTTTAACTATAAAGTCGACCACACGTTCATTATTATGAAGCACAATTTCGCCTTAAAATGTCATTGATCATATGCATAAGTTATTTTTTAAATGCATTGTGTATTATTTAATCAACATTTTAATTTTTTGGCCCCCGCTTTGGTAAAAGCTGCCTACGCCCTTGCAACTTGCCATATTTGGACATCAATGGTCGCACACATGCTCGTCGCACACACAAATGCCTCGTAATTGTTATCATTTGCGAAATTACGTTTGTGTAGCTAAAATAGCAAAACTGGGCTAAGCTAAAATTAGTGCACACTCACACAGATACATACATATGTATGTATGTACACAAAGTTTATGCGTACAGATGTACATACTATGTATGTATGAAGAGCGTTGCATCGAACGGTAAATCAATTTACATATGTATATATTTGTTTTATAAGGAGTTGTGCTTACCATTGGCTAACAGATGACTAAGTAAAGCTGGTGCATACATACATACATATGTATATATGTATGTATGTGCCTTAAGTGTCAAAATATTTGCTTGAGTTATGTTCTACATACATTGATGTGTGTATGGTGTGTTGGTGCCGGGTGTGGGTGTGTGACGTGGGATGTAGAGATGTGGGGTGTGCACAGGTATAATGAAAGTGCAAATATAATTGGCAGTGCCAACTGAACTGCAATCATCATCATTATCATCAAAGGCAAATCATTTGATCAGTGTTGGTCAGTACTTAAATTTTTCATGAGCTTATGGTGACTGACAGCGGCTACGAGGGAGCGATAAAACTAATGGGAATGAGGAAGATGGAGCGAAGTGAATGCGTGGGCGCGTTATTTAAATTAAATTAAAAGCCATCCAGCAAACAAACAGCACAAACATTTATTGATATTTAAATCGTTGTTGGTGGTGTTGTTGTTGTCTCTGCTGCAACTGCACTTGTTCACAGTTGTCGTTGTTGTTGTTGTTATTTTGCGGTATGCGTGTGCATTAAAAGCTTTGCATGGCCAATGTGCTCGCACAAACAACAACAACAACAACATCTGGACACATTCAATACAGTTGCCGTTGGAGCAACAACAAAAATAATAACAACAACAACTCAATTATTCAACATAATTAAGTATTTTGCATTAAGCTGTGTACGTCTGTGTATACTGATTTTTATTTCATGAATTTCAACGCTCACCATATTTACAATCAAAAATGTTGCGCATTAAGCCGCATGTTTGATTTGCCTTTGCCCGCCTCTGCCACTTAACGCAGCATTTGTCTACAGCCTTAATTTAAAATTACATTGATTTAATTTTAATGAAATTTACTTGAACGAACATAGGCACATGTGTGCGAGCACGACTAATTATAAATTATTGTAATTTACACATTGAAAATGCAAGACGCATAGTCCAGTCAGATTGAATAATTATGTATACGCCATGTGTGCTTGCTTACATATATATAAATATGGGTAGCAAGATATAGAATGCAAGACAATATAAACAAGTACTAAGAAGAAACTTGTCTTATAAATCACTTTGCCATTAATTTTGATTTCTTCACATAAAACAAAATTGTTTTTGTTCAATGATAATAAACACAATTTTAATAATAGCCAACAAAAAAAAAATCACAAATGAGACAAATATTTCATTTCATCCCAGTAATAAGAAAAACTGATCATTTTTTTAAAATCCAATCAATTATTTATTAACAAAGCTAATGTTTGAAAATCCGCTAAAGTTCAGGGGAATCGAAGTTCAAACTATAACAATTCACTAAAGAAGTAAAATTTGAATTTACGCTTTTAATAAAATTGCTCTTTAATGAACAGTTACAGTATTTGAAATTTATCTAATTTATCTTTTTATTTTAATATGGGGCTTCAATCAGGTGTAAGAAAGAGGTTTTTATCAGTTTTAAACCTTAGAAATAAAAATTCGAACACAATTAAATCAAAACAGCGGACACTTGAAAATGGTTAGCAGCTATTTTTTAAGTCATCTTTTGGTTGGTTATATTTTTCATATACAAGTAGCTACGTAGTTTCAGTACAATTTTTTAGGCAACCACCTGCATTTTAAGCCAGTCCTCTAGATATGTAGTTATAGTCGAACAATTTAAATGCCGTCATTGCAATGGCCACTGCCGGCCAAAATGGCAGTCTTCGTGCATGTTTAATTAATGTCCACAAACGCGATGCATAATTTTCAACTTAATGAGCAAGCCAGGCGCTTGGCCAAGACGACTGGGCCTTGGACGTACGAGTGCAAATAAATACACATACAAGTACTCGTACACCCACTTATTATTGACTCCCGATGCCAAACACAATTGGGCAGTGGCCAACAAAAGAAAATTCCGATTTCGACATTAATTAATGAAAATTGCATTGTTGAGAAACTTAACTTTTTCTGGGAGCTTGTGGAATGGTTGAATGGTCGATTGGTATGTAAGGGGGTGTGGATAGGGCAGTCAATATGCATTTCGCTTAATGTCAATGCAACAATATTAAAACTTAATTAATTAAAACTGCATAAGGATGCGTGTGATGCGAATGAGCCGTTTCCTGGTGCAAGGTCCTTGGCCACATGCCCGCATATGCATATGTCTTTTTCTCCCTCCTCGTCTCTTATATAAGCATGTGTGTATATGTGTTTGCACTTAATGCCCCAACCGCTTGAGCATTAAATTAAAAGAAATTTACGCAATGTTTGCATAAAATGCACAACGACATGCAGGCAGGCTGGCGCGGCAGTCTGGACAGATTGCACAAACAGGAGGCTGGACAGGCATAGCCTTCCGCCTTTTTCACACTCATCAAGTAAGGGCGTCTACGTCTGGTCTAGGTCAGCTGTTGGTCGCCAGCATTTGGGAGTCCTTCAGGTAGTCCACCATTGTTTTTCCTGTTGCTGTTTTAAGTGCTTCAAACCGTTACGTTGCGTACCGTTGACTTTATTTACACACTTCTTTTTCTCACCCCTACGCCACGCACCAACTCTGCCAAACCAACACTACCATGAACAACAACAACGACGATGTTGATGACGACAACAACACAATACAGCGTACTTGGACATCGCATACCGGAAGTGCCGGTACCTTTATTCAGCGTTTATCCGGCCACGAAGCATGCAATTACAGCACTTTGCCAAACGGTGCGCCAGGAAATACATTTTCTCAAATTAAATATTAAATTAACGGTAAGTTAAATGACGTGCACACATCGAAATGGGCCTGCAGGCGGTGATGAAGGAGGTGCTGCTTCAAATTTGCACACAAATAAATCGTTTCTCCCACTTTCTTCCCTTCACACAGAGTATCTGTCCTGGCATGGTAGACACCGATTTTCTGAATGTTTACTCTCAAGCGGTGGCGGAATTGCCCAAGCTGCAAGCTCAGGATGTGGCCAAGGCAGTGTTGTATGCCCTGGACACGCCCGATGGAGTCCAGGTAGAGGACATTATTTTGCAACAGATGCGGAAAATCGAATAGGCTAATAAAATGTAATGATCAGCGAATACGCCCATCAGAAAATATGCACTGAAATTACATATATACAATATATGAAATTATAAAATTATCGATAATGTTTTAATTATATGTGTTTGGAATTTTTCTGATTTTTTTCTTAAACAAAAATAATATGAATATTTTACTTTCAATTTTATCAAACGGTAATTTGGCATTACTTAACAAGTCAAAATAAAAAGGGACACATATGTATGTATCTGTTGTAACTAAAAATGAGTTCATTGGATTAAAATAGACAAGAATACAACGGTTCAGTAATTTGAATTTGAACATACAATTAGTAACCGAGCAAGCAGCTGTTGTATGAACAAATGTATTAAATTTGACCAAGCGCATTGGGCTTCGTGAGTCAGGGCTGATGCTTATGCGAAATACCAGTAACTCATCGACTAGTCGATAAGTATCCGCAATAACCTGTATTAGGCCACTCTTTAGTAAGCACATATACTATACCTAACGCAAATATAATGCAATTTCGTGTATCATTGCGTTCTTTCTTATACCTATTGATTATCTACCTTAACACACTTGAGAGCTGTCACGGTCGTGTGGCAGTCACAGCAACATGCACATCGTTTTCTCTAATCGATATACGAGCATATCGATACGATAACAACAACCCTAATTCGTTTTGTGCAGCGTGTGCGTGTGAGATTTTCCGTAACACTCAACCAACAACACATATTAAAAGTAAATTAATTAACTAGCCTTAAACTATAGGTGCTCCCAAAGCACCAACTTAATAGCTCCAACCCAACAGTTCGGCTATCAAAACAGCGTAGCAATAATAGCAAAACAATCAGCAATAACCCGCATTCAAGCAAATAGGAAGATGGGGCACAAAATGCGTCCACGTAGTGCAAAAGTTTGACACTGTCTGCCGATTTTTACATACGTATATGAGCGCTAAGGGTGCGGTGAGGCTGGCACAAAAGTGATACTTGACTCCAAAGTTCGATATTACGAAATTAAAATCATTTTTAATAAACGACAAATCATACTAATACGTGCTACCACGTATTTCAACATACGCACACCCATTGCCATGCCACACACACACAATTTCGAACGTACATATGTACATACACATAGAAAGTAAAGCAAGAAAGTGTTGCCCAGTTGACAAAGAACAGGTTTTTAACCTAATTAATCAGAAAGCGTCGTACAAAGAATTGGTCCGAGGCGGGTACACTGCATGAGACAAACAATTATTTGTGTCAAGGCTAACATGGCCTAGTCAAAGTACTTGGTGGCCGGAAGCATTATTTGTTTGCGCACTTATCCGGACACTCAATATGGCGTTTTGCTGTACGAGTGAATTGATTTTCAATAACAACCACAAAAAATGCGTCGTCGAGTCTATTATGTGCATTAGTTTTCCTGCTCATTGCTTTGTTTTTGCTGCTGCGCTGTAACTGGACATTGAACTTGTCGTAGAGGGCATTAGGAAATCAGCTGCTTAAATACATTTCTCTTTGTGTCTTTCTTTACTAAAAGTCTAGCGCAACACTTGGCGTGCACTTCCCCCCACACACAAAACACACACACATAGCTCTAAATAACTCCCGCAACAAACAACCACACAAACCAAGATGTTCATCTGGGACTGGTTCACCGGTGTTTTAGGATACTTAGGTAAGCAACGCCAAAGGCAACTCCAATTGGAATTTGACATTGCTATATGAATTTTTTGAGCGTTTGCCAACAAAGCAACGGAGCAGCAGACCTCAAAAGCAAACAAAAGAAACCAAAATTTACATACATGCACAGATACATATGTATGTATGTGCGTGCGTGTCTAGTTTGATTTTAATTAACGATGCAAAATTGTTGACCTTTAGTCGTCTGTTTCCGCTTTAATAAGTTCATTTATAATATAATTATTGAAACTAATCTCGTTTTTGCAGGTCTGTGGAAAAAGTCTGGCAAATTATTGTTCCTTGGCTTGGATAATGCTGGTAAAACCACATTATTGCATATGCTCAAAGATGATAAGCTCGCGCAGCATGTTCCAACATTACATCCAAGTGAGTTCGAAGAGATAAACTTAGAGCTATATCCAAAATAGAAACCGATTACAATTTTTATCATAGCATCTGAGGAGCTGTCTATTGGCAATATGCGTTTCACTACATTCGATTTGGGTGGCCACACTCAAGGTAAGCGATTTTACATTTTATTTACATACATATGTATGTAGATATCACATCATTTTTTGTTACCTCTTATAGCACTGCAAATATTGTATTTATGCATGCTTATTAATATTGCGCATATTTTAACGTTCTCTCATTTAAATATAGCAACACAAATAAAACAGAAAAGCAACAACAATCAGAGTAAAATATAGTACATGAGGGCACCCATACATACAACCAATACTTTGTACTTTTTGACATTTGTTGCGTTCAATCAGCCACAGAGCAAGAATACAAAAGCCACAACAGCCAGCCAGAGAATGCCACTAGAGAACGGTGGGCTGAGTTGAATCTGCTGTTAAATAATAATTCAAAAAAGTACATATTATTTTTGTAAATATGGGTATAATAGAGTTTGAGCTTTGTGGGTCAAAACTCGATTTAACGAACGTTTTCATTTTTAAAAATATTGGAGCATACTATCATTTATATGACCGAAATCTTTAAAACCTTTTATAAAAAGTAAGCATGACTAAGCATTTTAATGCTAAAAATTTTAAATGTCTCATGCTTGGTTGCTTAAAAATGTTGTCTGGAATGTATCTACATATGTATTATAGTTGCATGGCAGAAAGATAAGTATGTAAGCCGGATTGAATAACTATTCCATATAGATAGGAAACAATTATCAGAGTTTGCTAAAAGTAATCAAGTATAGGAATTACTATACTATAGGTCTTAAATAAAAGTAATTTTTGTTGTTAAAGACTAAGAGTACTACTTTTGCGGAGGTCTTTCTTCTAGATAACTTGTTTTTCGTCAAGATCATAAATCAGAGCCCACTGTGCCCGCATTAAAATACATATACTATGAATACTAAACATGAAAGCAAACACGCTGCCAAGATAGCACAACCAACAACAACAATGAACGAAAAATCTCAAGCTTGTTTATGATTAGGCAAATTATAATATGATGGAAAAAGCGCAACAGCTATAGGTAGGGTAGACAGTGCACATCTAAGTGTGACTAGTAGGTATTGATAAGACAGGCTAGAGAATCCACACGTACGAATAAAAGCTATCACATATATATGTATGTACATACACATGTACTTCATTAGCACGTGTTCGGTGGGAGGTTCGTTGGGCGGAGTATGAAACGCACACTAGACTTATCTTATTGTTTGTATTTGAGTAGGTTATGTAAATGAGGGTATTGTGTTTTTAGGCTACAGTTGATACAATTTGGTATTTCCTTCGATTTATAAACATTTCTTTATCGCTTGCAGCACGTCGAGTTTGGAAAGACTATTTCCCCGCCGTGGATGCCATTGTCTTTTTAATAGACGCCTGGGACCGTGGCCGCTTCCAGGAAAGCAAAAACGAACTGGATTCGCTGCTCACAGATGAGGCGCTCTCCAATTGTCCCGTTCTCATATTGGGCAACAAAATCGATAAGCCCGGCGCAGCCAGCGAAGATGAGCTGAGAAATGTGTTTGGATTGTATCAGTTAACAACCGGCAAGGTAACGTAGAATTATACACTTCATATTATGCTTATGTATATTTAAAGAGTGGCAACTTTTCGTTGTTTACACAACTGAGTTTGTTTAAAAAAAATAATAAAAATAGGGCAGAGTACAGTCAGACGCTCCATCCGGAACAATTTCGATTTTAAATATAAAATCTACATATCGCGACGATATTGGCATCAAAAATAAATGAATAATAATCGTACAAGCTTCCAAAGTATTAGATTATAATAAAAATATAACAAAACCTGTAGAAAAATATTAATAGGAAGTGGTCGACAATGAAAATTTAACGATTTGCGATGAAACCAAGCTAGTTTTTGCTGAGCGCTGATAATATGCCAATATCGAACAGTTAGATCGCTATATCATATAGCTTTAATATCATTCTAAAAGAGTTTTTGTATGAACAACTTTTTTGCAATTAAGTTATTGGATTCAACTACCGTAGGTCGTGAATTTAAAAATCATCGAAGTTTTTGTTGCAATGCACAGTCAGAAATGCTCGTTAGAAATCTTAATTGTTTCTACATTTGTCATTCCAGGGTAAAGTTGCACGCGCCGATTTGCCAGGCCGCCCATTGGAATTGTTTATGTGTTCCGTATTGAAGCGACAGGGTTATGGTGAGGGTTTCCGTTGGTTAGCGCAGTATATTGATTAAGTCATAACAACAAAAAAAAACAAAACAAAAAAACATCAACAACCACAAAAAATCTTGGATGGACAAACAAATCAACAAATTCAGACGATAAAACCCGACTTCTAAAGCAAAACACGAAGCTACGTGCGCAATTTCTAATTTATACACAATTTAAAAAATATACAATAATAAACAAGAAAAAAATTGCAAAAAAAATATAAAATATTTTTTACAAAACAGCAACAACAAAAGAAAGTTCAAACGGTCGCAGCATAAAATAATTTAAAGAAAAAGGATAATTAGCAAGTGAAACACTTTTTTAATATAATTATTATAAAACAAATTGTAGCAAATTAAAGGTTATTTGATTTAAGAGCAAGTGCTAGCAGCGACGCTGTTCCATAAATAAATTTTAGCTACTTTTATTTGATTTAATCCAAAATTTTAAGTGTTATCTTGTTGCTTTTAGATCTTTGTGTCCTGTATATCAATAATTTTTTTTTAATTAAAAACCAAACGAAATTTTATGTTCCCTTCCAAGAGCTGCAATTGGTGTACAGCTTTTATTTGAAAAGAAACGGCTCCTGTTTTTATTACAAATATATTTCATTTATTCATTTATGTTGCATTCTTTAGATACATATAAGCTAATGAGTTACTTTAGGGCAGGTAATGAAACTATAAAAAGTAAAAAAATAGGATAACCGGCAAAAACGCAACTCAAAGTGACCCGGTGTTAGCCGTATATGTTTAATTACAATAGAATTTTACACTTCTGTTAAAAAACCTGACAATCGTAAACATTTTAGGGATTATCGCTCACTTTGGTTAATAAGTGATCGACTTCGTCATTTTCAAAATATCTACGATTTGGAATTTTCGTACAAGCGCAGTAAATGTGTAGAAAAATATTGATTAAAGAACATTGCTTTATCTTTTGTTAACTGTAGCAGGGTGTGCGGCGTTGGCGTTGCGACAGACGACGTCGACGGCGACAGAGCAATAGCTGTCGTCCAAACAGTCGAGCGAGTAGACTGCCTGCATTAGCCTTCTGCCGACATCATGAACGCGCTGAAGAGTTCGTAGCGCAGCCACCATCGCCACCCATTCGCCGTTTCTTCTTTTTTTTAGCTGTGAGACTTTCTTGACCACTGTCTGTGTTCGAATCGGCGCTATCGCCGCCTGCCTCGGTCTCCGACGATGATGAGCTGCTCGAAGAAGAGCTTGAGTTGCTGCTACTATCGGAAGCAAAGCCAGTGCTCTCATTTATATTAATACTATCAGCTATTTGAGCCAACTCCGGTCGCTCGACGCGCAGTACACGCAGCCACTTGTGCGACAGTTTTGGGCGCCCTCGCACCGTCTTGTGCCAAACGATGGGAAAGTTCGTACAACTGCTGAAATTCTGTGTTATGGCTATGGTATCGTCAAGATTGAGCACCACGTGCCACCAACCACCTGGTACGAAGACCGTCTCGCCAGGTCCTTGCAGAATTTCGATGGGTTTGTATTGCTCTGGCCACGAGGGTTGCTTCGTGCGATGATAAATTGTGCTAAACCACGTAATCGCCTCGTCGCGCTGCTTGCCACCCATCGCACTAGTGACCTTTAGCATTTCCTTGGGCGTATCCGTTGGAAACAGGCACCAACGCTTATGCCCACGCACCAGAGTGTTCCAGGCGCTTGTGCCCAATGGATCAATGTGTATGCCGGTTCCTGAGCGCGCTGGGCCCATCACAAACCAACGATATGGTGGCCTGCGCTCCTCCCCGCAATACTTGAAGAGATCATCACGAAAATACTTGGGGACCATGTAATCCTCGAGCAATTTGCGTCTTCGATGATGTTCACCAAAGCTGCTGTCAAAGATATAGAGTGGACTATCGTCGCGCGTCGTTTGCATGTACTCTACGTAGTATTTCATTTTCATCTTGACGCTTCAAAAATATTGTAAATGTTAATGTATAAATCAATAAGCAATACCATCATTTTTAATTAACCTGTAGCCCTCGTTGTCCTCGCCGCATTTAAACTTTTGGTTGCGATATTTCTTTGCCAGTCGCGATAACGTCCATTTCTCCTCCGCCAACCATCCGTTCGTGCATCCGGTAACCACTACGGGCTTATAAGGACGCTCATATCTTTCTATAAACTCTTCACAAGACACAACAGACTGGTCAATACGCTCCAAATTGTCAGCAAAGTCCCAAAATGGCCTGAAGTTTTCGTAGAAATGCATGGAAGTCCAGGCCGTGCCATCGAGTTCAGGACGGGCCTTACGCTTTACCTCACGGGTGCGCTTGCGCGAACGTTTGGGCAGTTTGAATTCTTCGCTCATCTCGTGGTCTTGGCAGGATTTTAATTAATTAATTGACCGAAGTAAACTGTGGAATATGCACCAAAAAGAACCGGAAGGGATGCAATCGATGTTATCGGGCCATCGCAGTCTACTGCCGATATATGAGTATAAACTGTGAATGGCAGTAACTTACGTGTTCATTGTGAATGCCTTGAATCTCATGTGACTGAAAACAGCTGGTCAGATGGGTGAAAATAATGATAAGCCAAGTCGGAACAGGTAAAATTTATTTATTCAACCACTCTTTAATACTAAATCAAGTACTTTAATAGAGTTAAACAAAGCGTTGCACCGCATATTAGATCATCACGTCTTTGTAAAAATTGAGATTGATACTTTTCTTGAGAACTTCGAGCTAAAACGTAACGACAAAGAAGTTGAGAAGCTTTTCCAAGTCACTGAGACTGTTGGAGCCCTTAAGTACGATTTATCCGACCGTTGCGTGGCATTGGGAAACAAAAATTTATCTGAAATAAGCACCGAAGTTAACAGTTTGCTGAGTAACGTGAACGCGCTGCTGGAAAAAGTTCAAATAGAGCATCAGGTGAGTGCATATTAACATGACCGGCTCTTCGGTTAAATGACCATGGCATGCTTTTTTATGCAGCCCAGTTCAGAATTGCAAACAGCCCGACGCTTACGAGCGGAACGAAAAGCAGAGTTTCTAAAAAATCTTCAGCACGACTTTCAACGTATTGAAAATTCCTTTGAAGAAAAAGAGGAGGAAATTGCTGAGCTCTATTCCGACTTAGAGCGAAAACTAAATATTGCTAAGTGAAAAGGTCATTACTATGCTCAAGTCGACCATTATAGATACACGTATTCGGTTACGTCCGTCTAAAAAGCTGTTGGATTTGCTGGACGCGCAAAAGGAGCACTTCAAGGAATTACCCGATAATGTAGCCCAGTTGCTTAAGTCTAACGGCTACGTGGTCCCATTAGGTGTACAAATTATTAAAGCCAATGAAAAGCAATATAAGCGACCCACAATTGATGTAGTTTTGCTGGAGAAACTCACAGCAGATGTGATTGATGATCCTTTGATTGCAAAAAGCGACTCTGAAGCTACAGAGGAGGATGAGACACCTGAAGAAGATCAGGACCAGCGGCAGCAGCCGAAGGGACCCACCTCTTTTTTGTACTTGTCTGATTTACATTGGCTAAACACATTTATGAGTGAGCTGCGATCCAAAAACATTTGCAATGTCTTTCTCTATCAAATAATAGAGAGCTCTGAGCTTATTTTGCCTGAGAATGAGCTAAAGCCTCGTAACCCAGAGCTGGAAGCACGATGTCAACGCTTGCGTGAAGAGCAACAAAATCGGGAATACCACAAGATGACCAAAAATGTAGACGCAGGTCTGAAACATTACCCTGAGGACACCATTGCTTATCAAAGTGAGTATCTGCCGTATCCCAGCTATTTTTAGATAAAAATCACTAATTTTCAATTTGTTTAATCAAATTTACAGTGAAAAGTATAAACAAGCAAATTATAGCAGTAGCTCAATTCATTTTCTCGGTGGCTGCTGGCTTTGTGTTCGGCTTTTTGGGCATTAATTTGATAGTAGGCGGTCTGCCCTTTGGTTTCAGGCTCCTCCTTGGTGTCATTTGTGCACTAGTAATAGCCTTGGCTGAGATGTACTTTTTGGCAAAAAAGCTGCACGAGTACGACGAGGTTTTGGATGCGCCCAAACGCAAAAAACCTGAACCACCGACTACTAGCAAGGGGCAGCGGGCTAAACAACATGCTGAATAGAACAATATTTGTCCATTTTATAGCATAAATTTGTATTATTTTTGCTGCTGCATCGTTGGCATCGTCGTTTATTTAAAATAATTAAATAATTGTAAATTTTTTATTAATTTAATGAGAGCATAGAGGTCCTTGGTGAAGGACTACGCTCCTTTTTCATTTTATATAAATATGCTTTCGAATATATGTATATTAAATATGTGTTCCTCAATCGTAGTGTTGTGGATTTGGATTCGGGTTCGGATTGTTCCAGCTATCATCTAGAGAATTGCTATCGCTGCGTCCAATAACTGCCATTATATAGATGAGCACAATGAATCCCACGATGCCACTAGTCACCAAGAACCATGTACGACGCCAGGGAGGGCGTGATGAAGGCGCATAAAAGCGGCGAGTCCAACGCGAAAACAGCTCCGCGGGTGTGCGACGCTTATATTTGTTTTCATCGCGATCGGGCCCACCAATGGGTGACTGACGTGGCAGCAATGGACGCCGGCTGCTGGCTACGAAGGGCAGTAAAGAGACTAAGATGATAGTTAACTATATAATGTCGTTTTACTGACCATGCAAGTCACCAGAGCTAGGTGGATTAAATGCATCCATAAGCAGCACGGAATGTGGACTGGCACCATCGCCGCTGCCGGCATAAGGTCCCCCGTTGGGCTTGCTGCGTTCGCCCGCGGAATGGTGATGCACTTTGGTCACATTGCTAATAGCTGCCTGGTTGGCAATTTTTGTTTTGACCGCTTTCAGACTGTTACTTTGATCTTCTGTGAGCTGCGAAAGAAACATGTGTAACATAGGTGAAAACGATATCTTGTTATATTACCAATGCAAGTCCTAGGCCATTCCGTCCCCAATTGACTTGCGATAGGTAATTCTTTAGCGCATCTGCCACAGGAGACACCAAATTAGAGGCCGGAAATATTTCAACATTACAAGAGGGGCATTGATGGCCTCGTGGTGCTGTGTTTGCAGGCAATCCGGCTTGGCGAGCATTCAAGCAATCCCAGTGAAAAACATCTGAATATCGAGATGTATGGACAATCAGCACAAAGAATATAACACTATATAGTAAGATCTAAAATAGATGCTCACGATAGCAAACGAGGCGGACGCAATCTCCCTGCTCCAACGTTGTACCACACAAGGTGCAATTGGAAATGTAATCACTATGATGCGTAAAGCAGATTTTAGAATATAGTAAATAACGTTGTATTTTTATCAACAACCATATTTGTGTTTATAGCTGCACTACTCACCTATCACGGAGCCATTGCAGATATGATTGAACAATGCACTGGAAAAAGAGGACTTTTCAATAAGAATTCATTTACAAGGGCCTTTGTGTACCTTAGGATGACTCAGAATGCAGTGCTCGCAAACATTAACACGATGCTCGAAGCAAAATTGGTTTGTCACAGCACGCTTGGGGCATTTACACAGACCCATTGAAATGTAATTATTTTATTTCCTGCAGTTTCTTTATACTTATGTATGTCGGAATGCTCCCATGCAACTGACAGCCACGTATTTTGTTTTACACTTTATTGTGAATGCCAAAATGTACCGTAAATAGGGCTGCCACAATAAAAAAATAGTGTAGGATGAAAACAAATAGAAACACATACATATTTCTTAATCGAGCCATTCTTTCATATATTGACAACTAATGGCGGTAACATCACCACAATTGGAACAATTTTTAATAACCGGACAGATTCCACATGGCATTTGTACTAGTCCTGGAGGTGGTAGGGGTGTATTAACTGAATGATAAACATATGAGCCGTCCGATTGAAGAATGCGCTCCGCGTTGCCATCATAGACAACTGTCTTCAGTATAGTTTCCAAATCATCTTCATCCAGATTTACTTTACTAATGCCTAAATCAGATATAAACTTGTGCACTTCCTTCACTGTGCAGCAGGACATTTGCTTGAAGGCCAATGGACCATCTCGTTTTTTTTCGGCATTATCGCGCTTCATTTGCAAAAAGCGTAAACACTGCTGATTTAAAACATCAACAAACTCCACCTCAAAGTCCTGATCCTGGTACCAGGCACCACCAGTAACCGTACGATCTGGCTCCAAATTATACAGCATATAGACTTTCTTTTTGCTGGCCTGTTTACAAATATTTATGAATTTGTGCTCCAACAAATATATATAAGGCAAATGACATTACTTACATTAACAGATTTAACGGCTTTAATTAGTTTCTTGGTTTCAAGATTTTTGAGTATTTTGTTCAGCTGTGTCATATTCAAATTTGACTTTATGCGTATATCTCGAATCCAAATGCCTTTGTCGCCGCCTTTCTCCACAATATCATAAACGATCTTTTCCTCATTATCAGCATCTTTGGGCAAAGCACTTTTCTTCTGCGGATCCTTTGCACGATATACCAGTTTCTCCCCCTTTTTCAATATTTCAATGCTACCCTGTTGCAATAATATATTTAGGCCCTCGACTCGTGTGGCAGCGGGTACGTCCGATAATGCCTTGGTAAGGTCATCATTAGTTGCTCCGGCCGAAACTCCCTGGATAACGCTTAACAGTAGTTGAGCAATCTCGGACATTTTACGCTGTAGATAAACAAATATTTAAATTAAAAGTGCTTTGCGAATCCAGTTTACGGTACAAAGTAAAATCAAAACAAACGTCATACCACTGTGAATGGCAAGAACACGCGGTGCGAGCTTAAGGTGCAACCTTTCTTGAAAGTTTTTAACGCGATTTTGTTTTATTTCTGTTGTAGTTTCTGATTTTATTTAGTGTACTTAATAAGGAATGTCGAAAACTCACAGCTCCGATGAAGAAACTGACTTCCAAGCACTTAGCAAAACGAATTATCAGCGCGTGCAAGACAAAGTAGCAAAGGTACCGCAAAGACGTGCCAATAAATAAATTGGCGTTGCCACCGTCTGGAATATTGCATTTCATCAGTATTGCCGGTCGATAACGACAAATGTATACACTTACATTCATTTTAGATTAGTTATCCAGATGGTGTTATTGCTGGTAGAGAACAGAGCTTTCAAAGCAGCTTTGATCGAGGTTATGCCGATGGACTAAAAACGGGTCTTGAACTGGCCAAACGTCTGGGATTCTTTGATACACTCCCCACACTTGATGCGCAGAACGAAGAGCTCCTGAAGGAAACACACGTCTATCAAGGCCTCCAAATAGCATCGCCTACGGATAAAACGCATTTCAAATATTTGGAATACCAATCGTTGCCACCAAACCTAATATCCGAAAAGCAAAATTCCTATATCAATAATTTATTGGGACAATATGCCGGAACTTTGCCAATTACTGAAAATTTATTCACATCCAAGTGATATTACTATGTTATTAATCGGCTTTAATGTGTGTTAATAGGATAAATTTGTTAACTGAACATAAATTTCTTGACTTATAAATACAATCCTTCGGGCGTGCCCTCTTTTTTGCGATACAACACGCTCTCCTTGGACTTCTTGAAGTCCTCGTTAGTTACCTTCATACGACGCTCGCGCAACGCCATTAAACCAGCTTCTGTGCAAATGGCTTTGATATCTGCACCAGATAAATCATCTTTTGCCATGATTAGTTCACTCAGGTTGACGTCCTCAGCGAGTGTCATGCGCGATGTATGAATAGTGAAAATGCGACGTTTGGTCTTTTCATCCGGGAGAGGGAATTCGATTTTACGATCAATACGTCCGGGACGGATCAACGCCGGATCGAGAGTTTCAATGCGGTTTGTAGCCATTATAACCTTAACATCACCCCGGGAATCGAAACCATCCAATTGATTAAGCAATTCCAACATTGTGCGTTGTATTTCACGCTCACCGCCAGAGTTTGAATCGTAACGTTTCGTTCCCACCGCATCAATTTCATCGATGAACACAATAGACGGAGCATGTTCCTCGGCCACGCGGAACAGCTCACGTACCAGTTTGGGGCCATCACCGAGATACTTTTGAATAAGTTCAGAGCCAACGACGCGCAAGAAAGTTGCCGACGTCTGATTGGCCACAGCCTTGGCGAGCAGTGTTTTGCCCGTGCCTGGAGGTCCATACAAAATAACACCCTTAGGGGGCTTTATGCCCATCTCCTCATAGTATTCGGGATGTGTTAGCGGAAGCTCCACAGATTCTTTGATTTCCTGAATCTGAGTGTCTAGACCACCAATATCGGCATAGGTCTCTTGCGGTGCCTTTTCCAGCTTCATCACAGTCACCATGGGATCTGTATCATCGCTGAGCACGCCCACCACAGCATGAACTTTGTGATTCAACAACACTGAGCATCCAGGCTCCAGTTGATCTTTGTCCACAAAAGATAAAATGCTGACATAATGCTCAGACCCCACAGACGTGGACACAATAGCATGATTATCATCGATAATCTCTTCTAGATTTCCAACAGACATGGGCGTGCCTCGCAGATCATCGACCTTGGAACGTTCCTCTTCATTCTTTTCATCCTGGGGCTTTAAGCGCTCCTGATTGCGTATAAATTCGTCCTCCATCATGAGATAATCTTTGATGCGTTCTAACTTCAGCAACTTTAGGCGACACCGTGTATGCGGAGTCACTTGGGGCAGCTTCATGGCAGCATCGGGACCCTTTGCGCGACGCTTCTTCTTACCAACGCGCGTTGGAATTGGTGGCTCGTACTTCTTTTTTTTGTCTTTGTCATCTTTCTTGTCGCCAGCACCACCTTGAGCCGATTGGTTCTGTCCCTAAGAGTTTTAAAAGCCAATTTTAAATACATTCCTCAATTGGCAGGATAGCTTTACTGCTTACCATTTTGCGTATTGACTTTAAAGCCTACGATATACTTATTCTTCACCGAATTTACTTTGAGTCCGGCAACACAAACAGATTTTTACTAGTCATAACCAAAGCGAAGTTGGGTGCGCTGCTTCTACAGATCTGTCGCTGCCCAACACCGATTGGCAAACTTGTATCGATAGAAACACAATTTGGTAAACAAAATTATTTATTTTTCTTAAAATTGTGTTGTCATAATTATCCGTTTTTAAAATGTAAAGTGCTTTGGCAGCATGCCCAAGCATGAGCATTGTGAAGCTGCTGCTAAGGATCGAATTTAATTTAAAAACAAATAACCAACATTTCATATAAGTTTAAGCCATAAGCACGATATTTGTTTCTCTTATTTCAAAGCGGCGCTCATTTGCAATGGTGTTGCTGCACTTACACTTTAATACACATCTAGTTTAATTCTTTAGATGCATACTCCATATGAAATACTATCAGTTTACAGCACTGCTCACTGCAGCCAATATCGATACCTCCGCAATTATCGGGGGCAGTCCAGAATATTTTTTTTTGTAAGAAATGGCGCAAAATGTTACAAATGTTGAATTAAAATTGAATATAGAGGTTTTAACTCCTGGAAATATTGCTGAATGTGTGAACTCTATTCTTGAGTTTCTGCTATACCAACGTCGACAGATTCCGTTCGTTTACAGAACGTATAAATTCATAATAGACCGATGGGCTCAGCAGGAATGTGACGCAAAGCCAGGGCTGGAATCCTTTTCGGATTACCAACTACATCAGCAACGAAGCAAGGCCACGGAGACTAAAAATGCGATCAGTGATATGCGCGAGGTATTTGTTGCTAATATCTTCTGTTTGTGAACTTTTACAAGCTGTCTATACAAACTTTGCAGTTCATTCGAGATGTATTTAAAAGCTATGCCGTCCGAAGTTTGCGTTTTCTTTTCGGGTCAAATGCGTTTATGCCCAAGGAGGCTTATACAATACACATACCAACGACGATGACCCGAAAACATAATTGTGAGCATCATGCAACCTCAAACAGTATGAGCCAAACGCTGCTGTAAGTGCAACTGATTTGATTACCCCCGTAACTTTACTAAAATGTAACACTACACAGCTCTCTGCTTACCTGCGAAGATCTCTACACGATATTTTCAACAGAAATGAATGCCACCAATCTTTTCCTAGAGCTGGAAATTTTTTCGCAGGAGCAGGATCATGGGTCGAGTATAGAGACAATAAAGCTGTTTCCCAAGGATGTTATGAGTCAATTACCACGCAGTTGCAAACACATACACTTACACTTGTTGCATGACTCCAATATTGACGCTTCCGCTATGCAATGCTGCAAGGAGCTGAGAATCTTTGAAGATCTGGAAATATTGGGTCTAGGTGATGAAACAGAAAATACTGTTGTTGGTAGCGAATGCAATAAAAAGACTGAACAGGACTCCGGCTGGTGGCAAGCAGATGTTACTGTGCGTGGATTCCGGACATCGTTGCAGGACTTATGGTCCAGCTAATATTAGGCCAATTAGTTCATAGTCCACACGCTGCCATCTTTATTCGCTTAATTTAGCGTAAACGTTTGAAAATAAAATCGACGGTGTCTCAATGGCTTTGGTTTTTATACTCGTATTTCATAAAGATGTTAGTGCTGGTCGCTTCTTTGGTATTTCGGTATTTCTGCAGTTTGGTCACACATTCATCGAATAATGCCACCGATGTATTGACACAGTACATTTGTTGCACCACTAGTTCCATTTACATATTGAAGTTTAAAACAAAAACGCAAGCTTGACTCATTCGCATGACATTTACAGTCTAGCTTTTAGTCGTCGTGGATTGCGTAGTCGCTGCAGTAATGTCTGAGAAACCGACTGTGTTAATTTTGGGTGGTAAGTGCGATCCAATTGTGTTCTTATCATATTTTACATACATATGTACATATGTGCTTATTATTCATTTGCATTCCTCCCATGGTTACTCTCTATCGTAGGCTGTGGATTCATTGGACGCAGCTTGGTGACTTATCTTTTGAAAAATGAGCTGACGCAGGAAATTCGTATTGCCGATAAAACGCCGCCTCAGATGGCCTGGTTAAATGAGCAACAGACGAAGGCGTTCGACAATGATAAAGTAGAGTTTTGCAGCGCGAATTTAATAAGTGCCGGTATGCAACCCACACACGCACAAATGCACACAGTCAATCACTCACTCACGTACTGTAAACTGGTTTTGGTCCTTGTCCTTTTCGTTTTTGCAGCCTCATGTAAGTTGGCGTTTGCACCACACCCAACGAGTGGACGTGCCTGGGATATAGTCATCAATTGTGCTGCTGAGACGCGAGCTAATCAAGACGATGCCGTCTACAAGGAGGGCATCTACAAGCTAAGCTTAAACTGTGCCAATGAGGCAGCCAATCAACACGTCAAGCGCTATGTCGAGCTTAGCTCTGGTTGTGTAAACAGCAGCGAGAAGACGCCGCTAAAAGAAGACTGTAAGCAGGATCCATGGACGGGTGTGGCCAAGCAAAAACTGAAAGTAGAAAAGGAGCTAGCGCGAATTAATGATCTCAGCTACACAGTGGTGCGGCTGCCCGTAGTCTATGGGGTTGGTGACAAGCGCTACTTAAGTGAGTATCACTATCAGTGTTTTACCTCTTCCAATTATTATCGCAATTGGTAGTAAATGGTTTTTCCTCGCAGTGCCACGAATTATTATTGCAGCCATATATAAGTACCTCGGCGAGACAATGAAACTGTTGTGGAACGATGCAATGCGCCTGAATACAGTGCATGTGAATGGTGGGTGCATACATTTGTTATGGCTATTACTATAATAACTTTAACTATATTGCATATAACCCAGATGTGTGTGCTGCTATTTGGCAATTATCACAAAGTCCCAAAGCAGATGGCCAGGTGTTCAATATAACGGATGACTCTGAGTCCACACAAGGCAGCATTAGCAGCCTATTGTCGGATATTTTTGGTATTAATGTGGACTATTTTGGTTTGGTGATGTCCAATCTAACAAAGGTAACCGAAAACCATTCGATAATTTTCTGCGCTTGTATCACAGTTTTGAAATCTTCACTATCATTTGTATATCTCTATATATGGTGGTAAACTTATCAATACTTAAACTTTTTGCAATGAAATACTAATACAAACTTGGTTCGTCTTTCCAATATCTTTAAACTTACGAAATTCGCATAATGAAGTAGTTTAAACCCCATATATTTTATGAGATATATGTACATATGTATAGTGAAATACTTATATAAAAATGATTCCATCCTCACTTTTACTGAACTTCTTACACTTTTAGCTATATCCTACGGATACGGTTGGTGAAATCAATGACAAGCATTTGGCACCCTGGGCCGAGATTTGTCAACGCAATGGCATTGAAAATACGCCACTAACGCCGTATCTTGAAGAGGAGCAGCTACAGCATAAGCACCTCTATTTGGATAATGCAAAACTAAAAGATTTTGGTTATGTGCTGCAGGCGCCAAAGGTAACAAGGGCACTTCTAATGGAAATGATTGACGACTACGTAAAACAACAATTGTTTCCCAAATCTTTGGCGCTCTAATTGGCAGCGTACTCTACAAAAGCACAAAGTTAATGCGCACAGCAAGATATTTCCAGATAGATTTTAAGTTGAAAAGTGTACTATTACTCATGGGTATTACTCCACTATGACCATTCCCAATTTTCACCTGGTATACGGTGCGTTATTGTCATAAATATCGTTTCAAATTTTTGCAAAAAGTGTACTTATAGATTATACAAATTTACCCTTACACATATCATATATACAAACATTCCAATAACATTTATATTATTTAAAAATTGTTTATGTGTACATATATATGTGTACATATTTTAACAATCTATACTTACATGGCAATGTTTAAGACTAAACTGTATAAGACTACATCATTCCATGCTAAACTTGATAGATTGTCGAAAAAAAAAACAAAAAAAATCGAAAAGCAATACTATACATATTGTATGTGATCATTTTAGTGGCCAACGAAAAACATACAAATCCGTATACATATTGTGTGTTTTCTTCTGTCTATATATACATTCGTATACAAATATATATAAAAGATTTATTTGACTAACTCGTAATTGTTTTGCATTACGCGGGACTCATTTTTATACCCAATATACAGGTAAATGATTACTATAGCGAGACGAACCGATATAGAAATGAGAGCCTTTCTGTTTTAAAGCAAAATCTATGCATGTCGTATAATATCACTTTCAATCAATTATTTTTTTTTTTAACGAGCTGTTTTGATTTTACTGAAAAGATTTAGTATACATATGTAGGTATTTACTATAAGAAACCATATTGAGGAGTTGATGTCTGAGCGGTTTCGATTTATACGCCAAGTGATTTCCCGTCCAAGTGGCTCGTCGCATAAAGTGCATGACACATGATTGGTGCATTAATATTTCATAAGAAATAGTACCTTTTAGGTACTAAAACGCACGGTAATGGGAATCTTTTTCCATACATTTCGATGCCTATAAGCTGTTTATGATCCATTTGTTCTAAGCAGGCAATCGTTTTGACAAACCCATCAATTGTCGCACACTTTTTGGATGGGGAAACTCGAACCCACTTTGCTTCTCCCAACATATATATCCCTTCCCAGAGACCTTTATAAGATCATTAATGGAATTTCCTATAATACAAACTGAAACAGCAGTAGCTTGTGAATCATTTCTGTGTACTTAGATATATTATGTTGACTTACTTCTGGCTCTTCCTGGGCCAGTGCCACAAATGCGGCACGAATAGGGTACAGTTTCTTCACAGGTACACATTCAAAATGAATGGTGTAGCTTGCCAACAGTGAAAGAATTATATAAATCGGTCCAATAGTTTTGGAGCCTTTTCAATTCAAGTAAACAGTCAAACGAACAAACAATCAAATCTTTCCACTTTATAATATTATAGATATAAACTAATAAAATATATATACCTGCAAATTTACATATTTTAATATCTTTGCTAAGGGTATATTGTGCTCGTTCTTATATTTATAATACGTGGCAGACCACATGTAAAAAGAAATGCAATTTTACTGAAAAAATGTAGTATATAGGTATTTGCTATTAGAAAACGTGATGTCCTAGCGGCTTCGATTTAATACGCCAGTCCAACAGTGTGTTTTTCGGCCCGAGTGGCTCGATTCATAATTGTATGACACATGATTGGTGCCTTATTCTATATCATTATTTACAAAAGAGTACCTATTGTCTAGTAACATGCACGGTAATCGGTATTTTTGCCGGAACATTTCGATGCTCATACACTGTTTATGATCCATTTGTTCTAAGCAGGCAATCGTTTTGACAAACCCATCAATTGTCGCACACTTTTTGGTTGGGGAAACTCGCACCGACTTTGCTTCTCCCACTATATATCCCTTCCAAGAGACCTTTATAAGATCATTAGTAGAATTTCCTATAATACAAACTGAAACAGCAGTAGCCTGTGGATCATTTCTGTGTACTTAGTTATATTATGTGGACTTACTTCTGGCTCTTTCCGGGCCAGTGGCACAAATGCGACACGAAAAGGGTGGTGTTTCGTAACAGGTGCACATTCTGTTCCCATCTTTTATTTGCTCGCACAAAACAGAACCGGATGCTGGAAATGTGGGCACCATGTGAACCAAAAACATATAGACGACTGGGAAAATCGCTCCGAACCTGTATTTTGCCATTGCTTGTCGCACTACTATATAATATTAGTTTGATCTGCCATTTGACGTATATTTCGCTCAACATCGGTAACCATATAATCAGTATTTATCAACGCTTCGCTTCAACACTTTATATAATATTTCCCCATAAATGCGAGAGGTTCTTGTTAATTAGTTATATATGTAATATCTCTCTTGTAATTAAGCAAACAAAACATTATAAAATTAATAATAATAATGCAATGGTATATACATATGTAAGTGTCGACGAATCTTATATTGTTTTATATTGAATGTTTGTAATGCTAATCAATGAATCAGCAGGACTCTATAACCTGGTGAATTACTTGGGAGCCTTGGGATACCAATGGAACAACAGATGATAGGAGTATCAGGTAAGGGTAAAATATTTTGCCATATAAAGTCGACCACACATTTATTATTATGGCGTACTATTTCGTCTTAAAATGGACCTGAGTTGGATTTGTTGAAGTTTTTGCATTGATTGTATGCATCGTGCATTTTCTTTTATCAAAGTCTTAATTTTTTGGTTAAAGCTGCGTACGCACTTGAGTATCTCCATCTGGCGGAGTTTCTTACTCAGATCCATGATAGTTTGACAGCAACGTGAATACGATCCATCTTTGTCGGTTTTTATATAGTTTTGATTTTGTTTGGCGCGATCGTTTGTGTTAATTTTTAAAATGATAACTCATACTTGTATATTCTGGTGAAGTATTTATTTTCAAAAGGAACAATTATGAAATGATGGAGCACGGACTGCGGACATCAGGGAATATTACTGGGACTTAATGCTGTTGCGTAGATTTAATCGTTTTTGGATTGACTGGCGATGGCAGAGGGCTTAGCACTTGCGTTTTTTAGGTTTTACACCGCAACCCTACGAAAAATTCAGCTGGTTAGAGAATACTTGTGATAAGAAGCGCTCATTAAAGAACACTTACCATCTGGCGATATTTTTGCTTCTCACACTCGGGCAACTTGCACCAGGCCCGTGCGCCTTTCTTAAGCGCTTGCGGCGCCGTTAGACCACAATTTTGCATTCGAAATTCTCGCATAAAATTTAGGAACCCGTTATTCATTATGGGTCCTGGCCTCATGCACTTCGGCTTACAAGTCGGCTTTTTCTTTGGCTTACACGTCGGTTTTTTCCTTTTGGGGCATGCAGGTTTTTTCTTTTTGGGGCATGCAGGTCTTTTCTTTTTGGGGCAAGTCTTTCGTTTCCGTTTGCAGGGATTTTTCTTTTTCTTCTTGGGGCAGGCTGGGCGTTTCGGAGGACATCGCGCAGGGCATGGCCTCGCTCCACATCCCTCCATATGCTTTTGGTGGCATCCGGCTAAAACAATACGGGGTATATCACAGGTCTACCATATGAGTTTTAATCTCGTACGGAAAAATACAGACGTAGGTATATGCTTACTAAATTGGCGTAACGCAATTTCTGGTCCATTGATAGATCACCCCAGGCACGAGCGGCTCCCAACACCGCCTCGCTGGCCGACATGTCTGTATTCTGTTGCCTATAAATACGCATAAAATTCCTATATCCGATAGCCGTAGAGTCCGGGCTCGCCTTTTTTGTCACATTATTCCCCATTTCAAATTTTGATTGCACCAATATCTACAAAATGCTTACTATTAATTTTCTGAATAAATAAAATAACCAAAATTTCTTGTCACTGACTAACTTCTACAAGATTGCATTTAGAACTGAATAATATATATACATATATGTATATAAAAATGGCAACAAACACAAATATAGTATTTGGAGAACAAACCCGATGCCTCCCTTGTTTTCCTAAAAAAGGTTTTTGATTTTGCGTTTTTAATTAAAACTGTATTCATCCATCTAAATAAAATACTTGTTTATGCCCCGAAAGTGGCGTCTCTGCCTCTGCCTTTGGCAACCTACATATGGCCAGGTCTGACCAAGATTTGAGTAGCATCTATCTAAAATGAATGTACAATAGTCCGCATCGGATGCCATGGGATCAACACTATGAAAAAGGGGAGTTTTTCGAGTTTTTGCCATTTGTCTACTTTTTGATATTGTTGTCCAAAATAGGATGCTTCTTTTGAACAAAAAGGCCACTCTCTATTGGGTTTTATGTATATTAGTGGCGTAGGCCTGTAGAGTTATGCAATTTTTTTATATTACAATTGATTTTCATTTCAAACAGTGGACATGGTTGCTTGTCTAAACTCATACATAGTAGATACTTGTTTGTAAATCTAAAATTTTCGGAACATATGACAAAAGGGCCTTGAATTCAATACATTTTGGGATAAATGGGTTAAAAGAGTTTAGTTCACGATCACACAAAGAAACATTGATAGGAATTACACATTTATCAAAAAAAAAAAAACTGGCTTTGAAGTTGGGTTTAGAATTTCGAGTTCATTGTCAAGTTTGTCTAAGAAATACTAAGAATTATTCTAAACAGAAGACTCCGAAATCCAAAGACTTCCGGGTCGTTCATTAACTCTGTACATAAAATGTACAAGAGTATATTAGGTTTGCGGGAAGCTGAAAATGTAACAGGCAGAAGGAGGCCCGAGAGACGAGTCGAGTCGATCTAGCCCTGTCTGTCTGTCCGTCTGTCCGTATGAACACCTGGATCTCAGAGACTATAAGATCTAGAGACACAAAATTTTGCACAAAGATGCGTTATATGTGTATAACGGTATCCATAATCCAGTATAACGAATACACTGCTATAAATAATCAATACTCGCATGCTTTAAATAATTTTTGTATTGTTTATTAATTTAAATATTACGGCAACGAAGCGTTCCCACGCACGGTACATAATTGAAAAATGCAATTGCTTAACTTTTACTCTCGTTAACGGGCGTTTAAATCTTAAAAATTACAGAAAATCAACAATATTTTAAAAATTATATCATCGTATCTGGTGTATAATATTAAAAGCTCGCAACTTGCTCAACTTAAAACGCTTTAATACGGCGAAGGTAAAATGGCTTCGTTTGGTTTACAAGATCCCCACCAAATATGTAGGTATCTATATATATTAGGTAGGACACATTTGATTCTCTCGCCGGTATGTGGCCTAAATAGTTATTATTTTCATGTAGAGCTTGCATTTGTGACATTTGCTAAAACGCTGATTGGTGCATATTCCTGGTGAGTTCTCTATTATCTTTAAAAACTAGTTAAGTTTGCTCTCCGGCTTTGCAATGAAGTGCTTAGAAAGCCAAGCCGGCATCGCGGTATGTGGTGAAGATCTTCTCGATGGAGTTCACATAGGCGGCGGTTCTCAAGTCCAGACCCAGGTCGTACTTCAAGGCCGTCTTCATGATGGCGCGCGCCGAGCGCTCCATGGTGTAGTCCAGGCCGGAGTGGACAATGTCCTTCTCAGATGCACCGGAGATGCGTTTCTGGAACGATTCGGATGGTGTGACAGGAATGCGGCCACCGACGCGTCCGAAACGACGTTCCAGGGACTCTTGCACGGATTCTGTAATATGGTTGAGTGGATAGCAGAAAGAGAGAAACAAACATACAAAGCGATTAGTTTATGTGCCACATGCTGGTCTAGGTTGGGTCTACAAGTGACAGCGAACAAGGAACAGTAGGTACATATATGTATGGATGATGGAAAACTATAGTGCATACGACTAGCTTCACTAAATTATGCGATTTTAATCAATTAAAGCGTGTGTGTATGGAAATAGGAAGTGGAAATAAATTGGAGTTAGGAGTTATGATGCGGTTAGTGACACAGCTTGTGGATAATAGAACATGCCTTTCAATTTATATTTACTAGTACATCTAAAAAGAGTGGCAACTATTCTGTAGAATCAATTAATACGTCAATAAAACTCCTTAAACGTGTGTATAGTAAGTTCGAGTATGTGTGGCTTTCAAAAATTCTATATACTTGTATTCAGATATAGTTTTGGATTATTTAAACAAACATGAACCGGAAAAATATTATGTAGTGTAGTGCTAAGACCTATAAGGAAACTAGGAAGATTTTGTGTACCAATATAATCTTTCTTAGTTCAGCTATCCAAAACGGAAAGATTACACTTGGGCAGGGAAGCAGAGAAACTAATTCTACATAAAGCGATTTCTGAGATCTGCGTCTTAGTAAGTAGTACACGTAGAAACTCAATACATATATGCATTTAGATGAGGTAGATGGGTAAATAGCTTGAACATAGTACAGTTAAAATCAGTATCTACAGAACCAATAACTACATTAACAAAAGCCAACATATATACACAGGTAGGAGGTCTAATAATGTATTGAAATTGAATTCGAGAAAAAAAACAACAAAATGTGAATTGTTTTGAGGGTGTAGTTGTGAGTGGTTGTATATGGGCGGGCAAAAGAAAAAAAATTAATAATAATGTACCGTCCAGAATAGCTCTTTCAATTGACTGTTGGACTGAGGCTACATTGGTAATAGAGAAACAGAAAAAAAGAAGAAGAATAATCAACAAATTACTAGATGAGATTAAAATTAATTTACAATTTGTATTTTGTGAATATAGTAGTAGTAGTAGTAGAGTGAAACGAGCTGAATTTTTAAACAAGGTGTGCAAAGTTATACCCAATATATAAAGTTTAGAAACCGAACGCAAAGAGCAAATGCTGAGGAGCAGCTGCTCTCCTGTACAGGTTTGCAACTGGCTTACTCGTAGCTAGTACAACTTAGTCTAACTTAAAGCATTAAAAATATAATTTGAGTACAAATGAGAGATATGTGAAACCATCGATTTTTGGGTGCATCAGTGCAGCTTTCGATTCTAGTGCAAAGGTGCGCCTAAGACGTCTAAGAGGCATTGTAGACTTACCGAGCAATTGGTAGTTGGACTCGCGCTCGTACTTGAAGGTCAGACGACCATACGAGACATGGTTCAAGTTCTTCAGCCACTCAAAGAAGGAAACGGTGACACCGCCGGCGTTGATGTACAGATCGGGTATGACCAAAATTTTGCGATCAATGAGTATCTTATCGGCAGCTGGTGTTGTGGGTCCGTTGGCGGCCTCGGCAATGATCTGCAACCAAAGTTAATTTTATTTTAATTATTGTTTTTGCAAGTATTGGTATATGTTCGCCATACCTTTGCTTGAATTTTGTGCGCATTCTCACTGGTGATGACCTTCTCGACGGCCGCTGGAATGAAAATGTCGCACTCCTCGAACATCAGATTCTCGCCCTCGTATGGCTTGGCATGTGGATAGCCAACAATGGTGCCGTGCTCGTTCTTGTAGTCTTCCAGCAGCTTGGGATCAATACCCTCTGGGTTGAAGATGGTGCCATCGTGCTCAATAATTCCAATGCAGGTAGCACCCGCACGAGTCAGATAGCGGCAGGTGTGCAGACCCACATTACCAAAGCCCTGGACAATGAATGTCTTACCACCCCAGCCGGGAGTAGTACCTAAGGATATTTATTCAAAATGTATTACAGTTTTCGAAACTACACAATTATTTCAGACCATGGAAAATATGAGCACTCTTCAATAGGATTTCATGATTTTGGAGGTAGGATTTATGGTCCGAGGTGGTTTTATTCTGATGTTAGACAAATTTACATTCATCACTAACTGATAATATTTCTAACTGCTTATGTTGAAAATGAAAAAATTCAACCCAAAGGTGGGGAAAAAATTAGGTAACGTGCTTGAATTTGTTTCATATGCATATTTTCCATTTCCTTTTCATAAATTTGAAACTTTATTTACGTGTGTTGTGAAAATAAGTCTCATGAATATATAGTCTGAAATGGGCTTTGTCACACTTACCAATCTGGCTCATATAACTGGCCTCATTGATGAAATTCTCGAGACCGTGGAATACGCCGCGACCGGTGGCCGAGACACGACCGTGAATGCCACCCTGGTTGATGGGCTTGCCAGTCACACAAGCGTGTGCATTGATGTCCAAGTGACCAATGGTCTTGGCATAGGTATCAGCAATCCAGGACATCTCACGTTCGCCAGTACCCATGTCGGGGGCAGGCACATCGACACCGGGTCCAATGAATCCCTTCTTGGCCAACTCAAGTGTGAAGCGGCGTGTAATCTTCTCGAGCTCGTGCTCGGAATACTCCTTGGGGTTAATCTTCAGGCCGGCCTTGGCACCACCGAATGGCACATCGACGCAGGCGCACTTGAAGGTCATCAGCGCGGAAAGGGCTTTGACTTCGTCGCGTGACACATCCAATGAGAAACGAATACCTGAAAGGAGATTGCATAATGAGTGAAAATCTTATTGGCATTACGTAGACAACAGATGTGGCATTTCGACTTTTTTCTTGTTTTTGTTTCTTTTTTTGAATGAAAGTGTTTCTGCTTGTGTGTGTATGTGTGTGTGTGAGAAAATCAATTTCCATTTGCATTTTCATAGTCGTCGTCACGTCTAGCACACAGCCTTAAAAGTACATTCCTCCTATCAGTGCACGTTTGTTGCCAACTATTCATCTAGCATAAGAATCTAGCTAGATAGTTCTGTATATTTTTGGATCAAGTCCAATTGACAAATGCTATAAGGGTTTTGTGTGTCATCGCAAATGCAACTAAAAGCAAAAGTTTGATACCGAAATTTCTCGTCTGCACCCCGCACGTGCCCTTGTTGTTGCTGTTTTTGTTGTAATTGTTGTTGCTGTTGCTGTTGCTGTTGCATTGTTGACCGACTGATCGATGTGGGTCAAGAAAGCCCCCGCCCCATTTCCTGCAGCCAGTTTGCGCAATCCCGAAGTACAAGTAAGCTGCATACGCACTAAATTATTGAGCTTTATCTTTATATTTATTTGCCCGTCGCTTGTTCTTTCTTTACATTTTTGTTTATCTTTGGGTGCGAAGGGGGAAAAAGGGGCTCAGTGCTGAATGTTCTTTAACTTTGCCGTCCTTGATTTCACGATAAGATAAGCCACTTCCTAACTTATCTGAGAAACCCTAAAATCATATGTGGCTATCAATGTGGCTGAGAATGCACGCTAGAATTTGTTACTAATAAAAAATTTAAAAACAGCACTTGGTGATTGTGTTTTGAGAAACCCGAAGCGGCAAAAGTATCCAATGCATTGAGCATGATCGAATATATAACTATAGTCTGCCTGTTTTATGGCACGTAGATAAATTTTATCAGTAACTAAACACAAAGTACAATTCGCGTTCTTAGAGGTTGTTTTATGTAATGAAGAAATAAATGATTTATTCAATCATTATTTGTAATCCATTGTTCAATTATTTGAGCATAACTAGAAATACATTCAAAATCCTACTTCAATTTTCAATTTAAAATTATTCACTGTGCTTAAAATCATTATGATTTTACAAGTGAGGTTAAGATATCTATAGAGTACAGGCAGCTTAGCCATTTCTTCTTCATTAATCCAAATGGAGAAATATAAAAAGTTGACCAACAATCGACCGTGTAAAAAGGGGAAAAATAATACAAAAAGAAACCCATAAATCTTAATGACTTAATAGGTTTTAGTAATATTAATATTAAACTAACTTAATTCACCTTTATTGTAATTTATAAAAACATTCCTACTGTTCTGTTCTCCTGTATGAAAATTTTTTGTAGAACAAGTGCTGAGATGATTATAATTTCCATATCAAAAATATCGAACGTTGAATATAGCATTCTTTATAAAGTTAAATAAAAAGGGGTCCTCTCAGAACATAAAATAGCAGTAATATTTTTCAAAACAGTTTTGAACATTTCGTAGTAGTAATATTTTTCAAAAATAATTATTGAATCGTATTTGTCAAGGCTAGAGAAGTTTCAAATCGACTGATTAGTATTAGTGGGTTACATCATAAGTATTTGTAAATGGATAGTTAAAAAAGGTCACATTAACTTATTATATTATTTTTTTTATAAATCTTTAATGTTTATTTAAGATAATTATGTGGAATTCCTTTGAAACAGTCAAAACAGCCTTTATTCAGATGTGGAAAGACCTTTTACTTTTTAGAAGGATTATGGAAATGGGAGAGATAAATTGTTGCCCAATTAAAAACTATTATTTTTCAGTGTAGCCATGTATTTTATATGGCGAGGCGAGCCCCCGAAAAGCAGCAGTTATATATACATAGTGCATATATGTATATATAGTATACTATACTATATACATACATATGTATGTATGTATATTTCGGTCGCTATGTTGAAGTTCTGAATTTAGCTGCCTAGTGACAAATTAGTGGCTGTGACCATGAATTTTAGCTGACCTGCTGTTGCTGATAACTGGACTAAACCTGAATGCTAATCTCTATCAGCACATTAGAGTATATACATATACTTGTATGTATACGATATGTATGTGTATGCAAAGCGATTTTATAAACAAATAAGAACGAAACGGCATTTGCTGGCTATAAACAACTTTTCTAGTTAGGTGGGTGCTGTCGTCTTCTTCTCATTCTCATTCTCATTCCCATTCCTATTGTCGACCGATATGGGCTGACTGTACGCGGCATAACAACAGCAGATAAAAAGTCAGTTTGCTGCCACTGCCATGCCCAGCTCTGTTTTGTTTGCATTGGCTCCACCATTGTCTCTTCCCATTTCTTTGTAGAATTTGTTTTTTTTTTTCGTTTTTGGTCAAAATGAGGCAACACCAACAACTTTATCAGAATGTTTTCGACGAAAATATTTAACGCGTGACTCTTTTTACACATGTACATACATACATACATACATACATACATGTGTATGTATGTATGTATGTTCTGTTGTTACGCTAGAGCGTATCTTTATCGTTATATAAATCTATTATTTCTTATAGCCCTCATCGATGTTGCCAGCCATTAAATAGCAATTTATATATAGACTTTCATCGGTATATATACATACATATATGTATGTTATGCTGGTTATGTATGTATGTATTTGCGCATGTGAAGCTTATTTGCGATAAGTTTTTTAGTTGTTTTTTGTATTTTAGGGGCTCGATCGCGGTTCGCGTGGGGTGTGTACACTATATATGTATACAAGTATATGTATATGTTTATGTATACACTTATATATATGATAGTACAGTATTAAGTGCCATTGGCAACAGCACGTCTGTTATTGGCTCTAGTCAGCTGACCAGCCGTTTTAACCATGACGTTGAACAAATAAGTACACATATCATCGACGCCTACATAAGTGCAAAATAATATTTATTTTTTTGTTAGTAATGCTGTTTACTTCACAACATTTCTTGTTGTTTTGACACAGTAAAATAGTTTTGATTATATTTTTGGCTTTAAAAAAATAATTAGCACCTAGATCGAGTTGATTTATACAGTTCCATCGTTATTTTTTTTAACAATTAGAAACTGAACTCTGGTCAAACATAGTTTTAAATAAATTTTATGTGTTCTGATAAGCCATAGGAACGAAAATACAGAGAGCTCCTCAGTATTACCACTGCAATCTGACTAAGGAAATCATTTAAAACACAATATTATTATATGTTTTTGAGTTTTTGAATAAAATGCGTAAAGCTTTGAAATTGAATTTTTTTTAGTTAATATTCTTAATATATTTTAGATAAATTATAATTTTAATGATGAAAGTTGCAAACAGAAAATATGTATAGCTTGTGTTCAATTATTTATCACCCTATTTCCTCTTATAGTTTCGTCTTTTTTACTTTATTGGAATCAAAGAGTTTTAGCAAATTAAATAAATTTTAAGGACTCTGTAGGGCAAAACATACTCGTATGTATTTATTAAAGTGTGACTTATGGAATAAACAAACGCATTCCCTGGTAAGGGTACCATACGCTATTGAAAGAAACGAATCAATAATTTAGTCTTCAATTATTAAACTAGGACATATCATTTCTCTCAATTGCAAAAACAATTTTTACAATGATAAATCAAGCAAGAGAGAACGCTACAGTCGAGCAAGCCCGACAGTGTAATACCCTGTACCCAGGTAAACTTCCGTCACTGAGTTATATGCGCCCATAGCAGCAGCAAAAAGAGGAAGAAGAAGAGCGAACTTGTTGCTGCAGTTTGGGGGGGTTGTACTGGCGAGAATTTGTTTCGCTAATAACTTTTCTTAGAATTGACCGAATTGAATAAAATTTTGAACAACAGTAGACAATTATATATAAATTATGTGTGCAAAGTTTGGTTTAGGTAGCATTTGAAATGTGGACGCTGTTGACGAAATTCTGTAGCAGGAGAAGGAGGGGAAACTAAAAAAAAAATAAACTCGTCCTTTCTCGGACCTAGGAGAATCTGGATGCCAACTTTGGTTATTCTAGCTTTTATAGTTTCTGAGATCCTCGCGTTCATCCAGACGGACGGACGGACGGACATGTCTAGATCGATTTCTCTCGTCATGCTGATTCAGAATATATATACTTTATGGGGTCGGAGATGCTTCCTTCTGCATGTTACATACTTTGCACAAACCTAATATACGCTTTTTACCCTACGGGTACAGGGTATAAAAATATTCCCAACATAACACATATGTATGTATGTATTTCAATTGAATATGAATCGAAAACTATTGTGTTTTCTGAAACAGAGTCCAGTCCTAGTTGTGATCAACACGTCGAGTGACATTGAGATTCCATAGGTCGAGTATTGAACCGGTTGGCAGTTTCAAAATAACGCACGTATGTGACATTTTCCTAAAGTGTCAATGTTTGACGCAATTTGACGCTCAACACTAATCAGCAGATATACACGTAGTTGCAGCTATTTAGCTGTGACTTCAAAAGAGTCTCCAAAATCATAAGATAGAACGTTATAGTCCCGCGATTCAGAGATTTTTATACCCTGTTTCGCACCTCCCCTCCACACCCTGCTGGCCTAGTATTAGTTTCGGCAATTTCTCAGTTATTTACATAGTTATATCGAACACCTATGTATAGGTTGTTTGAAGTGTTTGCTTATGCACTTGGGTGAGACACGAAGGCAAACACTTTGCACAGTTGACTCAATCCATTTCAATATGAAAATGCAAGTTTACGCTATTCTACTAATCGTGTTTGTCAATATGCTGTGTGTTTGCACAATATTTCAATACCGATACGCAAAAGTGTGTACTCATACTTGTGCACAAGTAAATGTGTAATACGTATACACCCCGTATTGCTATCGATAGCGCTCTTCATGTTCATTACATTCATTATCAAGAACATTTGCATTTGTACGAGTATTTCTAGTGGGGAGCCTGTTTGGTTTGTTTCTGTTTTGACAATAGAGTCTTGTGATCGACACTGGCGAGATCCAGAAAAACTGGGAGGGTGACTCCGACAGACAGATACAGAGAGAGAGAGAGAGACAAAGAGGCAAAGTAATGCTGACGTGCTGATGTGCAGCAAAGATCAATTAAAGCTTAGCTTACGACTGCTTCTATGTTACAAACACACTCACATTTACATATATATGTGTATTTTTTGTGGCTGATGTTGTAACAAAAAATGTACATAATGTGCATTTGTGTTTAAAGTTCAACGACATACATAAGTATTATATTTACATACTTGTACATGAGAGAATATACATATTGTGAAATGTGCAGTCGTTTCTCAGTAAATTTCGTATAGCTCTAAATCATATATATGTATGTACATAGTTTACTGTCAATTTCTTTTCTGATTGCAAGAATATACCTCAATTAATGAAGAACGAAAGAATAGCAATGAATGAATGGGTTTTTGTATTAAATGTACAAATTCACTTATTCAAATAAAAACACAAATTGCATATTCATTTAATTTCATGTCCCGATTTAATAATTACATATATCAACAACTTCTGTGGGAATGTTTTAACACTAAAAGCCTTGAGTACTCTAATCACTACGAGCACTGATAATATACAAATGTATTGATAATAATCATTTAATAACAACTAATACATAAGCACAACTATTAAAGTGTTTCAAATAATCAATAAAACAATAGTGTAATGTAGAAATGCAACGGAATGCAATTTTAGGCATTTTTGTTCACAAATTCACATATTGAGCGCATTTTATTTCTCATACGGGCAGCAAACACTGTCTAAGACTCTATCCCTATTGGAAGCCGAGAAAATGATGGCTGAGGAGCTTACAACGTTTTTCATTCCATTTGACTAGAAAATTGATAAATTGATGTACTTGTATACATTTCAACAACTGTCGAACAGCCCTCGCAGAGGGCCCTCGACTGTGTAGCATGTGAGTGACTCACGACTGTTGCTCTTCGTTCAATTTCGGCGCAACGTGAGCATCACGTGAACACCCAAACCAGACGAACGGCGTCCAAAGTGAACTTGGGCGCTGGATGAATGACAAGAGCCGAAGACGCGAGGCGCAGAAACCAGTTTGGCGCATTGTCCGTAATTTTTTGCGCAAAAAATTGAGCCGACTTCGACCAATTGAAGTGAAATAAAATAAAGAGCGTCGCTCACAACTACAATAAAATACAATGCCGATTTGAAGCGAATTTGTGGCAAGCGTGGCTGCATGAAGTCATTCGTGTCAGTAAATATAAATATCGGATACATACAAGAACTATTGTAACAGTTAAATAGTATCAAGTCTCAATGGGAATTAACATTAATTAGAGCGCTTGCAAATTTAACAACTAGAGAGTGTAAAATATTTGAATTGCTCGATAAAAGGCTGCCTAAAGCTAAAGAGCAGAACGTGTGTGCCCATAATTTTAGCGCTTTTGGCAAATGCATCAACAAACTGCTACTCGTGTATACTAAAATAGCGTATCTAATATTTAGACAAATACATAAGCACTAGCAACTTTTGGGGCTTGTCGACCAATCAACCACTTGGCAACAGCCTCCAACTTGTTTACAGTAAAAATTTGCTCGTAGTTGTTGCTTTCTCATACATAAGCGGGACACATGATCAAAAATGCCAAACAATTCGAAAACAAAATCATAAATACATATACATACATACATAAGTGATATGTGTTGGCCGTCCGTCCGGCCCTTCAATACTACTGACTAAGCGTTTTATTCTAGGCTGTTAACGTCGCCGCGACTTGCTTTACGATCATTATCATACAGTCAGTGTTGTAGCACGTGTTGTTGTATTTGATCGTTTTTTGTTGTTGTTGTCTTTCAAAAACTTTTTCTCACAAAATATATTTCAAAACCGACTTTTGTTCGACATCCCATTATTTGGGACCATCTGATTTTTCAATCTTCGTTTCATTTGATTTCTATCTAGGTACCATAATTATCTACTGGATCGTATATATGGGGGTAGTACTATTCTAACTACTTCTAGTATCCTTATCAACTGTTATAAAATGGAATTGGAAACTACATAATGAAGTTTTGATCAGGTTGATAGTTTCTGCAAAACTATAGCATTTCGAAAATTCGTTTTTTGTGTATTCTGCAATTTCTTATAAGAAAATGCGGGTTTGTGTCTGTATGAGACGGAATCTGATTAGAGATTGGAAATCATTTAAACACTCGTAGTGGGACAATGATTCATTGCACGTTTTTATGCGACATTGTAAAAATTTGAAAATTATACAATATGTATAGTATCTGAAGATTTCTCTAGTAGTAGCGTCTACTCATAAACAATCTCATAAGCTATGACTGGCCTTTTTATTTGATAATAGTTTGATAGAGCGTGAATTCATATGCACTTTTGACCCCATCCGGTTCTTAAATACTACGGCACATGTATGTACATACATATGTATATGTATGTATGTACAAATATGAAAGTCAGATAAGCATGTCACTAATGAAGTGTTTTCTTGTTTGTTCCGTTTATTTTTGGCCAAGCATTCGGTTGATAAGCACTCGAAAACTTATGAGGTGGCATATTTTGTAATTATGCGAAAACAAATTCATAAATTGAAAACTGTTTACGATGTCATGTTGGCGCTATTCGGCGGGGGGCGGACTTGGCAACTTGAAAAATACAAATGTATGTTGAGCATAATATTGTGACAGTTTTTGCATCGCCTGCGATCCACTGTGCGTTTGCTATAGCTCTGTTCTAAATCCAATAGGAAACTAAACAAAACGCAATAGCAAAGTTTATTAAAAATAGAACTCGAGCAAGCATAGCAGGTGGAAGGAAAATTTTGTAGAAAGCTGGCGCAAAAACAACTACATTAACAAATGTGAGGAATACGATTAGTTGCTTTTAGACATATGTACATATATATGTATGTTTGAATTTGCATAAATGGCCTGACACACATACCCTAAGCATCAGAAACGTATACACGGATAAAAAAGAAGGCAGGTCTCTCATATTTATGCGGCCCTTGATCGAAGGTTCAAATTGGCGTTTCCTAAACACTTGAGGGGTTTGGAAAACCAATGAAAACACGTGCATCGCATGCAACTTATGCAACTTGTGGCAAAATGAACATAAACATCGCGGAGTATGCGCGTCAAATGGTTTATAGGGTGGCGGAAGGGTAGCTGGACGTTGAGTTTGTGTGTGTATATACATACATATATATACATATATATAGTTACATAATTTGCAGAGAAAATAAACGGTTCTGCCGGCGATTGCAATATTGTTTATGTGGCGAGAGCTTAAGGAAAATTAATCTTTGATGGAGGAGGAAGAAAAGCAAAACAGCTGGAAATCGATTTTTGTTTGTACACACAAAAACGGGTCGGCTCTTCAATTTTGTGGACAGGCACATCACTCACCTCCTTTCGTTGGCACTCTATGTGTGCTATGCTGCGCCCGATAGCCAGTTATCATTTCGTAGTTGCCCGAGTCCCTTCGCAGGGGGAAGGCAATCTCAATAATATGGTCACAGGGTTGCATAAGCATAAGAATACCCTTAACCTTCTTCTTCTTCTCGTCCAGAGAAAGCTTGCCCTTCATGTCATCGATGAGGGAACCCTCAGATATCTGACAACCACGATGGAAGAAATATTCGACCATGTCGAAGAAGCGTGGATCCTTGGCAGTGGGCACATCCTTAAGGCGATCGGGTATCTGATGCTCGGCAGTATAGCCACGCGTCTGGAGCACAGCGGTGGGGAGAGCCTTGACCAAAGTGGTCAATTCTTGTTGGCGAATAGCGCCCTGGCGAGCCAAACTCTTCAGGTGATACATATTAACATCGGTTCTACACACAAAACGCCACACACACACAACTTTGAATAGTCTAACGCCAAGTTTTGCTAATTAGACTTTTGGTTGGCGCAACTTCCTGTACTTGCTTTCTTTGGCTCAACCGCTGGCTATTCGGCACCGCAACAAACTGAGCGTGTTCGGATATTTTCGTGGCATTTCATTCATTTTCACTCGCATTGCGCCAAAGCGCGAAAGCTTTTCTAAAGCTTGCACTCAATGGCAAGTAAACCGCCATTTGCTTCTGACTTGCACAGTTTCGATACCAATCGATAGTTTTGCATCGATATTGTTGGTATTAGTAAGATTTGTGTCTGCATACTTGGTATTAATCGTACTAATGAGAAAAATTAGAAACAATTTGGTTCCGGTCCAACAGTGTAATAGACTATAAACATTTTTAGCGTATTATCTGTACCAAATTCAAAGATATACATAAAAATGCGAATCATACAGAATACTTTTAAATCTTATATCTATTTTATTTTATTTTTATATTTTCAATTTTCTTTGGTGATTCTACTTCCACTTCCTTGAATTTGAATATTAGCTAAGCCGCGAATGATTGCGACCATTGTTTTTTATTTGTAACATATGTTTTAACATATTTGAATTGACTCGATAGATATCAATTTCAGAGTGGCAGCGCCGACTTTTCCAGCTGAGTTTTCTGACAGCCTTTGATGTACTAGTTGTCTGGCAACCTTTGATGTACGAAAGAATTGAGTAGTTTATGTACATTTTGTTTTGTCAAAACACGCGGAGACCAAAATTAACTTTTAATTGTGCAAAATTATAAAATATGTTACGAAAAATTGCCAGGCAGATGGGCCTGCAGGTAGGCCAGCAAATTCGTGTTACGAATTTAGAGCGACGTACGCTGACAACAACAAATGCACTTTACAAAGAGGGTAAGGCGGCATCTAAACAGTGACATAATGTTTACTTTTATTTCATTGTGTTTTTCTGCAGATGCTAGCCTTAAAGCCGAGGCAGCTGCACCGCCAAAGACTATTCTTGTAGAGAAGGACAAGAACCTCACACTTATTGGCATTAATCGGCCACAGCAACGAAACGCAATCGACTCGAGCACCGCTGCGCAACTTTGTGACGCTTTTGCCGCTTTCGAGGCTGATGATACGTCGCCGGTGGCGGTGCTTTATGGCGTGGGAGGTTCCTTTTGCTCCGGCTTTGACATATTGGAAATGAGCACCGATGAAAAGGAGGAGATTAGTGTGGACATACTAATGCGTCCCGAGGGCTCCGTTGGCCCCACACGTCGTCAAATTAAAAAACCCGTGGTCTGCGGCATAAATGGCTATTGTATAGCCAATGGTTTGGAGCTGGCACTGATGTGCGATTTGCGTGTCATGGAGGAGTCTGCAGTGCTAGGCTTCTTTAATCGGCGCTTTGGTGTACCCGTGTTGGATGGCGGTACTGCACGATTGCCTGCAATGATAGGATTGTCGCGTGCACTGGACTTGATACTTACAGGGCGTCCAGTAGGTTCGCAGGAAGCGCACGATATTGGTTTGGTGAATCGCATTGTGCCCACAGGCACGGCATTAGGTAATGCGATTGAATTGGCCACATGCCTGGCCAAATTCCCACAGCGGGCCCTCAACCACGATCGCAATTCAGTGTATTCTGCGGCATTCGAGACGTCCTCCTTCCATCAGGCTGTGCAAAATGAAGTGATGTATACATCGCGCGAAATTATAGAGGATATGCAAAATGGAATCAAGTGGTTTAATCAGAGTGAGTTTTTGTGGTGTTTACCAAATGGCGTTTTCCTTTTGAATAATCCCTGTTCCAATTTCGTTAGCCTTTAAAGCAGATACTACACATGCGTGGCTAAAGCGCGATCGGTCAATGGCTGATTGGGATGACGAGGAAGTTGCTGCGGCAGCCGAACACAAGGAGAAACTAAAGCAGGAACAGGAAGCTGCGGCTCTCGAAGCCGAGAAACAGAAAAAGGCCGAAAAGGAACAAAAGAAAACCAAAAAAGCAGCCGAACCCAAAGCGGAGACTAAAAAAGACGGCGAAGAATGTAAAAAGCCTGAAGTAGAATCAAAGGACAAGCCGACGGACAAATAGTCGCTTGACTATTTGAAAACAAAACTAACAGTTTTAAGCGAACTGCTCTGCTCTGTATATAAAATGTTGGATACACATTTAAGAACTGAGTCAAATGAAATTGTTGAATTATTTATTAAAATAATTATACACTACTAACGATAAACAAATTGTATTCCTCTTTAAAAAGCTCTATGAGAATAACGAAAGCTAGATGGCGCCATAAAATAAACTACATGTTTTGTTGTGGCTACATGATCTCCATTGCCTGTTATCAGGCACTAGCCGGCTGTAGGCACACGCACCTGTTATTCACGTGTGAAAGTCTAGTCGTAGATAAGACTGTATTTTAGCTGCCGTAGCCTTATCAAACAAGGGTGACTTTAGACATCGATTTTATTAAATTTTAACCTACGAAACATATTTTGTTATCTAGCCGTAAATTGAACTTAGTCTAGTGCGCAAAGTGCACTCGGGCCAAAAATAATATTGCGCATTAAACCGGAACTTGGAGAAAATTTATCAAGCATGGGGGACTTTAGCCATAGATTATTCTAATTTTAACCTATGAAACACTTGTATGTTGTTATTTAGCCGTAAATTGAACTTAGTCTAGTGCACAAGGTGCACGCTGCCCAAGAATAATATTGCGCATTAAGCCGGAAGTTGAAGAAAAGATTGTCCGACCGAGATAAAAATGGCTAAATTAATTATAAACTATTTTTAATTAATAAATATGAGGTTCCAGGCAGGTGTCTGTCTCTTTTGTAGACCACCAAGTCCGCCTAGACAGACAGTTTTTGGTGGTATGGGATTTTTCCACTAGGGAAAAAAACTGAAAATGTTTTGTTTTGCTAATTTGTAGCCTGCAGCATGGTTCAATGCCTCTCTATTGACAACCAGGCAACAGAATGAACTGCAGTTTAGGTTATTTGAAAAGCCGGCACTAATCAGGTTGCTCATACATGCTTGTATATCTACTGATTTGTAGTATAGCTAATCAGCAGCTATGCATATGTATGTATGTACATAAATATGTTAAATTGGCGATAAGGGCAAATGAATTTGGTATAAATAGCACGTGCCATTGGGAATATTGGAACACAACTTGTTTTTTAGTCGGAGAAGTCTGAAGCAAGACGGGACAGAGGAAATAACGCATCGAATTAATCGAAAAGTAAGTGAATGAATAAACAGTGAATATTGTAAAGAGAAAAGTGACCCAGAAGTTACGGCCTTCAATGTCAAAAAGAGCGCCAAAGCTAGTGGGAGAGTGAAAAAGAAAATGGCAGCAAGAACAGGAGGCCATAAAAGCTCTGCAGTGGCTGTATCTGAAACGCAGTTACATGGCAGCGCTCGCTTAGGGCGGCCGTTAGTTAGAGAGAAATTGTGAAGAAAAAGCGCATTAAAGTTTTAGTGTTGCAAGTTTAATCAATTGCAAAGTGCAACTGCTACTTGTAAGTGAAAATCAAAAAGGGAATACAAAATCTTTAAATTCGCAAAAAACACGTTAACAAAATGTTGCCTTCTGCAAATTTGTTCATTCGCGTGGCAGTTTTCTAAACTTCAAAATGAAAATATATGGCATACATTTTGCTGACATGATTAAATAACCACACAGAAATTGCGCACATATTGTATGTACATACATATATATAAATAAAAATACCCATGTACATACGAGTATACATACCTATGTACATACCTATGTGTGTGTGAGCGTGTAGTTTTTGCATGTATTTATGAATTCGGTTGGTCACATGGTTCATCGCCTCCGCAGACAAAATTGATGTTGCGTCCACTGCTACTGATCTTTGCAGCGGATCGCGCGGGCGCACAGAGAGGGAAAAAGAAGAAAAAAAGAGAAGACACGTCAACAACAATGGGCAGGTTTTTAGACATTTGAAGACCACGATACCGTCGACTACCGGTACAGGGATGCTACACAATATTTCAATACTTCAATGTGATTTCGATTACATACTTCATTGAAAATTGTATTTAATTACATGTACGTGGTGTATTTACAATTTGGCTCATGAATACAAATAACATTATTATCACTTAAGCTTAAAAAGCTTTAACGCCCAAGGCAGACAGACAGTCAGGCACCCTGTATTAAGAACTTTGCATTTACTGTATTCATATGTACATATGTATTCATATGTATGTATAGTAGAAATATATGCACATACATATGTATGAGAAAAGCTAATATTTGCACTGAGACTACGCTTAATATGAATTTATGTAAATATTGTTCCATTTATAGTCTGCTTTATAATGCCACCCAACGCCGTTACCGTGCCCAGCACACTCGACGCGCTCTCTACTGAGGCAGATCTGGTGCCACAGCTTGTGAAGGGATCCAAACAAACGGGAGTACTCTTTGAGGGCGATGCGGACACTACTGATGGCGCCTTGGCCACTGATATCCGACAGTTTAAGAAGGCAGAGAAACGCAAACTGAAGCTGGTCTGGCGTAACATTATACTTTTTGGCTATCTGCATTTAGCCGCACTCTATGGTGGTTATCTGTTCTTTGCCCAGGCCAAGTGGGCCACTGTTTTCTTCTGTGAGTATGCAAATTTGGATAAGTCATTGGTCTATACTAAGTAACATATTTATATCCTTTTTTGTAGCTATCCTACTCTACTCGGTGGGCGTTCTAGGCATCACTGCTGGTGCTCATCGTCTCTGGGCGCATCGCTCCTATAAGGCCAAATGGCCGCTGCGTTTAATCTTGATCGTTTTCAATACGATCGCTTTCCAAGATGCCGCCTTCCATTGGGCCCGTGATCACCGCGTACACCACAAGTTCTCTGAGACCGATGCCGATCCCCATAATGCTACTCGAGGCTTCTTCTTTTCGCATATTGGCTGGCTATTGTGCAAGAAGCATCCCGATGTCGTGGCCAAGGGAAAAAGCTTGGACTTGTCCGATTTGCGTGCCGATCCCATTGTCATGTTCCAGCGCAAGTAAGCTATAATTGACTTTATCTCTACAACTAATTTATTCATTATTCTGCATTATCCCTACAGCCACTACATGGTTCTGATGCCTCTGGCCTGCTTCATTATGCCAACTTTTATTCCCATGTATTATTGGGGCGAGACTTTTGTTAATGCCTGGTTCGTGGCCACCATGTTCCGTTGGTGTTTCCTGTTGAACGTTACCTGGTGTGTGAACAGCGCCGCGCATAAATTCGGTGGCCGTCCCTACGACAAGTAAGTTATACAATTGGCTCAATTAATGTACATCCTCTCAACGCTACTATATATTTTGCAGAACCATTAATCCATCGCAGTGCCCTGCCGTATCTGCCTTTGCATTTGGCGAAGGTTGGCATAACTATCACCACGTCTTCCCGTGGGACTACAAGACCGCCGAATGGGGAAATTACTCCATGAATTTGACCACAGCTTTTATTGATTTCTTTGCCAAGATCGGATGGGCCTACGACCTTAAATCGGTAGCACCCGAAACTGTTGAACGCCGCGTGCGTCGTACTGGTGATGGAACTCACGAGCTGTGGGGCTGGGGCGACAAGGATCTCAGCGCGGAAGATGTTAAAGATGTGCTCTTTGTCAACAAGAAGGCCGAGTAACTCCGAGGCGCCAGCATTAAACAAGACACATATGCACATCAAACTTGTAATATTTATTAACCTATCATAAAATAGTTCTATTGTAAAATATAAGTCTCCATTTATTGAATTGTGATAACGTATACATACATACATAAGGCGGTAATCTATTAAACTGCCTAATGGTTTATATTACTATGCAATATATAGTTAACATTGTTATCGCAAATCTTCGTGTGTTTTTATGAAACTTTTTTTCAGATTAATTTCCGTTGGTTTTATTGTTGCTTGCGATCGTGCTGTCTGGGGTTTCTCAAGTGGTGAACTTTGATGATAAGACGTTGCGTTCGGTAATCTAATTATGAAGCATATGTACGTCTATTGGAAATTTTTACGAATTATTCTCCTGCGAGTCTTGAATCGAATCTGCTAATTGCGAATTGATCTTTGCCTCATCACGTGCTGCTTTGAGCGCATCTCGAACCTCATAAACATGTAGCACCACATCAGCGAGTGCTTGTGGATGACAGCCGACCTCGAGCAGTTCCAAACAAAGATCCAGTGCTTCCTCAGAAAGACGCGTGTTGATTAGCGAGGACATACCGTGCAATACCATGCGCAAGCTCGATGATTTTTGAAGGACCAGAAGACTGGTATCTGCCGGATCACTTGACTGCTCGCCATCAGATTGATCAGCATTTAGATGTGCCATTTTTAAATTTGTGTAAAATATACTATGTTACTGATCTCGACAACAAAATCAAGTACACACATATGTAAATACAAATCAAATGTATTTATTTGTATTCATTCATGATTTGGTTAAAAGTCTGCGTTTGTTCCACCACTTAATGGTATGCGCTGTCCCCAATATTGTGAATAGATCTTAGCAAGAATTTGAAATACACTATTTGCGGTATTACAGATTTTGATTGATGGATATAAACTGCTTTAATCCACAAATTCTATCGGTATTTAAGAACTAATACAATTAGAAAAGATTATCTCATAGAGGCCATCCTTTTTTGTTAGTTAAATGTTATAAAAACTATAATTAGAATTAAAAAAAATAAAATAAACTCGTCCTTACTCGGACCTTGGAGAATCTGGATGCCAACTTTGGTTATTCTAGCTTTTATAGTTTCTGAGATCCTCGCGTTCATCCAGACGGACGGACAGACGGACGGACATGTCTAGATCGATTTCTCTCGTCATGCTGATCAAGAATATATGTATATACTTTATGGGGTCGGAGATGCTTCCTTCTGTATGTTACATACTTTGCACAAACCTAATATACACTTTTTACCCTACGGGTACAGGGTATAAAAACCAATACACTGCTTCACAATTTTAAATAAATACTAAAAGCGTTGATTGCAAGACCTCTTAGACTCGACGACTTTTATTTAGGTCCTAAAACACATGCAAACGGTGGTTGCCGTGTATTGCCGTCATAAACAAGCCACCCAGAATAGACATTTTATTCCAGAAGTAAAATCGTTTTAAGCTTCGTTCCGCATACTTTTCGAAGGGAACCTGCCACCAGGCGTATGCTTGAAAAGCATTTATGGCTATCAACGTGATAAGCAAAAAAGCCGACATACGCAAACGATAGCCAATCAATATGAATGCAATGAGGAATTTAACCACATATTTGTGAAGGGTGCGCCAGTACCAATAATCCAAATGCTTGTACGTTAAGTAGGCCATGAATAGAAATGCCATGCAGCTCTGCCTTCGCGGCTTGATCATGGCCAGTAGCACGCCGCTGACCAGCGCACAGGTGTCCACATATAATTCAAGAGTCCAAAAGGCAGGATTTACTGCCAGCTTCAGATGAGCCACCAAGGAAAGTAAACCGGCTGCAATGTGACGATGACGATCGCCAACCATCCAAAAACTCCCAATAATTTCCAAAAATATTATAGTCCATACGTAAAAGCCTGCGATTTTGTGACCACACTGCCAGGTAAAACTGACAATGTTTCGCTCCATCAGCCAATTGCTTTTATCGCTCAGATACATGACATCCGCAAGAAAACTTGCAATTATGCAAAAACGCGCCACAACTGATAAAATCTGTTTGAAAAGGCGCCGCACTTGATTTTCTATTACAGTCGTGTCCATGTTACCAGACCAAGCTAACTATGGGCATTCATCAACACTGCTTTCGCCTCTTTTTCTCGCTCTTTCTCTAACACTCCAGCCGCGCGACTCTTTTAACAAGTGATTGCCGCTAAAAAGAGAGACAACTGATTGCGAATTTCATAAAATATCAACATGTTTTTTAAACAATAGAGACGAACTGAAGCAAAGGAAAACTTTCATTGATTGTGCGAAACGTACGAGTTGCTGTTTGGAAAACTTTAACAACAATTTCCGTTGAGTGGCGTAGAGATGATCGCCTACTTGGTAATGAAGCTGCACAATATATTCGAGAATATTTATCATAAATATTATATTTTATATTAGATACTATATTATATTTGTAGAATAAAAAACAACCTATCGTCGACTGGCCGAATTTACCAAATTTTGACTTCTTGCGTATTATTGTATTAATATTGTTGTTGCCGGCTAAGCGACTGCGTCTTAGATTATGCGGGCCTTTGCTGATTAGAACATGCCATAATAATATACATGTAGTATGTACATAGGTATGTATATGTATTTGCAATACTATATAGAATTGGAATGTACGTATTTAAATTCCCATAATAGTTAATTGCACCGAATGTTTTTGTTTGTGCTTGGCATTGACGCGTGTGTCGCTAATGACGTCATGCGATGACGCAAAGTCCTTTTCATACAGTTGCAAAGGGTATTTTGCGTCTGGGAAGATATAAGTACCGCCGGATGCAAGCAGATCATTCGTTAATATCGGCCGGATCGGATGACTACGATTTTGCAATGCCTTAGTTGTTTTGAATGCACTTTGTTATTTTACAAAATGTACACAAGTCAGAGAGCTGCCACAGAAACGATATACATACATACATATTTATATGTTGTTTAGAATGGAGAAATATGTATATTGGGTATAAGGTATATAAGTTCCGGCTAACCATTCCGAGGCTAATGTATAAATGCATGTTCTTGTTTTCCATAAGCTTGGTCTCAGGTTCAGTGATTGGATCACCCCAGTTTACCCTTCAAGAGATCACGTTGCTCTGATCACATGCTGCCCTATCGCAGGGGATCTCTACGATGGTGTAATTGTGAAAAATCGTGATTACTAATACATAATTTCCACTGCGAAACAAACTTTTACTGATTTCAATTTAATTCAATCCCTACGTGCTGCTGGACACATCATGTGAAGTCTTATCAGTTGAGATTTTACTGATGATTTGACTTCATTTGCTGTATTACTTAGTAATTAACGTTAATCGTATAGAGCTTATAATATGTGTTTTGTAAAATTTTCCAAAATGCGCAATTCTCTTAATCGAACAAGCGAATTGAAGGGTTACTGCGGGCGCTCAGTCCTTCCTCGCAAAATAAAGACACTTAAAAATGTACTTCTAGAAAATACAACAAATACTCATAAATGTTTACAATAGGATTGATTCTGTGCGTCGAAGCTTATATAACCTTGAAGTATAGTCCTCTACTTTTAAACAAATACCCTAGCCCTCGCATAACGCGGGGGTTACGATCCTTGAAAACGTCGTGTTAAGCAAAATCGCGTTAAACGAGCCATGTATTTCCATTCAAAATGAGGGGTTATGTTCCTAGACTTCGAAAAATGCATACAACAATTTATTAGTGTTTAATTTTATTTTATTTAGTTTCAAAAACATAAAAAGGTTTATACAAATGGCAAACGTTTTCAAAAGTAAAAAGGCAGCTTTAGTAATTAACATTTTTTATATGGTGGCTCCCCTTTGTGCACGCCTGAAGACATAAAGTTTTGCTCACCTTAGCAACTATTTATGTATGGACATAAGAGTATGCACTCATTCTTACTCTGATGGTATAGAAAGTGGCACTTCCCTTCTTCTACACACATCTCATGTGTGGTGATACATACTATACCCAATGATACTCATTCAATAATCGACAAAATCAAAAAATCGATTTTGTCAATCGCGTTAGAACGAGGTATTTCACCGCGTTAAAAGAGAAAAGGTAGCAAATTTGCAATCGCGTTAGACCGAGTTAGCATTAAGAGTTAGCGTTAAGCGAGGGCTAGGTGTATAATCTAAAACAAACAAATATTTTGTTCACCCTCAAATAAGAAAGATGTTCGTTCAAAATTGTTTTTCTGATCGTTGCTATAACTGCTATGTGATTTATTCTCAGATTTTGTTCAAACTGGAGTATATTTTGTATCAATTATAAAACCATGACCATATCTTATTCCTATTCCCAGACAACCAGAGTTGAACACAATCCGAATTCGAAATCATAATTACGCTGAAAATTATATGTTGTCTCGTCTACCTTTAATTCTTCCTTCATTCAAATTGGATATTCTTAAGGGAAATATTTAAATTCTGCATTTACATATTTCGAATCTTTATTTAACTAGGAATACAAGTGTTTTTTGTCCAAACTCCTCTTGTAAAATGACTGGCTCCTCCACTGTTTTTATAACACGGTTTTATTGGGAAATTAGAGTCCATATGCACCTGCAGCTGTGTATGGGTATATTATTTACAATTAGTATCAGCCCATACAGAACATACATATTTATGTACATATTCATGGACGTATTTCCGTCTTACAACTTATACCCTTATACCCATCGTAACCTTGTTTAACAGCTTTGTTTCAATAGAAATCTTTTTCAATGAAACAAATATCAGTACCATACGTAAAACCTTTTCGTTTTCCATATCTCTGTAGAATTTGCATAAGTACGACTATCAAAAGTTTACACTATGCAAATTAATATTTGTGATTTAATTTGCCAGACAACTGTTGATGTTGTTTGGTCGGTTTGTTGTTGGCCATTGTTAGGCGGTGGCCAACTGGTTTGTCCACCTGTGCAAAGTACAAATTTTAAGACTGATATTATTTTCGGCCACCCCGAACCCATATCAGAAACTAACTGCATGCCAACTGTAGAGCAGCAGATTAGATGGGTGGGTGTGGGTCAGTTAGAATACTTCTAGAATTGCATACGTCGGTGGTCGAAATTGAGCTATCAAGGGCCTAATTTGTTTACATGACCGGCCACTTAAATTAGCTCGTTTGCCAATGGAACCAGACTTATAAACAAATAAACAGATGATTTACTCCTATTATCATTATAAACAATACCCCATATCCCCCTAGTTTGTCACACAAAACCTTCAAATAGAAGAAGAAGACGACAAAATAACAGAACTGCAGTTCATGGCTTACGTGCGCGCGCGCTCCAAACAACAAACATATGATCGGCAACAACAAATAGATCCTAATACATAGATCTTTTTATAAGAAATGCCAGGTATTGTGTGTATACATACATATTTGAACTTTTATTCCTCTGTATAGGTAATTTGCAAAGATGGCAATACATTTTGCGCGTCGGCTTCGTAGATGCTCTCCATAAAAGTTTTCATTCTTGACGCTGCCGCAAAGCTGCTCTCAGTTCAAGTTGAATTCGTGTGGCGTGCGGACGTGTTCGTGGCGTAACGCCTACATTACTAACACATAAAATAAACAACAAACGAAATAAATCAGCGTGAACAAAAACTTTTCCAGCTGGTAGAAAAAATTTAAGAGTGGAAAAGCGTTAAATAAATAGCTCATTGTGTGATTTTGTCCAACAAACAGGTTAGTTGCACATGGGTATTATATGTGTAGAGTTGTATAATTGTGAACTGAATATATAGAACATATATTTAAGAGTAATAGTTAAATGTACATATTTTGTGAAAAAATTTGCAACAACCACGCATAACTGGCACTTTTTTTTCATAATTTCTGCAATTTCTTTTTCGCCATTATCTTCAATTTCTGCTTTATCTTGTTTCTATTCTATCATTTGCTTTGCCAAGCTTCGCAGCATCTCTCAGCATACTCATAGCCGTCGTGCTCTTTGTTGTGTTTGTGGGTCCTCCACCTCTATCAAGACATGCATATGTATGTATGTATGCATGTATGTACTTAATTACCTCAGTTTTGACTCTTGCGACCACGACGATCACGGCAACTCTTATGAATTCAACGTTTCGAGCGCCACTTTTTAATTGGCCAAGGTTTTAGTTTAACGGTCAAAGTGGCTATAGAAGGTTAGACACAGCTTAGTAACATATGTATGTACATACAAACATACAATCATACATAAGTACGTATCTAGGGGCATATTGAAAATGCCACAAATCTTTTTATTATTTACAAAAGGTTTTTATTGCGTGAGTGTTCTGAAATTCCTATGAAGTCTTTAAGTTGGTTTTTAGTTAAGTTTCGTACAAGGGGATTTTATTAAAGTAATTGGTAATTTGACATCTATAAAGAAAGAAGTAGGTAGACGTTCCAGATTTGGCAAGTGCAACCTTAGTGACTTTAAATATCTTATTATTTCCACAATATAAATATGTACATATTAATTGTAGCTGCGTAGTTTTTTAAAATAGATGCCAGTACACATACATACATATGTACATATGTATGTGTGTATTGTACTAAACCGGGAAGCGAATCGCTTTTGTCGTACTTTTTGCGGCCATTGAACGCTTAAATAAGAGGCAAAAGTCCGAATTACAATTTGTAATGCGTTGTAAATACATAAATTAAAGCAGCATTTAATGACTCAGTGAACTTTGTTTGGAAAAGTAGGTACATATGTATGTATGTATGTATATACAAAGTACTATAAGCATCTATATTTACTTTCCCAGAAACAAATTTATGCAACATTTTGCGTGCCAAATTCAATTCAACAGGAACAATTTCCACAAATTAGCCACACAATTTAATCTTATTCACAATTGTGCAAAATCAAGAAAGAAGCGGCACAAATTGCAAGCTGAGACGCATTTATGAAATTGAAAATAATAGATTAGTACAACCCAACACCGCTACACCCTCACCAATAAAAGCATTGGCGTATCATGCTGCTGCAACGTGATGCCGGGCGGCAAGCATTTAACGTGCTTCCACTTTCTCTCTTTTTCTCTCTCTCGGTCTGTTCATTTGACTCTGCTCTAAACCTCTCCAATCTAAAGCTCCTCCGTTCACAGAAGCAGCAATATACCACATTTCAAGTTCAATATCAAGGCATCGCGTCATACAGTTGAATCGTTGCTGAAATTTTGAGCGAATAAAGATTTTATGCTCATTGCGCAGAGAACTTCTTACCGGCTGCCACATTTGTCCAATTTTAAAGAGACTCAACAGCTGTTTTGTTTACATGAGAGAGAGCTTAACTCTCTTCACCATATTTGAAAAAGCTTTCTTGCTACCGATCTGCTGTTCTTATAACTAACTGGATTGTTATTCTTGTTATTTTTCTACCCTTTTTGTTGTCAATTTTGCCATTGCTATTGCCGTCGGCGGCATCGTATGATTTCTATGCTCAATTCTCATTCGTTCAAAAGGTAGCGTGTTCTTGGTTGGGGTACGAATGAGTGCAGCTTACACCGACTTGCGAATTACACTTCGATATTCACAAAGAACCAATACGTACATATGTATGTATGTAAGTTTGTATAATATAAATTATACGTGTACATACGTATGTATGTACATACATATACATATGTATGTATGTATCATGTATTGAATACTTGATTTGTATGACGGCATTTCACCAGATTTATTGTTGGGTCATATCAGCGTCGTGCCATGCGATAACAATTCTAACGTGGCGTTTTTAGTACAGTCAAACCTTTTGTTGACGATTTTGCAAACGTATATTATTATACGTTTGCATAATAATACCATTAATATGTTGGAATGTATGTAACGCTTAATAACCAACTGCAACATATATATGTACATATGTACATAGGCCTATTTTCACAATATAATAGAGACTAAAATCAGATAGTTCTCTAAACTACAATTAATAGTGTATGTGTATTCCTTGTAGAATTTGTATGTATGGACGAGTTTGAACTGTTTCTAAGAAATTGTGTTTGTAATGCTTTCCTGATTAGATTGACTTTTAGACCACGTATTGCTAGTCAAATCAAACCCTGACCTTAACAACTAGGTACCTCTGGTTGGGGCTGGCCTATGTATAAAAAAATGTAAATTGCACAAAAAGCTCTCTCAAATCATCCCCCCTCGAATGAGTGAGAGCAGGAGAGCTCTTGATTAATAATGTTGAGCTTTTTTACGGCTGCTAATGGACAGCTGCTTGAGTCTTGCGCACATTTTCCGCACAGCAGTTTTAAATTAAACCGACATTTGACAGGTTGTCTCCGTGCATAGAGTGCTCGTAATAATAGCGCATAAAAAAGGTATTTCTAATGAATATGTATTTTAAAATTGTGAGAACATCCAATTCAAGTAGATACGATAACAAGTGGGGGAAGATATAACTATGTATTTCAATGACGAAATTCAATTGGAGCACTTCCTAATTTATTATTGCACAGTATATTGGAGTCGCACAAAGTTGTATCATGTGTGTATAACAAAGAACCTATATTTGCTGTGGGCTAGGAATTTTCCACGGCAGGCACTTCAAAGCAAGCAGAATATATTGTCTCCACCCAAAAGTGGTTGCAGTAAAAATGCTTAATTTAATTCGAAACCACGAACTTTTTCTAATGTTTTACTTTGAAACGAATTACATACTAACTAATATATATATAGGGGTGCCACATCCTTGTAGTACTACGTGACATGGGAAGAGCCTCACACCGGCTTTTTAAATATTTACAACGTAGAAAGGCGGCAGCGATGGCAACGATGTGCAGTCAGTAGAAATCCTTCGGCGAGGACATGCACAAATTTATTGATTTTTCTAGCATGTTCGCTGCTTCTGTTGCTAGCTCTTTTTTTCATTAATTGTCTTTTATGGTATAATGTCTTTATCCAATCAAACCCCAGCATAAGGTATTGTCAGTTGGTTCGATTGCAAACCGGCTGGCGGAGGGTTCCCATACAACACTCATAAGCGTGTAATTACTACAAATTGCGTAATTACAAGCAGCTACTAAGTAGCTAGTAATAGTCGCGACCACGACGACACCAAACACAACAACCTTGTTGGTGCGCCCAGCAGCGTGTCCCCCGAAAACGCGAAAAAGCCGAAGCGTGTCAAGTTCAAACATCAATTTGTTTTGTCTAATTACAAGTTGTATGCACTATGTATGTGTTCATACATATGTATATTTGCTGTGCATATTCAAAGTTTTACTAATGGTCTCTTCGTGTGTTTGTTTATTTTGCAGCTGCAATATGCCGCCCAACGCAACCGCCGGTTCGCAGTCCATTTCGGAGTCGCTGATCGCCGCAGCCACTGCAGCGGCCGAATCAGAACAGAATCCTACTAAGCTGCAGGAGGACTCCACCGGAGTGCTCTTTGAATGCGATGCCGAAACTATTGATGGTGGATTGGTCAAGGACATTGTGGGAATGAAGAAGGCTGATAAGCGCAAATTAAAATTGGTTTGGCGCAATATCATTGCCTTCGGCTATTTGCATTTGGCTGCCCTCTATGGAGCCTGGCTGATCTTCACCTCGGCTAAATGGCAGACCATTGCTCTTGGTAAGTAATTGGCATAAAAACCCGACCTGACAACCATACATATGTACGAGTATGTCTGGTGTTGTTTGTGCATCTTCCTGTCGCGTGCCGCGCATTATAATTTCGTAGGTTGAACGGTTATCAGCCTTATAGTTTGTTTGTCTCGTATTTGGCACTGATAACCTTGCCAAGTGTCTATTTTGAATATTCTATTATACTTCATATAGGTACCTCATGATACGTATGTACTATACATATAGAGTATATTAGACTAGAGTCTAGTCACTAGACAATTGCATCAGTCAAGTGAATCGCTTTAAGCAATATGAAATGGTATTTGAACTTTTGTTTTGGGTGGCGGTGATGCTGACATGGCTTTTGAAATGAAATCTTTGTTTATGACATCAGCAATATGGAATCAACATATCAACTAAATATTTCGTTTCTAGAAAACACACACCTTTGAGCAGCTTAGATCGGATACCTTTGTCATAAGTGCCATATATATGTAGTATATAGTATGTCTGTGAGACATAATCATAGTTAACGCAGCTGAAAAATATTTAATATTTACACACACACACGTAATTTATAAAATTTTTACAAAAAAAAAATGGATAACTTTTACGTTCCGAAGAAAGTTAACCGTCATGTTGTAAAAGCTGTGCAATACGTAACCGCATATTACGAGACAGAATTTGCGTCGATCTCCGATATTTTACTTGAGGCCAAATACCAGATGCGTAATCTGAATCCTGTGCGAGACATTGAAGAATCGATAAAGTCGTCGCTGCGAAACTTGACCTTCCTGGGAGTGCTGGCTGTGAATAACGGTGGCTATGGCATTGCTCTTCCAAACACAGCCTTGTTGAGATTAGAACGGAAACGGAAGCTACAAGAGCCCCAGGTACCGCCTGTCCCCAGCAAAAAACCCATTACCAAGGTATCCATGTTTGGAAAATTTCATGTTGCCCATTTAAAACCGAACTGGAAGCCCAAACGCAATATGATTGTACCTCTGAAATCGCGAAGCGAAGAGATTACCTTAGGACCTCCACCACCCAAGCGTCGCTGTATAAGAACGAGCCAATAATACTTTACTTAACTCGATTGATGGGAGATATTTATTAATCCAATCCAAGATTCAAAATTATTCGTAGATTATTATTCTTATTTGTTGCGTTAAGTTAAGCCTTAAGTGTAAGTGTTGAGGCCAGCAAACAAAATTGCAGTTTCTTGACCCTCAAGTAAATTTTGTTTTTGTTTTTTGTCTTTTTAGCTTTTGCTCTTTATGTTGTGTCCGGCTTGGGAATTACCGCTGGGGCTCATCGTCTTTGGGCGCATCGTTCCTACAAAGCCAAATGGCCGCTCCGTGTGCTGTTGGTCATCTTTAACACGATTGCATTCCAGGATGCCGCTTACCATTGGGCTCGCGATCATCGTGTGCATCACAAGTACTCGGAAACCGATGCCGATCCCCATAATGCTACCCGTGGTTTCTTTTTCTCCCACATTGGCTGGCTCTTGTGCAAGAAGCATCCGGAGGTGAAGGCTAAAGGCAAAGGTGTTGATCTATCTGATCTGCGTACCGATCGTGTCCTCATGTTCCAGAAGAAGTGAGTGTGAATACGTTTCGAATTATTTCCTTCACTGACTTTTCTTATTATTGCAGATACTACATGCTGTTGATGCCCATCGCTTGCTTTATCCTCCCCACAGCCATTCCCATGTACTACTGGGGCGAGAGTTTGGTAAATGCCTGGTTTGTGGCCACCATGTTCCGCTGGTGTTTCATTTTGAATGTGACCTGGTTAGTGAACAGCGCAGCGCATAAATTTGGCGGTCGTCCATATGATAGGTGAGTGGGTCGCTTATGAAATGATTTTGTCATAGTTTCTTACCTTACTTTCAATCGATCTTTCAGATTCATCAATCCTTCGGAGAACATTTCTGTTGCTGTGCTCGCGTTCGGTGAGGGCTGGCACAACTATCATCATGTCTTCCCCTGGGACTACAAGACTGCCGAATTCGGCAGATATTCGCTAAATCTGACCACTGGCTTCATTGACTTCTTCGCCAAGATCGGTTGGGCTTATGATCTAAAGAGCGTCTCGCCCGACATTATCAAGAAGCGTGTCAAGCGTACCGGTGATGGCACACACGCCACTTGGGGCTGGGGCGACAAGGATCAATTGAAGGAGGAGATCGAGGGTGCAGTGATCACACACAAGAAGAGCGAATAGATGCATTTTTTGTTGGCAGTGGGGGGCAGCGCGAAATGCCCAAATTAGCAGAATTCGAATCAAAGTAAATTTCCATATTGAATGCCCGCGAAAATTTTCTAAGTAGAAGGCAAACCATTAAAGTTAATTTTAAGAAAAAAGAAAATGTTATTGATAAATGTTGTTTATCGAAACACTACCGTCTGTGTTAAACTAGCTCTGGAAGTTTTGTCGCTCTATTTCGTTTTGGAGACATAATTTTGAATGCTGGCCCATCCACGTGTGGGGCGCCAAGTACAGAGTATAGAAGCGTCCTCACATGGCCGACGGCCATCGAACTATCTTTATATTTACACTCTTATACATATATAAAAAATATATAAAAAGTACGTTGTAATTATGGTACAGATCAATTTACAGCTTCTCAATCAATCAAACAGCAAGAGCAATAAGGACTTTTAGGCACACTTTTTAAAAGGTCTTACTTAAAGCACGAAGAAATTTAGTTCAAACAATTTGTTTAAATGCATTAAAGTACACACATACCTGGAAGGATTCAACGGAAGATTTTATTATTTATAGTAAACCAAAAATAATACAAAAAAGATAATTCATTATATATGTATATTTACTATGTAGTGAACGATCTATGTTACATACCTACATACATACATGTGTGAAATTCATATAAGTGTTAAAATAAAACCGGAGATCATTCCGTATAAGCATAAAGACAGAGTAGTCATTTGAAAGGCATTCGTTTCGGCTGTCACAATACGCACTTTACAGCAGTAACATATAATTATTAAAAAAAAATATACACAAAAAACTGAACAGCTCTAGAATATAAGAAATTTCTGTTTATACACGCTCACCGTAATGGACAAACTCAATGCGCGTAAGAATATCTACAACCATGTTGTGAAGGCTCTGGGAACTCTGCAGTCTACACATGATGGTTTTGTGCCCGCTGGGTGCATCGCACAGCAGGTCAAGTATCAGATGCGTAGACAGAAGCCAATAAGAAATGTCGATAGATGCATTCAAAAGTCATTATGTGATCTAACAGACTGGGGTATTGTTGCGCGCACTGGGCACTCGGATTACGCACTGCGCGAAGCTTTGTGTTTCGACAATCCGGGCGTTAAACCAAAAACCGGAGGAACCGGGCACAATCCGCCTCGCCGCGTTGCACGTCTGATGGTAAGCGATCTGAACTGATCTCAGCTTGTTTTTAGCTTGCAATTAGTCATACCTAATGGTATGATCCTACAGGCCCGTAAGCCCGAAACCTTGGACCCTCAGCGAAAAGCAAGACGCGTATTGAGTGGTGACTCTCTTTCTGGAAATGAGGGGGATAAGGCATTAAAACGCTTTCGTGCAAACAAACGATTTAAGCAAGAAACCAAAAAGCAGCGCAAGGTTTTAATAAGAAATGTAACAAGAAATGCAATTCTTAAACGCAAGTGCACCACATCCATCAACAGCATCACACGTGGACGACAAGGGGTCATGAGGCTGTGTCGACCATGTCGTTCATTGATGTTAAATTTGACTCATGCACTGGAAATGCTAAGAAAGGAAGACGCGGAGAGAAAGATGTCCGCAATGGGATACAAAACAGGGCGTAGAAGTGCAAGTCAATAACTTGAAAAATGATCTACATACATTTATACATACATATGTATATTTAAAATGGTTTTGTGGCGCCAACTACTTCACAGTAAATAAGTATATTTGGTATTTTCTGCGAATAAAATAAAATACCGCGACGATAACGACTAGTATTTTTGATATGTTCTATCGAATGTGATGCCATCACTCTGCTCTGCCCACTGCCGCTTTTATTTATTTGTGAGCTAGCTACGCGCTCGAGTTTCCACTCCACTCTCAGCATTTGTCGCATCAACATTGTGTTTACACGCATTAGCTTGTATCTTACACTGGTTATTATTTGAAAGTGTTTAAGATCATTTTTGGTCTTGTGTTTGTATTCTGGTGCTTGTGTTTCCGACCATTTATTTCTTAACTGAAGTGCTGTTGGCTCCTCCGCCTCCGTTCACGTCTGTGCAGCCATACAAAGTAAAAGATTGAGACGCTATTGTGTCGCAATGCAAAGCCCGATAATTAGTAAAGTCAACAAACCTATTTAATTGTTCCCGTAAATTAGCTGATTGTTCCTGCCGTGTAATAAAAAACCGCCAATTCATAATGGATAAAAAATTCCTCATGGTCCTTATCCTAGGATTCGGATTTATGTTTGTTTTCACAGCATTTCAAACAATATCTAACATAGAGGTATGTACATTAACAAATGTCAATGTGTGTATATGTATGCTAAGTGCGCGTGTGTATTCGTGGGCGTTGTTGACATCCTTTCCCTATAGCTATTTTCGTCCTTGTCCTTGCCAATAGTCGTTGTATTACCCTTGGCATTCAAGGGGGCGAATAGGAAGACGAGGCGCTCTGTCTAATACTCGTACATTTGTTGCTGTATGCTTGTTCTTGCTGCCGCATCAGCTGCTGCTTCAGATGGGTTTCTTATTCAATTAGCAATTGAGTAAATTACACTGATTTGTATGCAATGTGGGCGTTCACAATTTGTGCTCCGTAGTTAATATATATAGTATATATATGTATATAGTGTTAGAAGTATAGCACCAAATTGGAGGCCAACAACAAAGAAAATAATCAACAATTTTAACAGAGCGAGGGGGCAGTTCAGTATACTTATAATACTACTACATTTATAATTTTCCTCAACTTCAAGCATTATTTATAAAAACGATAAACCAGAATTCAAACTATAAGTACTTGCCTTTTGAAGTTTGCGGTTTGTTTAATTTCCAAAGACAGCATCTGATAAAGAAAAGTGATAAAAAACACTGCCTGCACTTCGTCACATTTTTCTCCTTTGTCATATTAATATAACTTGTACAAATTATGTGAATAAGAATTTTGATAAATGTGTTATCGAAAATAATGTGGAAAAAACAACTTCCCAAAGAAATGTGTCTTAAATAATCGCTCAGCGCATTCCTTCTTGCTGTGCCTCACATTACATCTGGCTCTGAAGAGAAACTTCCAACAGAAAAGAAAAAGCAAGCACAATTTTACGACTAGAATTTAAAAAATTTGTCACGGGATAGGATCAGTGGTGCACAATTAAAACTAGGAAAATAATATAAAAACAGAAAACAAACATATAGGTAAAACAAACTAATCAGAAAAAATAAAAACGTAGACATCAAAAATATTTTTGTTAAATACATTTGTTAGGGTTTGTCGAACGCGGGCGTACGCCCGTAACTACAGGGTATTCTGTATGTATATATTTACATATATATGTATGTATATACATGCATGTGTACAAAGTACATGTAACTACATATGTATGTATGTACATATATGTATGTGTTCTTGTTGTTGGTAATCAACTCAGCTGCAGACACATTTGTACATACATACATATGTATGTATGTATATATGTACTCGGCACATTTATTCATTGTATGTATGTATGTACGTGTGGATGCACATATCAACACAATTCATTTTGATTAATGCACATGTAAATTCTCCGCCCTCTTATATTGCGGGTGCCATAAAAGCAGAGAGCATTAACAACTTCCAATTAGAGTTTCATTAAGAGGGCACGGCTACGATGAACTGCATGAAGTTCCTTTACACAAACGTCACTGATAAAATAAATGATAGTGCTATAGAATTCACGTGCTTATCTGCGTTTGTCTATCGCCACAGACCTTTTTATTAAAATGGGCACATAATTGTAATTCGATGCATGTGTAGATCTACTTATGTACATATGTATGTATGTACACATGTACTTATAAATAATACGGTTTAGTCATGCAAAATAATTGGCTGATTCGATTCATTTTAACGGTATCTATAAATGAGAGAGCCTTAAGATCAAGGCCGTTCAAACTGTGCTTACTCTGAAGAATATTAACGCGACACTAAGAGAATAACCGGTATGTGTTATAAATACAGAGAGCAACTTATCACAAAGAGTTTTGATCATTTCTGGTTTTTTGTTTTGCATGCTAAACAGTTTATTTCAAAGCAATATGGGTAATGCGCCGCAAAAAAATGTTTGTGTAGAATACAACTGTATTCAATTGTTGTTGCGATATGGTCGTTGAACCGTTTATGTACACACAAATGTACTTGGTGCGTGCTTGTAAGAATCTGAGTAAAATTTTGAGCTTATAATATGTACATACATACATACATATGTACATATGTAATTTTTATAAAATTTCGTTGGGTGTTAGTGGGATAATGCTCTTCATGTGTAGTCGGGTTGCCTATGGAAGGAAAAGGAAATCAAGACAGATTGATTTGTGTCGTCATGCTGGTTCCGAATAAATGGACATACATACATATTAACTTTGTAAGATCAGAGATGCCTGCACACGCCTAATATGTATAGGGTATATTTTATCCCTTGAGTACAGAGTATACAAACTAGTACAACAAATATGTTACTCTCAGCCCACGTTATTTATGAAGAGTCGATTTATCGAAACTGGAACATTTTTTCATTCAGAAATATTTTATTGCTAAAGCGAGTCATTAACAAACCACGATCAGCTGCCGGAATTGTTATATAAATCAATTCGCTCTCACTTTCAGGCGTTAGCTTCGTTTGTATGGCGCAACTCTGCGCATGCGCAATATGCCCTCAAGTTGGCTGGTTTTTTGTTTATAAAAGGCAACTTAACACTTGCTTTGTTTCAGTTCGGATTTCAAGCCAATGCTTATGAATTTTAAACAGGGCGTGCGCGTTGCAGCTCACCATAGCTTTAAGTTATTAGTTTGAACAATCAACAGGTTGGCTCAAATGGAATGCAATTTTGCACAGAAGACCTTGGCGTAGAACGTAGTGAAGTCATGAACAATAGCATGGATAGCAATACCTCATGGAGGTATTTAGAAGAGAGGAATCTTACAAGTTCGATTGATCCAACTATAAATGTTTTAGTAAAGACGGTTCCACATGGTTGCGCAATCATTTGTGCAAATTTAAAACAAATTGTTCATTACATCAAAAGCTGCCGCAGGGCCAGGGACGAGGCAGACAACACTTTCAATGTCATTGAAATTGCATTTTGGATGCAATGGAGGGCGGGCGACGGGCGAAGAGCGCCGCAGACAGCGGCTCAAGGCCACGTCGGCAATAAAGTCAAGCCAAGTCGACCGACACATGTAAACATTGGATATGGACATATTACTCGTACATAGCCACAGACGGACCTCGCATGCTGCGATTTAGAGGTGAAAATGTTTGGTATACATAAGTGGGAATGTCCTACATATGCGGGGAGTGTAAGGCTTTTCCTAGAATAGTAATAGTACTGATCTGGAATAGTAAGATCGTTTCTTCGGGACCATGGAAAATAAAAGCAGAAGTGTGTTTTTAATGTAAAAAGTTTCTACATATAAATATGTAAAAATTATATAAAGACTAGCACCACAAAGAAGCTGTCATAAAGTTCGGGGCCGGCGAATATACATATGTACATATGTACATAAATTTATCAGTTCCCCAACGCTGCCCAGTCGATAACCTTTAATCTGGATTCGCACTAAATACAGGCATTTATTCAAAATTAAATTTTTGGCTCGTCACGTAATGTAAGGTTTCACTGTTTACCGTTTTGCTGCACAATGGGAGGGCCATGCGGAGGGAGTAACAGAGAGCGAGCGTGAGAGAAAATCAAACGACAAACTCGCGCATGAGCAATGCATGTGCGGGCGTTCGACACATAAACACAACAACCGTTAGACGTAGCCACTGCATATACCCCCATTTTAGCATAACCCAACGCAGTAGCCACGAAAAAGTGGGTGTGAATACCTTTACTGACGAGCCCACGCGACTATAACGTCGACGGCGCCTAGCAATGTTTTTGTTTTTTTTTTTTTTTTTGCAGAAAAAGCGAAACTGGTTTCTGCATTTTCCAGTCTGCAATTTTTGCCTTTATTTTTCGAGAGTAGTCGCACAACTTTGTTTTGCGTAATAAAATTATATATGTATGTACGTACAAATTATATGTATGCATATAAATACATACATATGTACATACATATAGTATATTTTGTTGCAGAGATCCAATCAATAAATTTTGACACATTCTGCCGTTGCATACGAATTCCGCATGTGGTTTTATATTTTATTTCTGAATCAGCATTAACTTTCTTTTCGTATATTCCCCTCTTCCCGTAATTTTTTCACGTCGTATTAACGTATATATGTATGTACTTATACCCCAGTGTACGAACAGTTACTTGACCGAAATACATCTGAAATGCAACACATGGGAAAAACCATCTTTTTACAGGCAATCCACCGCTTATCATTTGAATTTAAATCGCGAATTTAAGTTGGCTTTTTTTTATACTCTGTACATAAAATGTACAAGAGTATATTAGGTTTGCGGGAGCTGAAAATGTAACAGGCAGAAGGAGGCGTGGCAGACCCCACAAAGTATATATATTCTTGATCAGCATGACGAGACGAGTCGATCTAGCCCTGTCTGTCCGTCCGTATGAACACCTGGATCTCAGAGACTATAACAGCTAGAGACACCAAATTTTGCACAACGATGCCTTATGTGTGTACGCTGTTTGTTTTATTTTTTTAATTACCCCCCCCCCCCCACACTTCCCCCTATTGCGTTTTCCCGTTTTTCCATTCGTATTATCGCCTATATCTCGGAGACTATAAAACCTAGGGACACCAAATTTAAGTCCCAGGTGCCTTATGTGAATACGCAGAAAATTTGTATTTTGGAATTTCCCCCCCCCCTCCCCCCTCTCCATCGCAAATCGTAACTTCCGTAATTCTTGGAATTTCGAACTCAAACTTGGCAAATACCTCCATTTAGTTATCATAAGTCCAAATGCCAAGTCATCATGATAGGTCGATTTAATAGGAAGTTATAGCCATATATGTACATAAAACCAAGTAGTGCCTGCAGCTATTGTTGTTGTTACTGCTTTGCTCAGGCACATGAGACATACACAGACACACACAAATACACATGCACGCATAATTATTCTACACATATGTACAGAGTATTTTAAAGTCGGGATACCCGACTTTAGCTTCTCTACTTTTTTTTTGTTGTTAGGTTTAACTAAACCTGTGTCTCTCAGGACCCCACTTACTATACTTACATTCTATAAATATTTATAGAAAAAAAAAATTGAAAAGTTTCAGGTACTTCCAATTATATTTCGTTGAGCAATCTCATTTTATGAAGTGCTTTAAATTTTTATTATTACTGGAACTTATTGGTTTACCGATGAGGTAATTGCACTTTAACTCAAGGGGGTATTATCAGTAATTGAGTTTATAAATTTATGGTTGGTTTAAAACTGAAATCACATTTAGTTCAAACATTGTATGTATACTTTTATTGTATGGGCATAAAATCAGAAAATAGTTTTCATATTCAACTAAGATTTGGGCTAAATTGGTCGCGTGAAACCAAAAACATTGCTTTAATATACATATGTACATATGTCTTAACCCAAAAACAAACTGGATATTTATTACACTCAAGAAAACTACAAAAAATGCTTGTAACAAATATTGTTTCTTGGGTAGGCCTTTTTAAAAAATATTCACCAATTAAGTATTTCAAATGAAATCTGGTGCCATAGGTTTATAAAATAGTGATAGTGATATAAAATCATTTCAATTGGCTGAAGATTTATCTGGTGTTGAGTCCTTCTATAGTCTGTAGTCTGGCTTTAGCGTTTTGCCGCCAATTTTGACCTATATTTCAACGTAGTTACTGATAAAAAGGTTGCAAATCTTTCGAAAACACTATTGGATTTAATTGCAATATCTAAACATTAAACTACTCACAGGTTGTATGATAACTTGGAAATACTAATTATTGTTTGAACTAAACCAGCTCGTTGTATATATTATGCTCTCTATAAAAGCAAACAGGGAGCGAGGGAGAGAAGGAGATAAATGGAGTATGCGTATGTTGGAGACAATTGACATTCCACTTCATCATAACTTTCACTTTCAATATCATTTATTGTCGCCCTCAAACTCATGCCATGCCCACGAGCACAAATACACTCTGATTGAAGTGGCACAGACATAAAGAGATCGCATGCTCATTGAATTCGATTGCTGATAATGTGCAACAGGCTCAAGTGGGTTGCTAAATGGGCACAAGGACCGATCGGACCGGGCCGTATAGTAGAAAACAGTCACGAATGACAAACAGAAATCATGTCAGAGTCAGGTTCTTGATAACAGTATGTATAGGTTTAGCTGCACTAAAATCTCGTTTCGATCGTCCTAAAGTAAGTATTACGTGGAAAATTTTTAGCAGCCAAACATGTTTGTCAAATAGTGGCAATGCGTATTTTTCCATGCATTAACTCAAAAAGCTGAATTATGCAAAAATGCCAAATGATTGCAAGAATTGCAAGCTTGGACTTCGGCGACTGGCATTGCCATTGCACTTGAAATTCTTTAAAACAGCCAGTCGTTCGTGTAAGCCAAAAACAAGTTTTGTGCTCAATTTTTTCAATTCAACAATCCAGCTAATCGATTAAGTACGCAGAACGCTTTCCAAATGTCGCAATTTACTTTTATTATTAGGGGCGTGCTATACTCGTATGTAGATAAGCATTAGTTTACTGCCGCATCCGGACTAGCCCAGGTGATAGCCAGGAAATACGATATTTATTTGTTTACATGTAGTATACTATATAGTATATCGTAATTGACTAGTCAGCCCGTTTGGCATCCACATTCGCATGCAAAATCAAATAATTTGAGCACCTTATAGTCAACCATAGAGTACCCTGTACTGTATAATGCTAATGAATGAATAATTTTAAAATTCAAATCGTGATGAAAATAAAAAAATTTAAATAAATTTACAAACTCAATCTTATAGCTGGATAAGAAAGTAAAGTGACAAGCAGAATCTCTGCTAACTATCCCCAATTTAAGGCTTCAAGTTCTCAATTTATTTTGGATAAGTGTATTGCCTATAACTATGCATATAGACTCCGAATGGCGCTTTCATGTAAATGATTTGTTCTCTGTCTAAGACTTACGAACATTTTAAAAAGAATAAATAAACTAAATTAGTTAGAGTAAAACGCTTAAGAAATGTAAATGCTAATTAATAAACTCAAACTCTTTTTCCACAGAAAACAATTCTGGACAGTATCTCGCAGGAGGATGTCAGCTTTAAGGGCGAGGGCTACACAAGTCTGGCCATCATCTATCTTTTCTTTTCACTCTCTAATTGGTTGGCGCCCTCATTTATCTCATTTACCGGACCGCGCGTGGCAATGGTCGTGGGCGCCCTGACCTATACGTGAGTTAATCGGAAATTGAATATTTGGAATAGCATTTTAATTAGATAATTGCATTTGACGCCCTTTCTGCAGCGCTTTTATGATCACATTTATATTCCCATCGACTTCGCTGTTGTATGTGGGGAGCGCTGTGCTGGGCCTGGGCGCCTCCATTACCTGGACAGGACAGGGCACCTATTTGGCGCGTTGTAGCGAGCCCTCGACGATATCGCGCAACTCGGGCGTGTTCTGGGCTCTGCTTCAGTGCAGCATGTTTATAGGCAATCTGTTCGTCTACTACCAGTTCCAGGATAAGTCACATATTGACAAGGAAACGCGACATTTGGTAATAGGAGTGCTCACCATTATTGCCGTACTGGGCATCGTGTTTTTAGCAGCGTTACGCTTTATGGCCGATAATGCAGAACAGGATAATGAGCTAGAGGAGAAACAGACGGGCTGTGGTCAGGCAGTATATGCTCTAAAGTCGGCCGGAAAGCTATTCTTCACGCGTAAGATGCTGCTTCTCAGCTTGGCATTCTTTTACACAGGTTCGTTGAGTTTGGTAATTAGAATCGGTCTTAAATAGAAAGAGTGTATTATAATGGTTTCTATATGTTTCATGAAGATAGCATATTGAAAACTTTTCCGAAATATTTTTGAAACCTGAATAATGTTTAAAATGGCTTTTCTAAATTCTTCTTCTAATTGAGACTGAAATTACCCAATAGGTTGTAGTTTTAAAAATTTATTTTATTTTTGATTTCTACACAGGTCTTGAGCTATCATTCTTCAGCGGCGTGTTCGGATCCTCGATTGGCTTTACCACACGCATAGCCGACACACCTAAGGAGATTGTCGGCCTTGTGGGTATTTGCATTGGAGCCGGCGAGGTTTTCGGTGGCGGTTTGTTTGGAATATTGGCCTCGAAGACAACTAGATATGGACGCGATCCCATTGTCATCGTTGGCTATCTGTTGCACATGACTGCATTCTTCCTGACGTTCATCAACTTGCCAAACAGCGCACCATTTAAGGATACCACCGATATATCTTATCTTGACCCGCCCAGTGCTGGCATTGCACTGGCCTGTGCCTTCTTCCTGGGCCTGGGCGATGCCTGCTTCAATACGCAAATCTACTCGATGCTGGGGGGAGAGTATGTGAATAATGCTGTGGGCGCTTTTGCTCTCTTCAAATTCACACAGTCTGTGGCGGCGGCCATTAGTTTCTTCTATTCTGCACATATTGGACTGTACGTGCAGTTGGGCATACTCGTGGTCACAGGGACGATCGGCACGATTGCCTTTGTCCTTGTCGAGTGGAGCTTTAAGCGACAGCATCGTGAGCAGGAGGCGATACAGACACCGAAGTAAAAGTGTTGTCAACGAATAGCAAAAGAATTTAGCCAGTAAGCGATTTGTTGTCCGCCCTAGGGTTAAATAGCTGAACATACAATATTTTGTTAGTCTAGCACGTATCTGTGTCTAGTTGTTTGTGGAATTCTACATAAGTGCAAGCGCCGTCGTCTTCCTAGACAATAATTATAATTGTTGTTACTGTAATGTCTTGTTTTTTGGGGCGCATATTCCAATATTGAACTTCCAAAACGTAAGTATAGTTATATATGTATGCTTTTATAAATGTATATTGTGTATGTTTACATGTACGTTTATTTTTAATGTTATATATTAAGCAATAATGTGCAATTGTAAAGTTTTTGGTAAAATATTGTAATTTGTTTATTTATTAAATAAGGTAGTAGCCTGTATGGCATGCCAAGCTTAAATATATTATATACAACTTTCATGCTGATGTTATTTATTTCAAGAAAGTCACAAAATTGATTTGAAAAATCATCCGCCAACTGCTTCGCATTCTTTACGCGATGCTTGTGTTTACTAAATGCAAATACATCATCTTGGTCAGCATGATAATTTGTAACTATGTATGTGTCTGTCGCTATTGTTACCGAGAACTTTCAAACAAACAAAGAAGATGAGGAGAAGTATTTTGGTTTAAAAATTAAGATCTAAATTAGAAAAGGCAACTCTTTTAAAGATGTTTGAAAGCGATTAGGAGTCAATAAAAACATATAAACATGACTGTGTGAAGGTCTGTCCAAACGTATGAAGTACAAGAATTTTTGAAACGTTATTTGAAAATTCACTTCGAAATCGGTGAAGCCTACCATAGGAGATTAGTGCAACAGTTTATTTGCAAATTTTGCATTGTGCAATAATTGAGTTTAAGCGATACGTTGCAGATATGCATCACATACATACGGAGGGATAAGTTTATTTATTATATGATATATCTCTTCCGACCCTCTAAAGTTTCTAAAGAGTTCATTTCCCAAATGGCCCAGTCATCATAGACAAAACACGAGTGAACGCTACAGTCGAGCAAGCCCGACAGTGAAATTAAAAAAATAAAATAAAATCGTCCTTTCTCAGACCTAGGAGAATCTGGATACCAACTTTGGTTATTCTAGCTTTTCGGTCGGAGATGCTTCCTTCTGCCTACGGGTACAGGGTATAAAAAGTGGTCAACCTCAGAATTTGAATGCGAAGTGGGGTGGTGATCTTGCTTCTCGTCTACGATTTGCCTGTATATATTTCTTAATAAAAAAGACGCGTGCAGACAAGCGGAAAAGTTGCGGTAACACACAGGATAGAAAGAGGTCTTGGTCATTCAATACCAAAAAAGGTATGAATTAATATAATGACTCCTACAATTTCTGGGAGACCTTCAGGGGCGGCATGACTAGCATTGATAAAAAGAAGTTAATTTTAAACATTCTTCTGGTGTGTCATGCGAACCGAAGTCGCTCGCTTTTAAAAGAGCATCAGGCAGTTGATCAGAAAGCCGCCACTTGTCGGAGCCGCTCACGAGCCGGAACGTTCAAAGGCCGGCCATTGCGAACCTGGATTTATTCTCAGATAAACGGTTCAAAATCAATAAATGCGAAGCGCCTCTCTCGCTCGAGCCGATCTCGTGAGCGTAACTGTCGCTCTCGCATTTTCAGTATACATACAAGTACATAAGCCTGCCGCTTTTTCACTTGCTCTTCGTGAAAAGTGCTGACATTAACCACGCGCATTTGTGCAGTGAAAAGTTTACCAACATGCACTTATAACAGAAAACACGCTCTAATATTAAGTAAGATATGGATAGCAAATATATGATGATTTATTATTAACCAATATGCAATGCAATTATCTTGTTAATAGAAATTTAAATGGCTCTGGTTTTGTGTTGAGGAGTGCAACTAACAACCACAAAAATTGCCTACCTATTGAATTTCTGCTCAACGCTTTTGGTAAGTCATCAATAAATGTACACACACACATACATACATGCATGCATGCACATAAATTGATTCTTATTGCATTCTAGAAGCCGACTCTGCTTGTATTTAGCTGTCTTCACTTACTCTCCTTCACATAAACAGTACCGGCCATGTCGTTCGGGTCTATGGTCTTTCTTTTGAACGTATTCGCAATAAACGCGTGTTGACAAAAAAAACCTATAAAATCGAATAGGCCACAGCCTTTTAACACTTTGGCATTAGCATGATGCTCTGCAAGATCGTTCAATGCATATTGACAGCAACGTTGTTTCTCCTACTCTATGCGTACATAAAAGTACTCTATAGGTGTATGATTAAAGTACGAGTTAATAAGTCTGATGGAAAGAAGTCGAAGAAGCCACACGACAATGCATTACAAAGGAATGTAGATATTCATATTGAAAAACTAGACCAGCCTCCCGGCCCTCTACCGTTGCCCATAATAGGTAACCTGCTACTTATTGGACGTTATGCGGTACCTTTTCAAGGTTTCACCGAACTGGCAAAAAAATATGGAGACATCTACACCCTCACCCTTGGTTCGACTAAATGTCTGATAGTCAATAATCTTAACGTTATACGAGAAGTTTTAAATAAGAACGGAAAATTTTTTGGGGGTCGCCCGGACTTTAAAAGATTCCACGTTCTTTTTGGAGGAGATCGCAGCAATTGTAAGTGAATTGTGTAACAAAGTTATTGAATTACAAAATATTTAATTAACCTACATTTGTATAGATAGTAAATATATTGTAATGGTTATGTATCTGGAAAGGGAACTGAATAAGTTTCACACCAATCCGTACTAATTCCATTTACAATTTATTTATGTCAAATTTGTTTACCATTATAATCGTTTTACCAACCTATTTCGAAATACATATATCTCTAACTTTTTTTATTTTACAGCATTAGCCTTATGTGATTGGTCCCAGCTGCAGCAAAGGCGACGAAATCTAGCTCGCAAGCATTGTTCGCCGCGAGATGCTTCGTCGTTTTATCAGAAAATGTCAGATGTTGGTTGTTCTGAGATGCACGAGTTCATAGATCGACTTTCTCAGATAATGATACCAGGTGAAGATTTTGAGATAAAGCCGGTGGTGCAGCAAACTTGCGCCAATATGTTTATTCAATACATGTGTTCTCTGCGATTCAGCTATGATGATAAGAGATTTGAAAAAATTGTGAAATGTTTCGATGAAATCTTTTGGGAAATTAACCAAGGTTATGCTGTTGATTTCTTGCCATGGTTAAGCCCCTTTTATGGTAGCCACATGAAAAGAATTGTTTACTGGTCCGAAACAATTCGAACATTTATTCTAGAACACATAATCGATAAAAGAGAAAACGACCTTAACCTAGACGAACCGGAAAGAGATTTTACCGATGCTTTACTAAAGAGTCTAGTCGAAGACGATGTTTCTAGGGACACAATCATATTTATGCTGGAAGACTTTATTGGCGGACACTCTGCAATCGGAAACTTAGTTATGTTAGCACTTGCTTACATTGTTCGCAACCCGATTGTTGGCCAAAAGATACAGCATGAAATCGATGGCATCATGGACGACACAAAATGCTGCGTTCATTTGACTGATATTGAACAAATGCCATATACTGTTGCCACTATTTTCGAGGTTCTACGATACTCGTCATCCCCAATAGTGCCGCATGTTGCTACAGAGGACGTTGCTATTGCTGGGTACGGTATAACGAAGGGCACCCTGGTATTTATCAATAATTATGAACTCAATACCAGCGAAAAGTACTGGACACAACCACAAGAATTTAACCCAGACCGATTCACAGAACGGAAACCACCCACTTATTCTACATCAACATCAAACAAGCAATTAAACCAAATCCAGTTGAGAAAGAACATTCCACATTTTCTACCATTTAGCATTGGCAAGCGCACTTGCATTGGACAAAATTTGGTGAAAGCATTCAGTTTCATAATGCTAGCCAACATAATGCACAAGTATGATGTGAGTTGCAGGAATGTTGAAAACATAAGAACCTATCCAGCTTGCATCGCAATTCCGCATCATACCTTTTATCTCTCACTTAAGCCGCGAGTCAGTAAAATATAAATTATTTACAATACTATAATAATACTTGCAATCAAAATGTATTCGATAGAGTAACAATCACATATCAATCAAATTAATCAAATAAATGTAATTGGACAAATAAACTTATTATGACATTAAATGTTTTTTACTGTCAAATTTCTTATATGGTTTTTAAATACATCTGTCGCATACAAAAAATATCAAACTTTCGCTTCATGACCTACTCGCAACACAAACAAAATATTTTATAAAAATACATCAAAACTCCAAAAAAATCAATGGTTATTTAAAAAAATGTTAACAAGTGCCCTTTTGATACAAAGTATTTCCCTTGAAAAATTGCGGAACTGTGTATATTATGTATGTACATATGTATGTAGGGAATGAGTTTCGCTCACTTGAAGTCACTTTCATTTTCGCTCAAAAGCGCGAGCCAGCTGTTGTTGCGCTGCGAACTAGTCAACAGCTGTTGTTGAACTCACCACTAAATGCGTCAAACTCAACACACCCGCAACGCCTGGTCAATTTCTCAATTCGTAGTTTCAGTTTTCTTCAATACGTCATGCCGTTTACTGCGCAGCTCGAGTGTTGTTAAAAAATTCTTTAAAAAATAAGTAGTGCAAAAAACAGACGCGGCAACAACAAACACAACCACCCACAAATGCAATGTTTGAAAGATTTATGAAAATTCAATATAAACGTGCGTGTGTGTGTTGAAAAAGTTAGATTGTGTGCAGAAATAAAAGTGTAATAAAAATTGAAATGGCAAAATCTGCCAGCGGTAAATGTTATTAAAACCCAGGCCAGGCAATTAGCATTACCAAGCGTTAAATAAAATAGTGCTTTGCAAATACCTAAAGCATCAGCCGCAGGCAGCTTTTAACTGTTACTACTAACTTGCTGCTCCAATTACTCGCCGGTGTAGTTGTAACGCGTAGGTAAGTTAAATAATTAGCAGCAGAAATTTGTGTATCGCTTTCGGGAAAACCTTGAGAAAATTGTTTTTGAAATGCCACAGCTAGCTGAAAACAAAAGCAATTGAAATTCAAACGCATGCAGGCGCAACACAATGCCAAGCAGCGACGCCAACGCCAACGCCCCCGTCAACAACAACAGTAACTGAGCAACTACTGCTGCCAGCGCCAGCGTCAGCGTCAGCGCGACGTCACCTCAGAAGCAGCACCAGCTGCGGCGACAAAGCGGCAGACGGATTTTCGCTTTTCATTTTCTTTTTTTTTCAGTGGGGTGCTTGGGGAGACATGTGTTGGTGATAGTTGTTGTGTCAGCGTGTGTGCGTCTGAATGAGCATGTGACTATCCCTATGACTATTACTGCGACAGAGATTGCTCCTTGGCCAGTTTTGTGCTTTGTCATCGCTATCTGCTAGTGCGCTTTTCCTTCTGTGTTTCTCCTTTTATTCATTTTCTTCAATTTATTGAATGCTCTGCACGCTTGGGTCAACAAACCAAATGAATGTCTGTGTGTGTGTGTGTGTGTGTATGTCGTCTGTCTGTTTGCCTTCCATTTGCTCATTGATCGCGTCCGGTGATTTGAACGTCGTTGCTCTTTGGCGTTGTTGTTGTATTTGGGGTCGTCGTAGTCATCGTCATAGTCACTGTCGTTGCGTCGCAAAGTTGGTAGCTAAGTTTGTTTTGTTTTTATTATTGTCATTAAATTTGCTGCCTGGGAAAGGTCAATACACAAACACACACTCATCAACTCTCTAACACACACACACACACACACACATGCACACATACATATATGTATACTGAGGCTGCCTTGGCGTCTGGCCATTAGTGAAAAACCGGTTAGTGCTGCTGTTGTTGCTGCTATTGCTGTTGGCCTTTATCTGCATTTATTGTTGTATTTCTCTCTATTTCGGGGGAGCTTCACTTGCTAGATTCACTGATTGGGCGCCGCCATGGTTGTCGTCGCCATGACAGACATTTTGCACGTTCCAACTTCATTATCTTTTCACATTTTTACATTTTTCCCACAGACACTGAACAGACGTACAAAATTACATACACAAACATAAATATAAATATACAGACTCATCTGCCTTTCCCTGCTATGCGGCATACTTTATTCACTGATCGTTGTTTTTTCGCTTCCAGTACTATTTCATGCTTGCCAATAGCTTTTCCCCTCTTACTTAATACCCTGTAATGGGTAGAAGGAGATTAACTTTGGGTCTATGTGCGTCTAGGATATTTGGATAAGGTTTCGCACGCTAGAGTTGTGCTTTTCTTTTAGCTCAGCTTGCTTATTACTTTAAAAAGAATTTTTTTATCATTGCATTTTGTTGTTAAAAGACAATTTTAAATTCATGAAATATCAAAAATGTTTTTAAACGATACATACTCACTTGATTATAATACCTTTGTTGACATCACGGGGATCGAAGTGGAGCTTTTCGCGGGTCTAGCTAGTTTTTTATTCATACGAACGCCTTGCTTTTTGGGAATCAGATTGATTTTTACAGAATCGGATAAAATCTGTGAAGCTTCTGAAAGAACCCAATAATTTTCTTTCTTTAATACCTAATATTAATTATAATCCTCCATTATACAACGGATATTGAATAAATAGTTTTTTTTTTACGACACTTACAATTTTAAAATCAAAACTAGCAGACACAATATTTTTCCAAAAGATTCTCATATTTCTTTTCAGAAGATTATAGGGCATCTGGTATGTATGTACTGATATCAATTATACAAATTGAAGACACAAAGTAAATTTCAATGAAAAAGCAAAAATAAAAAAACTGCAAAAGCATTTTTTGCTTTTGTCTTGGAGCTTCAGCAAATTGTTTTGATGTGTGCCCAAAAATTTGGTCAACAAAACTTCACGCTTGGAATTCCACCAGTTCGTTCATGTCATTGTGTTAATTTTAAATAAAATTTACCGCTTCGATCGCAACTGCATACTCGTACATATTTGCGTCATCATTGCCCAACTTTGAGCGCGACGACCCAAATTGTTTATATAGACGACATCAAGAGTCGAACGATCCATATCTTTGGTTGCTCTCCGATTAGATTAGAAACCAATTTGTAAATTAATTAAAGTGTATACCGCAATACTTGTATGTCACACATGACATGCATATAGTATAATATACTATAATACGTAGTAGTACAGTCGTATCTGTACCCCTATTAATTACAATACACAGCTGCAGTTGCATCAGTTAGTGTTCAAGGCTGTGCCAAATGATGAATACCCTTATGCCATAATAGAGGGGCATCATCGGAAATTTTAAGCTGGCTCTTTATTGGCACGACACATTTTTGGTCTGGATTTACTAAAGAGGCTTAAGATATTGAAATCGCGCAGTGTATGTATTGAAAATCATAAGCCAACTAGACTTGCAAACTCTCTTATTTAACAATTTTGTAGTCAAAGTCTGTTATAAGTATTTGTTACTGTCCAGCTCTTAGCATAATCTCACCTAACCTAACCCAATACTACAATGTAGTATGTACTTACTATCAGCTTAAGAGATTGCGTTGATACCAATAGAAACGGCTATTTATTTTAGGAAAACAAGCCATGAAATAATTTTCATTTTATTAAAATTAATGCATTATCCATGTTATTTAATTCCTAAATATTTATTCTAAAAATTGCAACGTTTTATATTTATAGTTTTAAACTTTGTGTTAAACAAAACCTAATTTGTTAAATATTTAAAATTAATTTACATTCTGTAATCTCTTGAACTGTAACTCGTAGTGTAGATTCTATCTGCTTATATTATTTATTCAGTAAAAACTCAAACCATTTTCACACAAAGTTTATTTTTAAACGAATTCCCTTCCGTCCCAGTCGCATTGTTGCATGCAAATGGCGATAATGAAGCTATCAGCAATTATATCAAAATATTTGGTTTATCAACACGAAATTAAAATGCCAACTTTTAGAGAGCATTAGTTGTCGTTGTTGTTGTTGTTGTCTTCCATGGTGTTATTGCGTCGCCTTTCGCCAGTGCAAATAAAAAGCAAAAACCACAATTCACTTTCAACTTGCTGTTGGGTGTCGCGAGTGGAGACGGAGACCGACCCGTTAATAAATAGTGACGACGGCTAAAGCAACAACAGTAACGAGATCAACTGTGCGCTCGTTTGAAGTCGCAAAACACACACGCACACACATACACATAATTATATCTATGTGCACACTCAGATGCAGCGTGTGTATCTGAAAGATACAAAACATGCTTTTGGTACTTAACGGCCAAACGTGCCGTTGCTATTTTTTCTGTTGTTTTTTGGTTTGTTTTGATTTCCTTTATTGTTGCCTTTGCTTGTATTTTTAATTTATTTTCGCCTCTATTTATTTGCACAAAATTTTGGCATTGACAACTACACCAAAAGGTGTTTATCTATGTGGCTGTATCTCAAGCTCCATGTATGTATGTATGTGTGCCTCTATATAAGTAACGAGCGTGGCAAACGCAAAAGCGTCGCTTTATTTTCATTTCGCCCAGCTTGGCGGCAATTGTAAAAAATGAAGCACACAGTAACAAGTTTTTTTATACTCTGCAATCCTGAAATCGAAAGGTATGCCAGTTTGTTAAAAAGATACAGGCATGTGGCGAATGAAAGACCGCATTATGTTTTTAATAGCAAGTTGAGTTGTTCTATTCGAACTTCTGACTGAAATCAGTTCTTTAAATCATTTTTTTTTCAACTTGCTCTTTTCGTTCATTTCAATATTTCCATCGTTTTTTCATTTACTCTTTTTGGTACGTTCTTTCAGATTAAATAACTAAGAAACGTAAACGTTTTAATTGTAAAAAGTAAAGTAAAATTTAATAAAAGCAAGTAAACAAAAGGAGCAACTGCCAAAAAAAGTACCACAAGTCAACAGTTAAGTTACATAATCCGTGTGTGTTAGAAGTGTATAGAAGTTTAGTAGAGTAGCGTTTTATGCAATTCTTTTAACTAACGAATGTATTATAAATCCAATTATACACTATGGCTTGTTATAGCTATGATGTGATAAAAAAGAAGTAGTATTTAGATTTCTTGCTACTTAATTCAGTGTCGATGTCATTGTTTATGAAAAATTTGTGAGAAGAGAAGACAGGAAAGCAATGCTAAACTTAATATTTCTTTTAAATAGTTCAACTTTTCAGTATTGATAAATAACCATATGTCACCTATCACCCTTTTTGGGGAATCTATAAGCCTGAAAAAACTGCACAGTCAAGAGAAATATAACGGTTGGCATAATAAAGAAGACTCTTTAAGCATATAATTTAAAAACAACTGATTTGATTTGGATTTGAATAAAATGATCTAAATATCGTAACTAGCTTTTTTAATGCAAACTGTGTTAATATAGTTATTTATTATTTCTTAAAAGAAAAATGAAGAGTAATGCATTCTTTTCAGTTGTTATGGAAGCCCAGACAACATTCTATTATTATATTTTGGTATATTATTTGCAAAAGAGTTTGATAGTGAGATATTAACAGTACATTAGAAGCAAAGGAAACTAGTGATGGAAATATCTACATATGTATATCAACTTTTTCTTTTCCCAATTTTCCAATTTTCCCATGCGTCACAAACATTAGAGTATAGTAAAAATACCCTGTGCCAGCGTAGAAGAGAGCGGAGCTGGTGCACTAAGGCATCAGTGATAATGAGATACTAAAGTGCTTAGCATAACAAAAAAAAAACACAATCGCAGACTATTCTGTAAAAATACAAGACCGTCTTGTTCATGAGCGTCGGTTTAAATGCAATGCTTGTGGTCTCTAATGTGTTTTACAACATGAGAAAGTCTGTTTTCCCATTTCATACATACATCTGCATGGCATTGCCTGCGAGCAACTTTTTTCTTCATTTTAATGTGCCCCATTTATGACAGGCATAGTAAGCGGAGAAGCCGTCAAAACTACGAAAAATTTAAATATGAGCGCACAGACTCTGTAAGGGAATTAACAGAGCGCTCTTTCGCTTTAACGCTTCGCTTGCAGCAATTATGGGGCTCCCAAGTACAAAAATACAAGTAGTATACAAGATAGATAATCTATTTTCTGACATTCGGCGATGCATCTTCGAAAAAAGATATTTAATCAAATCTAATAGAAGCGACTTCAGAGAAAGAAATGTACACTCATAATAGGGCTACACACAGGTAGTTGCCCATGGCAAGAAGCTAGGCATTACAACAGAAGACAGATGTACGGAACCGGAAGTTATACAAATGCTGTCACTGCCCAACACTGCAAACACACAGGGTTGAGAGGCGACCAAACTCAGTAAGATTCTAATGGATTATTAAACTACTAAACTACTGTCGACAGTCAATAAACATAAGTATAAATGCATAAAAATAAGTAAATAAGTGGAACTTCCTTAGATAATTTAATAATCGCCTATAAATCAAAAATGAATTCCTCCACAAATATAACGCTTTTTGAAAACGTTGTCAATCCGCAATTTCACTTTTTCGTCCCGAATATCTGACAGTGGTTTGATTACTATTTCATTATAAGAATAAACTTAGTCTAACTTAGTCAAACTTATTGTTCCTTTTTAAGAAACTATCTCAACATTTGAAGTTTGTACCAAATGGTCAGCTAGAGAGCTACCACAATTTCGAGACAGTTTGTGAGGAAGAATTTCGATTATAAATACTTATATCGTTCGCACATTATGTCTGGGGTAGTATTTCAAGGGACCCAGCATATTGCTATATTGTATCAATGAAATGATGAATGAATGATCAGATAATGGATTAAAAAGTTGGTGCACAATAAATATGCAATCAGTCGTAGCTCACCCGTATTTGTAACTAGCCCCCATATGCATGGCTGTTTGTCAGTCTGTATGTTTGTCGGCTCGTTACTTATTCGCCTGCCATATAAACACATTTCTATATAAAAATTGCTTGTTTACTTTTCATCAATAAAATGTTTGTGCAGCACCACGGCTACACAAACAAAGACGATGACAACAACTAAAACTATAGCTGAAGGAACAACAATAGCAACGTTGATTATGAGTAGGTGCGGCAAGGTTGCTGCATGTATGTATGTATGTGTGTATGTATGCACGTATGTATATATGTAACTGCAAAAGAAAATAGACAGGTGTTTACCGGCGCTGCAAACGTAACTTTTTTCGTGGGTCTGGGTCTATGTGTGCTTCTGTTTCTCTTTCATTCTGTAGCTGTTGCATTTGGTCTTGTGTTTGAGTTTTTTCGAGTCGAGTCGAGCGTTACATTTCAGTCAGCATAAAAGCTGCAAGAGTCACAATTTGCAAACATCTTCAGTTACCAGCTTTTTGTTACGGCTTTTCATGGTCGAATGGCAAAAGAATAAAGACGGACAGAAATAAGAAAGAACGATACAGATAAGCTCATGCGACCACGAGTTACTCTTATGGAAGTTTTCAATTGTTATAGCAAAAAAATATTACATTTGCCAGCACTATATACTCTAAGATTCTCGTAGGGCGCACTACATACTACAAACACATCGTGTATAGCGTAATTTATTTATTAAGTCTGGTGCACCTAAAGTTTATAGTGCAGGTATGAAAGAACTTGTACAAAAACCTTTATTTACAACCATTTTGGGAAGTATGTCACACCTTTTAAAAGAGTACATATGTACAAGATTGTATGTATACTATATACATAAATATATAGTTTTGTAAATGTGCGTCTGTTTTTTCACAGCAACGAGCAATTCGGCTTCGGAACAATGACAACCACAACGCAGCTGGACAGCAGCACAAACGCTGGTGGCTTGGACAATGGGAATAATGTTGCTAACGTTGCGGTCAGTTCGACGACGCACAGCTCCATGGCCACGGCTGGACATAAGAACGTGAGCGGCAATCAGCTGGGAGGCGGGAACGGTGCAGGTGCAGGTGGAGTGGCCGCTGGAGGAGCGACAGGTGTGGGCGGCATGCTGGGCCCGCAAAAAGGTAAGCAGTAGCAGAGCAACATTTTCTTGGTTCAGTTCCGAATGAAAAAACCAGTTAAATGCGATTAATTTTGCGCGCACGCTATGCGATAAATGAGCGGGGAGGCAGCTGATGACTGATGATGAGCATTTTGCCGCCAAAATTTAATGTTTTGTTATGTGCGGCGCGGCAGTATTGGGAAACCACAAATGTCGTCGGACAAAAGGAGTGGCAACTCGCGCGATTGGCAGCTGGAGCGGGCCGATAACAAGTACTCGTGCGTGAGGGGTGAGGACCAGTGCTACCAATTAGGAGGGTTGCAAAGTGGGTAAAATAGCAATTCCGGGGGAATGGCAAGTCGTGGCCTTAGGGAAGAAGAAAAATCAATTGTGGACAGTGAGCGAGAGACACGTGCTATTGCGGGAAAAAACAAAAAAAGAGACAAAATAAGCGGAAGACAATATTCAAACACCGGAGTGACGACAGGAGGGTTGGGATATACACCAGCGAGGCTTCATAGGCAGAGGTAAGGGTCTAAAAAGGGGCCAGTGTGCCAGTGACTAATTTCTTACTATATGTAATAGGAGTAGCAGTAACTGCGGGCGTTCTGGGAAGTGCGCTGTGCGCGGGTCAGCACCGACCGGCAGTACTGGGTCTTAGGCCGGACCTCGGCCCTAGCGGAAGTCAGGCCAATTTCCATGCAACTGGAAGTCTGGGCTAAGTACCCTTCAACATTAAAATACTAAATATTCACACACATTCCGCTCAAACATAGAACCAAAATTTTATATACACCCTACATACATATACATAGCCATCTCACATACACCAGTGCAGCATATAACACAAAATTCAACTAAATACTCACACATATTCCGCTCAAACATAGAACACAAAATTTTATATACACCACACACTCCTTTATATACACTCCATACATGTTCACATACACCATATTCAAACACACACCGAATTTCCATAGCACTCAGACTCACATTCATCCCATAGCCACATAATGTAAAATACAAAACAAAAAAACAACACACAAAACAATTAACAATTTTCTGTTACACACATAGCCCAAACCATTCACAACATAATATAAAACATTAAACAGAAACACAACACCCAAACATTTAACCATATTGTAATACACACACGCCCATAGCCACATAATGTAAAATACAAAACAAAAAAACAACACACAAAACAATTAACAATTTTCTGTTACACACATAGCCCAAACCATTCACAACATAATATAAAACATTAAACAGAAACACAACACCAAACAAGTAACCATATTGTAAACAAAAATTCAAATGTATACTTAAGAAAAAAGAACATAAAAAAAAAAGAAAAGTAAAAGAAAATGTATAAAGTCTAATATAAGCAAAAGAGGTTGGAATGTGTATTGGAGCGGCGCAGTTTTTTTTTTTTTGTTTATCTCCTTGTCATTACATATCATTACACCCCTCATAACCACATACTCGAGTATAGGTAGGTTAGGAGGTTCGAAAATCGAATAAGATAAATAGGCACAAAGAGCCAACAAACTGCAGCGTCCCAAAACTCAATGGCCTAAATACCCGAATATATTTTTATTGTAATAAAATTTAAAATTTGAAAATGAGTCTGGAGTAGAATCCATTTATGGGGTGAGATGGGGTGACTAAAGTCCCGGAGCAGAAGGGAAACCAAAGCAAGCATGTTGAAGGGAGCCGGCAACAAAATGCCAAAACCGGCTCAAGGTAGGGAGGGCCACGCGGCTACATGACACCAAAGTAGCCACAACTCCACCCAAATTCCACAGGCGTCCCTCAGCCGACAATATGAGTAGGTGTGTTTGATAAAAAAATATAAATTCATTGTTGGTCTGCCGCACCCCTGTCGCGGTCGAATCTGACCCTGAGCCGATGGCTAGCCGGCGTAACGACAGGGGATGCACTGGCAAAGGCGGACATAACAAGATGGCGCCCAATATAAATACACCTGGGTCTACATTTTAGCAAATGTTGCCCCAGTTCGAAGCGAAGTTAAAAGCCAGAGTCTTGTTGTTTGTTTTTTGTGTTGATTTGTATTCTTTATTTAGGTTTACATGTAAATTTCAACAGCAATAGCTGCTGGCGGCCCCTGAGCCGGCGGGAAACGGTGCAACTGCCAGGTCCGTGGGTGAGCTTCACTAGGGCTCAGCCCATCGTTGCCGCAGTTGCATCTTTCTTACAGCGCGGTGTAGGTTGGTAACCAGCAGAATAGGCGCAGCGAAGGAGCGAGTGTAGCAGGTCCGTGAGGAGTCTTGGTGCCCACTCATTGTTGCCCTACAGGGTGCTCTGAGGCTGGAAAGATAGAGAGTAATGTCTGTCAGGTGTTAAGTAAAGAATAGTATAGTTGCCTTATGTTTTTTTTGTGTTAGTTACCGTTTTTTTTTGTGGTTGTTTGGTAGTTCTTATGAATGGTTGCGTAGTAGGTCCATGTCCTGTCCCAAGCGGAAGGAGCATCGTTGCCCTACGTATCAGAGCATAGGAGCAGCAATTCGCCATAGCCCGAGCAAGATTTGAGTTTTTAGTAGGCGCCTGGAAGAAATTGGGTGGTGTAAAGCGTGCGATACATATGTGTTTGTTTTGGTTGTTTACCTTCTACAGTGACTGCGTGCCGTGGTGCAGCGTCATACTGAGGATCCTCATCTCACCCTTACATGTCTAGTGTTGAGCCTGTGAGAGTAAAGAAAGATTGTTTTGATTTATGCTATTGTCAGTTAGTGTATTAATTACCTTTTATTTATTTATTTGCGTAGCAGCAAATAAATTATCAATAGACGGGGAGTCCATTGTGAATGGTCCCGGTCAAGCACAGCTGTTCCTGGGCTGAACCATCGATATTAATAAGTATCGACAGGGTATTTTGGCACAGATTAGCAGGTCTGTGCATAGGGCGGGAATTTGAAGTTCAACTTATCGTTAGTTTGTTTTTTTTTGGAGTAATTTTTTTCACTTAGTATTTTTTTTGTTAAGTCTTTTGGTATACATTTATTTATTCTCATTTATTTATTCTCATTTATTTATTCTTATTTATTTATTCTTATTTATTTATTCTTATTTATTTATTCTTATTTATTTATTCTTTTTTTTGGTTGTGTGTTTGATGGTATTCCTATATATATATACATAAGCATTTGATTGGATTAAATAATCCAACGGGTACTTAGCTAAGGATATTATCCCCGCTTATCATTTAAGAAAACACATACATACGAGTGGACCGATCTATTTATTTATTCGGAGTTTGCTCGTTTATAATATAGATATAGTTTTTTTTGATATTATAATCGGCGGGTACGGATCCGAGTACTAGCAGTGGTTTTTTTTTGGTTTGGATTAACAAGGTACTGAGAAATGAATCTTGACCCGAATGTTACCCGGAAGGTCAGGCGGAGTCAGGAGTTTATTAGAAATAGGCCATTGGTTCACTTGGACTCTCCTCCTCACGTAGGATTGAGTGAGGCGGGCAAGCCAGCAGAAGCACTCCATGATGACGCATCGCCGCCGAGTGTAAACGAGGCAGCGTTCCGAGGATTCGGGGATGAATTTCCGAACAGTTCCGGAGCAACAACCGGCGCACGCGCGCGTGACTATGGCGGTGAAGAGCAGGGTGGCAGAGCCGAGTCTGCGCTGCCAAGCGAAATTCGGTCAGCGATCAACGTGGCATTAGCACAGGCCCACGAGACGTATCGCGCATCGTTGTCGTCAGAAGTAGAGGCCATTCGAGAGACGATGCAGGCCAGCATGCTGTCGTTCATGCGCGAGATTAATGAGGCAGTGGCAGCGCTGAGGCAGGAGAGAACGCATAGCGCGCCTCCGTCTGTAGCACAGGCGCCGGTGGGCAGGCCAGAGCGAGCTCACGCGCAAATGCAGCGGCCAGCCTTAGGCGGGTACGAGCCGGCAGAGAAAGAAAGAGATTTTGTAAGTAGTAGACCAGCAGCTGCAGCACCGACTCACCTGTTCGTCGACAACCGAACTTTAGAGGCAGAACAGCGGGCACATGTGGAGCAGCGGCAGTTCTCAGCCGATCCGTGGATGCGCGATTTGGGCCCTGACGTGCACAGGCCATTAAGGCGAACCACGATGGGAGACTCCCGGCCCGACGTCGTCCACATCAGAAAGTGGGGCCTTGTATTTGATGGCGAAACCAAAGGAATGCCGGTGGCAGAGTTTATATTTCGATTGGAGCATTTGCAGTCCTTGTATCAGGTGCCCTGGGCCGACGTGTTGCGAGACTTCCACTGCCTGGTGAACGGGAGAGCGAAAGATTGGTATTGGATGTACATACGTACCTCGGGCGTGCCGGACTGGCCGAATCTCCGATATGGGCTGCAGCAGCAATTTCAGACTCGAAGATCGGAGTTTGAACGAGAGCAGGAGCTGAGGGAGCGGAAGCAGCGGCATGGCGAGAGCATAGAAGAGTATATTCAGGCGATGCTGGTGTTGCGTTCTCGGTTGGTGTGTCCATTTTCGGATTATGACCTTATTAAGGTGATAAAGACAAATATTAAAGACACCGTGTCTAGGGTCATCTATCCGATGAATATAACTAATCTGCAGAAGCTGAGAGAGGAGTGCCAAGACGCCGAAAAGATGCTGGCAACGCGTTGGGCGCGGCCCTCAGCCAGTACCAACTACGGGCAGCAGCGAGAGCAGCATCGAGTACACGAGCTGGACGTGGTAGCAGAAGGTACACAAGGCGGCCAACTGGAGCATTTGGAGGCGGTATATAGGCCACATGAAACTGGTGGGAGCCGCTCGAATCTCAAGTGTTGGAATTGTGCACAACCAGGGCATACATATTTCGATTGCGAGTCGGCGGTGCGCAATATGTTTTGTTTCAAATGCGGACAGCCAGGCGTGGTGCTGCCAAGATGCCCGAAATGCCGTCCGGGAAACTCGGAGAGGAGTCCGACGCAGCCGGAGGAGTCGCACTCTCGGTAGACGGTGAAACGCGTACCTCCGATGATACAGTAGTTAGGATAGGAATTAGTAGCGATAAGGATAGTACCGTTAGTCATATTTACTCACAGATATATAAAGTCAACCAGGCAGTCCCACCGAAGAAAGTATGGTCGCAGCGGAAACCCTTGGAGCAGCGTCAGCGCGACTATGAAGTAGCCAGGAACCGCATATTTGGTAGCCAGCACGAACCGGATGCGAGAGGGGCGTCGAAGACATCCTTGCGGGCGCGTAGGAGACACCGCGAACGCCGACAGAAACGCCAGGCGGTGTGTGCCGCGGTGAATTCTGCATGTCGTTCCGACAGCCGCCCATATGCTACGGTAGCGATTGAAGGCAGAGAATTTACCGGTCTGTTGGATACCGGGGCGTCGGTGAGCTTGCTGGGAAGTGGTGCCATAGAGTCGGTCCGAAAACTAGGTTTGGTGGTACGCGAAAACAAATCCGCGGTAAGGACAGCCGGCGGCGCGCCACATTGCATTATTGGCAGCGTGATGGCGCGCGTTAGGTATAACGGAACAGAGTCGGAAATGGTATTCCACGTTTGCCCGTCGTTGTGCCAACCGCTTTATCTGGGCGTGGATTTTTGGCGCAGGTTCGGTTTGGCTCCGAATGTGATCCCGGCTGTGGACGAAGGACAGCACGTGGCTGAGTTGGAGGAGGAGCGCTTAGGAAAGAGTACGCCAACGGAGCCACACGATTTAGAGGCGTGGCAACAGGAGAAGTTACAGCGAGTCGTGGCCCAATTCAGATCCTTCGAGGAGCACGGTCTGGGTAGGACGCCAGTGGAGCAGCACCACATTCAGTTGACGGAGGGGGCACTGCCAGTGAAAGAGCGTTTTTATCCCGTGTCGCCGGCAGTGCAGGCGCTATTGTTTGCAGAAGTCGACGAGATGCTTCGGCTAGGGGTTATCGAGCCAAGTGAGAGTCCATGGAGCAACCGAGTGACTTTGGTGAGGAAGCCTGGAAAGAACCGGTTGTGCTTAGACGCGAGAAAGCTAAATCAGCTCACGGTGAAGGATGCTTACCCACTCCAGAGCATTGAGTCGATCTTGAGCCGAGTGGAGGATACCATTTACATCAGCAGCCTGGATCTAAAGCATGCTTTTTGGCAGATCGAACTGGATCAGGAAAGCCGGCAGTACACCGCGTTTACGATACCAGGAAGGCCACTGTATCAATTTAAGGCCATGCCGTTCGGGTTGTGCAATGCGGCGCAGCGCCTTTGCCGGGTGATGGATAAGGTGATTCCCCAGCGTTTGAGAAGCCATGTATTCGTGTACCTGGACGACCTTCTCATAATATCCAGAACGTTTGAGGATCATTGCAAGGTGCTGCTGGACGTGGCAAGTGCTTTGAAAGTAGCCAATTTGACGATTTCCTTAAAAAAATCCAAGTTCTGCTACAAGTACTTGAAGTATCTGGGGTTTGTGGTTGGCGATGGTGCGTTGCGGACGGATCCAGAGAAGGTCGAGGCGATTCGGGCGATTTCCTTGCCGACCAGCGCAAAGCAGCTCCGCCGATTCTTGGGGACCGCTGGCTGGTATAGGCGTTTCATTCGGAATTTTTCCACGATTTCCGCGCCGTTAACGGACTGCCTGAAAGGGAAAGGAAAGTTCCAATTATCGGGCGAAGCGGTTGCGGCATTTCAGGAGTTGAAAGGGGCACTCACCTGCGCGCCAGTGTTGGTGCATCCAGACTTTCGGAAGCCGTTCGTGATCCAATGTGACGCGAGCCAAGCGGGCATAGGAGCGGTTTTGTTCCAACTCGATGCAGACGGGGCCGAAAGGCCGATAGCTTTTTTTTCAGCGAAGCTTCGGGGCGCTCAGCTGAGCTATAGTGTCACCGAGAAGGAATGCCTGGCTGCAGTAAAAGCGGTCGAAAGATTCCGGCCGTACGTTGAATTGATGCCGTTTAAGGTGGTGACTGATCACGCCAGCCTGCGGTGGCTGATGTCATTGAAGGAGTTGGACGGTCGATTAGCGCGGTGGTCGTTGGCCCTGCAGAGGTTCGACTTTAATATTGAGCATCGGAAAGGCAAGGAAAATATTGTAGCCGATACCCTCTCACGGCCTTTCGAACTGGAGGAAGTTGATTTTTTTGATTTCGAGACAACCGAGTTCGAAGGTGCGGAGTATACCGAGCGGCTGAAGCAAGTGCGGGAGAACGCGGAGCTATTTCCGGATTTACGCGTGGAGGATGGGCTGTTGTATAAGCGGGCGCAGTTCACGCGGCCCGAGCGAGAGGAATTTTCCTGGAAGCTCTGGGTACCGCGTCCTGTGTCCGCAGCCCTTATACAGCAGGCCCATGAGAGCGACGCGGCTATGCATGGGGGCATGAAGAGGACCATAGAACGGCTCAGGCAGTTTTTTTTCTGGCCCGGGATGGTGGCACAGGTGAGGAGGTACGTTGCCGGCTGTGAAACGTGCAAAGCAACAAAGCACAGCACGCAATTAGCGAGGCCGGTAATGGGCGCCGAAACCGTATCGCTCCGACCAATGCAGAGGCTGCATCTGGATTTTCTAGGGCCGTATCCGAGGTCCAGGAGAGGGAATACCACCATTCTGGTTGTTCTTGACCATCTGTCCAAATTCGTGTGGTTGCGAGCGATGCCAAAAGCAACAGCGGCGGCAGTGGTCCGGTTTCTGCAGGAGGAGGTGTTTTCGGCATTTGGAGTCCCAGAAACCGTCCATACCGACAACGGTAAGCAATTTGTGGCCAACCAATTTACGGGGTTCCTGCAGGGGCTGAGCATCACCCACGTACGCACGGCGAACTATGCCCCACAGGCGAATGCGGCGGAACGCGTGAACCAGACAGTGTTAGCGGCCATCAGGACATATGTACAGGGCGACCACACGAAGTGGGACGAGAAGCTCTCGGACGTGCAGTGTGCAGCACGCAGTGCTATCCATGGCAGCATCGGCACGTCCCCGTATTTCGTTTTGTTTGGGCAGCACATGTTCACCAGCGGGAAGGATTACAAGCTGGCACGCAAGTTGGGGGCGCTGGAGGATGCGGAATTGCGCATGTTGCCCAGATCGGATCAGCAGAAGGCAGTGCGGGATGAGGTACAGCAGAGTGTCCACCTGGCATATGAAAAGGCGAAACGGCAATACGATAAGCGTGCGAGGATGGTAGCGTACGTACCTGGCCAGGAGATTTACAGGCGAAACTTTGTCCTCAGTCGTTTTAAGGACAACGTGAACGCGAAGCTGTGCCACAAGTATGTGAAATGCCGTGTCCGGAGCAGCGTGGGCAACAGCCTGTACGAGTTGGAGGACATGCACGGGCGTCGGTTGGGAGTCTTCCACGCCAAAGATTTAAAGCAATAGCTAAGGCCCGGCTTTGTTCGTCGGTAGACCGAGAGACCCATCTCAGGGTGTGGGCGGTGGCCTACGTTGGGCAGAGAAAGAACCGCGGCGCTTCTCACTCCCGTTTCTTCCGTTTGGCACCAAAATAAAACCGGAGTGTGGTGTTATGTGCGGCGCGGCAGTATTGGGAAACCACAAATGTCGTCGGACAAAAGGAGTGGCAACTCGCGCGATTGGCAGCTGGAGCGGGCCGATAACAAGTACTCGTGCGTGAGGGGTGAGGACCAGTGCTACCAATTAGGAGGGTTGCAAAGTGGGTAAAATAGCAATTCCGGGGGAATGGCAAGTCGTGGCCTTAGGGAAGAAGAAAAATCAATTGTGGACAGTGAGCGAGAGACACGTGCTATTGCGGGAAAAAACAAAAAAAGAGACAAAATAAGCGGAAGACAATATTCAAACACCGGAGTGACGACAGGAGGGTTGGGATATACACCAGCGAGGCTTCATAGGCAGAGGTAAGGGTCTAAAAAGGGGCCAGTGTGCCAGTGACTAATTTCTTACTATATGTAATAGGAGTAGCAGTAACTGCGGGCGTTCTGGGAAGTGCGCTGTGCGCGGGTCAGCACCGACCGGCAGTACTGGGTCTTAGGCCGGACCTCGGCCCTAGCGGAAGTCAGGCCAATTTCCATGCAACTGGAAGTCTGGGCTAAGTACCCTTCAACATTAAAATACTAAATATTCACACACATTCCGCTCAAACATAGAACCAAAATTTTATATACACCCTACATACATATACATAGCCATCTCACATACACCAGTGCAGCATATAACACAAAATTCAACTAAATACTCACACATATTCCGCTCAAACATAGAACACAAAATTTTATATACACCACACACTCCTTTATATACACTCCATACATGTTCACATACACCATATTCAAACACACACCGAATTTCCATAGCACTCAGACTCACATTCATCCCATAGCCACATAATGTAAAATACAAAACAAAAAAACAACACACAAAACAATTAACAATTTTCTGTTACACACATAGCCCAAACCATTCACAACATAATATAAAACATTAAACAGAAACACAACACCCAAACATTTAACCATATTGTAATACACACACGCCCATAGCCACATAATGTAAAATACAAAACAAAAAAACAACACACAAAACAATTAACAATTTTCTGTTACACACATAGCCCAAACCATTCACAACATAATATAAAACATTAAACAGAAACACAACACCAAACAAGTAACCATATTGTAAACAAAAATTCAAATGTATACTTAAGAAAAAAGAACATAAAAAAAAAAGAAAAGTAAAAGAAAATGTATAAAGTCTAATATAAGCAAAAGAGGTTGGAATGTGTATTGGAGCGGCGCAGTTTTTTTTTTTTTGTTTATCTCCTTGTCATTACATATCATTACACCCCTCATAACCACATACTCGAGTATAGGTAGGTTAGGAGGTTCGAAAATCGAATAAGATAAATAGGCACAAAGAGCCAACAAACTGCAGCGTCCCAAAACTCAATGGCCTAAATACCCGAATATATTTTTATTGTAATAAAATTTAAAATTTGAAAATGAGTCTGGAGTAGAATCCATTTATGGGGTGAGATGGGGTGACTAAAGTCCCGGAGCAGAAGGGAAACCAAAGCAAGCATGTTGAAGGGAGCCGGCAACAAAATGCCAAAACCGGCTCAAGGTAGGGAGGGCCACGCGGCTACATGACACCAAAGTAGCCACAACTCCACCCAAATTCCACAGGCGTCCCTCAGCCGACAATATGAGTAGGTGTGTTTGATAAAAAAATATAAATTCATTGTTGGTCTGCCGCACCCCTGTCGCGGTCGAATCTGACCCTGAGCCGATGGCTAGCCGGCGTAACGACAGGGGATGCACTGGCAAAGGCGGACATAACAGTTTATGTTGCTTGCCTTTGATGTTGACCCCATTGCTTTTGTTTAGCTAAGTGTTTACTACACGCAATTTTCTGTTTACCTTAATATATCTAGAAGTGTATGTGAATCAATGGGAATACATAATCCGATTCGATATTTGAGCCATGGCCAATGCCGATTGTGCTTGGCGTTGGGTTTATAAATAGTTTGTGGGGTAGGCGCATTCATAACTTTGGTGACAGCTACATTAATGAGCTGCCTAACTCCTAGTGATAAATGAAATTGAGAAGCCCCACCAGTTGCTTCAACTATCTATATATATATATATATGTACAAGTATATGTACATCTACACCTAAATTAAAAGTCTATTTTTGAGCGCTGCAAGTATTTAAAAAAAGGGAATGGACTTAAGTGTGTACTCGTAGTGTCACAAATGCCACGAAAAAAGATTACACACTTTTCCCCAAAGATTCTTTAGATGTTTATGTAGGTATGTAGGTATTTGGTGATATATGTATTTTAAAAGCTTATGTTACTTCTCTCACTTTGAAGATAAAACGCTTCTAACAGTGGAGAGCAGAATTTCTTTTTCCTGGTATTAACTGACGCTGCAAATTCCTTAGATAGCTTCAGCTGTAGCTTCTTTGATCAAGCCTACGTACATATCGGGTGTTTTTTATGTCACAGCACGACTCGGGTCTTATCGTAGCAATTGCTGCCTCAATTCGTGCCAGATCGTCGGCAAACAATTAGTATATAGTATATAGTATTGTACATGAATGGTTTGGATAAATATTTATATGGAATATTTACATTACTTTTCAATTACAGAGAACAAATAAGATAACATCTTTATCTGGCATTTACTTGCTTCTATAGATAATAAGTACAGCATCTCTTAGGAGAAGAGTTAGAAACTTAGAAGAGCTGTGATTATACTTAAGTCAGTGGAAATTTCGTCCGCACATAGTATACGAAATCGGCCAAGCTTTGTTCATTCACACATAAATCTGCTGTCCCAGCATCAGCTTCCCCCTTGTATATATAACATACAATAATAGATACATTGTGGTTGCTATACAGACACACACACACACACACAGAGAGAGACAGTTCATTAGCTTAATTTGCATATTGTGTGATTTTAATTTGCTGCAACTTGTTGTTGAGGCTTTTGCCATTTTCGCTTTTCATGCCCATTAGCATCTTCAATACTAATAGCAAAGCCCGACTCGCCGTAATTTCCGTTCCTTTCGTTTGTGGCATTGTAATGATTGCCAATTTTTTGGACACTTTTCCCCACAGCTCGACAATTTTAGCTGATTGTGCAATTTTATTGTGAACATTTTCAAACAGCACTGCACACTGTTGGGAGCGTGTTTTTTTGTAATCTCGATACACATAGTATATTTCATTTTATTTAAATCGTGCGGCTCTGACGGAGGCGTCTGTTGCATTCGATTCGGTTGCAACAATTGCTTCAACATTTGGTTCCAAGGCGTGCCATATTGTTATTGTTTATTATTTGTTGTGCATGTTTGGATATGTATATATGTACATTCATATATATATATGTGTGTTTGTGTGTAGCTTAAGTTCACGGTCAGTGATTGATTTAATTTTTGGCATGCTGTTATGAAATTTTTCCACACACGCGATCTGACATTGAAATTGGGTAACTATTTAAGTAATGTAAACGCTGTTTTCAATTTAAAGCAATGCTAAATGGTTTCCATTTAATTGTGTGGCGTGTGAAGTGAATGTAATTTATGCTAAATCTCACAAACCAACTACAGATTGATGTTCCGGTTATTCCTGGCGCTCTTATAGACAGTTTACGTTGCGTAAATTACCAAACAAATTGTATTCTTGATTCAAAAAAATAAGTCGCGCCTGATGCCAATAATTTGAATTGGCAAAGACTTTACTTTTCGAACACAATAGGCAAGTAAAATGAACATTTCCTTAATTGCAAACCTTTCTCGGCTCATTGGAATTCTTTAGTATATAAATAAAAACTTGTCTTAAGTCTAGGAAAACAATTATTCCCGCTACAAATTTGATATTTCAAGCTTATCTAAAGCGTTCGGTTATTCTTTTCATCTGAAGCAGAATATATTTTCTAAATTAAGCTTTCAATCCGTAAACTTCTTAGTAAACCCTTTGTGTACATAGTTCGAAAAGAACCCATATTTGGATATACAAAATAGTTGTAGTTCTTCAGGGCAGTCGAAATCACATTTCACTCTTAATATTCTCAGTAATTACATATCTACTCTCTTGGAGCAGTGTGACCTTTTCGGCAGGTATAGACTGGTTTGTTCTCACATGGAACAGTCTATAAAGTGAAGACCAAAACAACGCAATTACTAACAATTTTCATCAATTTGCTAATAAATTGAACTAAACTATCACTAGTGTTGTGGCATACACGCCATTGTTCTAAAGACCGTCGGCCGACCTTCCTCTCGCCGCACATCCGCTTCAGCTGTGCTATTTATAGCAACCCTCTGGGGCACCCTTGCAAAGCGCGGCAACGCCCCTTCTGCAAAACCAACAAAACCAACCACAGGCACAGCTGGCTAGTCTTTTTGCTGGTCTAAATTTAAACCAGCTTGGGGCGAAGCTTGCACATGTCTCAGGAATGCCGTGTATATATGTATTTATGTATATGTTTGAGTCAGACTTCAACGGCGACTCCGGCTGTGACTCTCAAGTTGACCGACAGGCGCCAAAGTGTAGAGTAAATTTTCACTTTTGCCAAACTATGCCACAGTTTGAAATTACAAACTTGTATTTGCGTGTTCCTAATCTTTGTAATGGGCCCAACGCTCGCCCACATAGGTACAGCTCTTTGTATGCGTGAATAAAATTACCAGTTTGCCAATGCAAATGCAATTCAGAGCCTAACACACTGACAATTTGACAAATTGACGAACTGGCGTTTGACAAGACTCTGCGACCAAGCAATGCAAATGCAAAAGAGAAACCGTTTACGCTCAAATTTCCAAATCAAAATATTTAGTTAAATGAAACCAAAACAAAAACATCCATAAACAACAAGAGATACTCGTTAAGAAAAAGTTGAAAAAATAACTGAAACTTGTTTTGAGAGCGCGACATTTTTGTGGGCTTAAATAACTCGACAACGCACAGTGGGATAATTGGAGAAAAACGACAACAAAAATTCATTTTTAGGTCTTCAATTTAACACTATTAATGGATTGAAGAGCATCCTTAATACACAGATTTCAAATAGGCGTAGATTTGCTTCTGTAAATAAAAAACAAAATCTGCAACAAAGCTAACAGGACTTTTTAAAAATATAACTTACTGGAGACGCCACATTATGGAGGGTTACACACAAAATAATACTATGTAGTGCTTTTGTATTAAATTCGATTTACGCTCGGTAACACTTTTTCCGAAACTCTTCCATTGTTAAAACACCGAATGGTATACGTGATTCAATAAGGGGTTTTTATTGAAGATGCTGTCGGAAAAATGCTTGAATTGTTTCAAACTCAATCAAAATCTTCGGTGAAATTGGATTTGGAAAGTTCACTGATAAGGAAAATTCGGTCGACACTGTCACAGCGAATTTTAATCATCAACCACTCCCCATTTTAGCCCTATTTGACTCCGTTGAAATTTGAATTTCCCTATGAACAGAAAAGGCTTCTAACAATATTGAGTGGAACATTTTGTTTGTTTTAATAAAATAAACTTATATAAACATGTTTTCTTTGTTCTTATCCTTAAAAAGTACTCAAGTGCAAACCAAATATGAGTTTGTAATGGATTTAGAGATATTTTTCGAAATTTATGGAAACATGCAAACAGCTGACAGGTTACTAAACTTTGAGTTGCAAAGCAACTGCACTTTGTTAATTAAATATTATTAACAAAGTTTAAGTGTTGACACTGTTTTGCATATTTGTCTATTAAATCGGTAAATAAATGATATATAATAGCTAATAACTCGGTCTAACGCGATTGCAAAATTGCTACCTTTTCTCTTTTAGCGCGGTGAAATACCTCGTTCTAACGCGATTGACAAAATCGATTTTTTGATTTTGTTGATTATTGCATGCACATGAGATGTGTGTAGAAGAAGGGAAGTGGCACTTTCTACACCATCATAGTAAGAATGAGTGCATACTCTTATGTCCATACATAAATAGTTGCTAAGGTGAGCAAAACTTTATGTCTTCAGACGTGCACATTAAAATTCTTATGATAAAAGCAATGGTTAATGGTTCAACGGTTAGAATGAAATTAAATTATATAAAGTAAATTAGTAAATTATACAAATTGCAGTTTCTACGTGGCAGTCAAAGAAAAGCTTTAAGCTTTAAGAGCCACTAAACAGTCGAAAATTACTGATTTTTTGCCACGCCACCATATAAAAAATGTTAATTACTAAAGCTGCTATAAATGCCACTAAATGAATTTCTATTTTACTTTAATACATATGTGTTCTCTTTTTACGTTTGTTAACTTTTGATTAAACCTTTTGCCATTTGAATAAACTTTTTTATGTTTTTGAAACTAAATAAAATAAATTCAAACACTAAAAAATAGTTGTATGCATTTTTCGAAGTCTAGGAACGTAACCCCTTATTTTGTATGGAAATACAGGGCTCGTTTAACGCGATTTTGCTTAACACGACGTTTTCAAGGAACGTAACCCCCGCGTTAAGCGAGGGCTAGGTGTATTTATAATCTATCCATCTATATTTATATATCTATATATATAGGCTATGAACTGGCTTAACTCTCATAGGCCGCGTGATTTTTTCCACTGTGCGACGACATTACTGAACGAGAATTGTCGCTGTCTTTGGATTGCTTGTTATTGTTGTTGTTGCCTCACTGCCTGCCTCAACTTACTCTACTGCTCGAGTCGACCGAGTGCCTCAACACCCTGACGGGTGTTCGCTCTTGTTCGCTGGTGGGTGACTCATTTGCCTTTTTGCCATGTTCGAGTCCGGGGCTGGACTGCAGCTTGAACTTTGAAATCATTGCTCTGTTGCGAGCCTATTTAATTAGTGACATGTGTGGCGACCTTCCGCGCTTTAAATACATACATACTACTAATAAAAGCCATGCGACTTAAATTGCGGCAATTTTAGATTGTTTGTCAGTGGACAAAAGTTTAATTCAATTAAAAGTAAATAGAAATCAATGCGTGTGCAGTGAAGCGTGGCATGAGTGCGAAATTGATTGTGAAAACGGAAATAGACATGAGCTAAGAGGTAACTGCAAAGGCAACAGATGTTGTTATTACCAAAAGCAAAAAATTTCATAGAAACTATATGTATTTTGGTGGACCGACATTTTTTAAAACTTGCAATGAGATTTAAATTTAACGCGAGAAATACTCGTATATATAGTAGAAATTACAATGGAATGGTAGAGTAGAATCTTAAAAAACTTCAGTTGAAGACATATAAGTACTAATTATATTCTGTCTAATTTAGTGAAAAAAATCCAAATAGCAGATGGCTAAATATCCACTCGCCCTGTCATACTGATCAAGAATTGTGGGGTCTGCTATCCTCCTTCTATCCGTTACGTATATTTCCACTTAACTAATAAATGTTTTTAAGTATGATTGTCTTTTTTTTGTTCATTTTTATGGGATTCCTTTAAATGTCTCAATACATATACATACATACATATCTTCGAGATCATAGAGATTGAGATGAAATATAGTATGTTACTGAGGCGAAGAATTATGAATTTCATGTGCAGGAAATTTAAATAAAAAACGTGACATTATGCATTAAACATAAAAATAAATTACTTGGAGACTTGTGATAAAGCTGGATAGACTGACTGTTAATTCAAAGTCAACCAAGAAATTATTTTTACTTATGTAGTATCAAAAAGCCATTGAAGATGTTTTGACTCTACTTGTATATAGCTGTAAATCGTGCTTAAATTTAAGGTTCTACAAATGTAAAAGTGTTTCTAATCTAAGCATTTCCGCTTTTTATTAACTTACTTTGTACAGGCTTGGAGAACACCAAACGTAAGAAGTTAAAATCGCGCAGTGCGGCATCCACAACATCCTCATCGTTGCCGCATAGCAACACGCATAAGAGCAGCAGCAACAATGGCAGCACAGCCAACTATTCCAAGGATCATCTAGATGCCTGGCTGGAGAATTGTCTGAGGGATGCAACGAACGCGCAACTCTCATCTTCATCGGAATTTCTTGACTTCACGCCAACCAACAACAAACAACATTTTGTGGCGCAAGCGCAAACAACACAGCAACAACAACAGCAGCAGCAGCAACAACAACAGCAGTCCCAAGTTGCGCCGCAACAGCAACAGCAGCAGCAACAACAACAACACATGCCAAATATGCACAACTTTCAAGCGGCAACAAGCTATGTGCCCCAACAGCAACAGCAACAGCAGCAACAACAAAATCAGCAACATCAGCAATTTCTTATGCGTTCCCACTCTCAACCTTATAATATGGGCCTCAGTGGGGCAGCCTCACCCTTCAGCCTGGGCATTCAGCGCGTGAGTTTGTGTCATTTTGGACATGAAACATGCCTGTACTTAATGAATGAGTGTATTTCTTTTATTGTTTCTGTGTTGTAGCACGCGCCCAACTATGCGAAGCACTCACAGGCTTTAAGCCATCGCTACCCCATGCTCTTTCCGCCCCCGGGCAACGGGTATGCGAGTGGATTTGGTGTGACGCACGGCGATGGCACGCAGGACTTTGCCAGTCTTCCGCCGCTGGTCAATATGATGGGCGGTTTCAATGGCGGGTCCGAACACGAACAAAACTCCACGGATGTCCTAGATGGCAGTGGCAGTAATCCAAACATCAGCAGAGGGTGAGTAGTCGAAGCAAATCACTCACCAATCTTAAGAAAAATTGAAGATTTTCTAAAAAATGTAAAATAGCCACAGCGCAAAAATCAAATGTAAAGCTGATTCAAAGAGTTCAGAAATCAAATGATAATTCTACAAGGGATTTGTAACAGTTTGATCGACTATAGAACATTTTAATTCGACAGAAGGACCTTTATAAAAGTAGAAGATAGAATATCAAAAGAAAGCACTAAAAGTTGTTTATTATGAACTTCTAATACTACCCATGTTTTGGTCAGAAATCATCGCATTTCCATATAAAGCATTTGCTTTAATTTGGATACCTCCTCGTATTCTCTAATATGGGGTATGCAGTAATCATTTTGTCGGATTTTCCTTTCGATTTCAAAATGTGTGAGTAATTCCATTATCGGTACCATGAATTCGCATTCATAACCAATATTGCAATTATTGGTCACATGTTTTCACCAAAAAATAACAAACAATAAACGAAGAAAGAAAAGAAATCAGTTGAAAATGAAATAAAGCTGCTCTATGACATGGAGCATATGTCCTAACTGGACAATACTCTTTCAAATAGACTCGCCTTTATTTTTAATTTTAGTGAAGAAATCTGCAATGTTGATCATTATTCCAATTATATCGCTTGTGGGCTGCAATGCAATCTAAACTAAGGGCAAGAGCTTTTTTTTATATTATATTGTAATGTAGGATTCTTCCAGTATATTAGTGCCAATTAATGTCGAGTATTTAGACAGTATTTCACTCACATTTTGTTATACATTTTCCTAGCCCCAGTCTACGATTTCTTCTGTAGGCATCGGCGATGCTGTGGTAGTCTAATCTTATTGCCAGTTTTAATAACTAACGGCTTAGCTCAACTTCCTTTTGGAAGGCTAAATTTTTCAATAGAAATTTTTAATTATATTAAAATGTTTAATAAATAGGTACGTGTATATCTATGTACGTTTTCCCATATGAGTACATTTAGAGTATTCGCTTTCACTATAAATCTATCGGAAGAAAGTAGAACATGTCTTCTTAAAGGTGGTAATTCTACAAGTGATTTGTAAGAATTTAATCTACTATACAAGGTTTTAATATGTTGAGAGATGGACCTTTTTAAAATAGCACTGGCAGTTCTTACTGAAGTGCTTTCGAGAACATTAACCTCTCTAAGTGAAATTAAACCAAATAGATGAACAAATTATTTTCTTCAAAGAAAACAACCATCATTATACGAATTCTTGATAATATTTTGAAAGAAAGCTCCTCCTTACAATGTTGAGGAATGGTTTTAATTGGCCTAAAACCGAATCAAGTATAATTAGTAAATCAATATTTTGAAATAAATGTATCTGTAATACCGACAAACAACAATTACAGCATTATAAACACTACTAAACATATTTTTAGTTTCAGATTCAGCGATCCCTGCCTACTCAATCCCTCGGATAACGACTCTAAGCTAAGCGGCCAAAATACGCCCGATCGTCGCAATTGCAGCAATGAATTGGAGCAGCAAAATAAATTCTTTTCCGCACTCATGGAGCAAATAAACATTCTACATGAGACCAACTCGAAGATCTGTCGAAATTTGCACGAAACGAAAGGTGTGTGTGTGTGTGTGTGTGGAAATTTTTGTGTGCAACAGTTGGCAGTAAGAGTTGTATTTGTATTGTATACATTGTCTATCTAAAAAGCTCTCTAATTGTGCAACACTTGTGTATACAGCATTTTTTTTACTCTTCCCATCTACTCGTACTCCTACACTTGCTCTGGCCTGGCCATTTGTCTGCTCTTGTAAAAATAACAGTTGCCGTTTACTTTTTATAACTGACTATTTATATATACACAATCCTATTTTCAATTATTAATTACACGCTGCTACAAATTGTGACATTTTTTGAAACTAGCTTACAGAGTGACTGCTGCTTTCTATACATGATTCTTATGATTAATTTCTCAACTTTTTAAAGTGTTTTATGAACTTTCCATTAAGTCATTGGATGTAATATTCGAACTCAGACGATTTTCGAGCTGATTATGGTATCTTTGGTAGATCTTCAAACGTCAAATGTCTACAAAGTATTAGCGTAGTTAACAGCACTAACTACTTAGTATCAATCATCACCTTTTTTGTTTTAGGCGGCATGTGCGTTTGTTGACATATTGTTGTTGTTAAACATAAAAAAATGATATTTATTTTAATTTTATGAAAAGCTGTAATCGTTGAAAATAATTTATTAACCACCTGTACGTGTACATGTACAAAACAATATTAATTAAATATGTACAATTTGGATCAGAGTTGTAGGAAACTTAGACGTTGACAAAAGTTTCAACAATAATTTAATTTCCTAAGCATTAGTCACTTCTTCAGAAACTTTTCAATCTTTGTAGCAGAGTGTAACAATCTGTAAATGTATTTTTAAATTTGTACCTTTTGTTTTTCTTTTATTCGACCCTCCCAACTATGTACTTTGTCATTCCTGCACCTCACGTAAAACTACTTTAGTTGATATCGAAGCTTTAAAGCACGCGCCCAACAGCCAGCAATGGGGTGGGGGCATGCGGCACCGTAGAGATAGCTTGAGCGGATTAAGCACACAAAGTCAACCATTGGTATTTGGCGGTGGATTTGGCACGCACAGCCCAGCGCCCACTTTTCATTCAGGTACATTACAAGTGCCAACATTGATTGACATCGCCTTCAAGCAGAGGGAGCTTCCAATTAACGTGATTTCTTTTCGTTCATGAACATATGTACAGGCGCAGGCGCCTATACACCCGGCATGATGACCGATGTAGTTCGCGAGGTCAAGGAAGCGGCGCGTGTGCGCGAGGATGCACTTCTTAATCGGTATGTACTAAATGCTTTTATAGCTCAATCACCACTATATATATATATTGATCATTTGCAGCGTCAAATCTATGGTAGAGGAACGGCAATGGTCAATGAACGAGGGCAACGTGCGCATCTTACGTGACATCGACGAGCTAAAGGTAATCCATAATTGAGACCAAATTCAAAAAAGGAAAATAAACTCGTATAGACTAGGGACTAGGAGCGTCTGCATACCAGGTTTGGTTTATGTACGCTCAGCCGTTTCCGAAATCCAGGCGTTCATCCAGACAAACGGACGGACGGACATGTCTAGATCGATTTCTCTCGTCATGCTGATTAGGAATATATGTACTTTATGGGGAGAAGTCGGAGCTGCTTCCTTCTGCACGCTACATACTTTTCACAAACATAATATACCCTTTCTACCCGACAGGGTATACAAACTGCAGAAATCGTCTTATGGGTACTATGATAGATGTTATATACGAAGATTCGATTTGATTAGCCATGCTCGCCTGGTCACTCTCTGAAATATCGCGATAATGATGGTGGGCATATGGACTTGTTGCCATTAGAATAATTGGTTTATAAATATCTTTCAATAGGACATTTCTATTTTTTAGTTTTCTGTAGTGCTCTAATATTTTCCTCAAAACGCATGTACTACTTGGTATACATTTCATTTTAATGTTGTTTTTTTTTAAGTTTAAAAGTGGTAATGGGAAGAAGGGGTTGTTTGAAAAAATGAGAAGGAAGTTTTTGTATTACATCTATCCTTTTGTAAGCCAACGTTTCTCTGAGAAAGATAAGTCTCTCAATGAGAATTTTGTGTTTACATTGAAGTTTACAATTGTATTAATGAAAAACCTCCCCTTCCCACTCCTTTACAGACGCACGTGCTGCAGCTGCGCCTAGAGCGGAAGGAGACAAACAAACGTTTGAACCATCTGGAGGCGGAAAACAAATATTTGCGGCAGGCATTAGCCTCTTGCTATAACAACCGCACGCCACAGCACGATATCATCTATGAGAACGAGCGGGCGCAGCGAACCCGGAAACCCTTTCCCAATGGCAGTGGAGCGCGACGTGCGCATTCCTTTAACTTACATTATGGCACAGTGCATCAGACGCCGGCGCAAGCCACACACTCGCTGGATGAAGACGATGAGGTGGAGCTGGAGTTGGAAGAGAAGCAACAGCTGCCTGATGCCCTGGACGACGAGGAAGCCAGCAGTGAGCTGCAACGCTCCGCGGCTGGTTCTGCAAAGCGTCATTCAGTTTCCAGCATTGAGTCCCGAAGCAATGGTCTGACAACTCCTCAACAGCAGCCGCAAACCCCGCCCAATTTTGCTTTGATGTCGCCACCAACAAATGAGCAGGCAACGCCGCCACCGCTACTGCCGCGAAAAAAGGAGCACGCCCAGTTAAAGCGCGAACTTCAAGAAGCGTCTGCCGCACGTAAGGAGGCCAATCAACGTATCATAGCGTGGGTGTAGTCTATGCTCTAAACTCTTTACATATAATATTTGTTCTTTTAACCACAACAAACCATATGCATACAAACACCTTTTATTTCACAACCATGGGCACAACTAACAAACAATCACATCTATTACAAGTAGTTTAGTACTGAATTGTGGTGACTAAAAGCAAAACTCACACATTTTTTTGCATTTCTGTTCTTCTCTTTGGACTCTGCGCTCTCTGCGTTCCTGTTCGTGTTCGTTCACTCTTCAAACCCTTTAGACTCGAAAAATTGGTTACAGACCTAAGTCTCGCCGTGACGAATGCAACAGCTAACAACCTAACAAATGGCGGACGCGAGCTTCAGGAGCATAATAATGTTGGTGTAGGTCATGCAATGCACTCTCAAAATCAAGCCAATTGGATTCCACGTAGTACGGCAGCCATAGCAGCGACGTCGGGTTCAAAGTTCAGCGTGGCCGGCGGACCCATCACGGACTTATAGTTTTAGCTAGCAGCTTGCGACCCCAAGTCTCAACCAAAGGTTCCGCAGCTGGTCACCAAAGTGCGCGTTACTCACTTATAGCAAAAGGATCAAGGACGACCTCAACGGCGTTTGCACACATTTCGTTTCAAAATTATTTATAACTCATTAACATTTGCATAGCATCACCACTCTCCCATATATTTCATAATTGTGTATTTTTGTTTCGTATGTAACCCAAAAAAAGAGGCCAAATGTTTCCCCCCGATCCATCCAACATCATTGTAGAACAATCCTAATCTATTGACTCTTCAAGAACTTAAAACATTAAGGTTTTTTAAAATGTTTACTAATATATGGGTAGCACAATATTCATTTGAACAAAAGAAAACTGTGAATCATCTTGTAACTTGTACTAAACAGCTCCTAAAGATCGTGAAGGACATTTGAACTAATTAAGAATCTAGCGAAAATCGTGTACCTAGCAAAGAACAAAAATAATATGTCCTAACATATAAAAATGAAAGTCTTTCATAAATTCAAATTGTTAAAACAAATTATGTATTTTTTTGAGAAGCGATTGTCAAACTTATATATATTACACATATAGTATCTGTACATGTCAAAATGTAAAGTACACGCTTTGAAATCGAAGCTCTATTGATAATGTGCTCACTCAACTGATAAAAAGAAAACAAATTATTTCGTTTCGTATTTCGTTGTTCCTGGTATTTCTCTGAGGGTATACAAGGATAATTTGTAAATCCTTTTGTATACCATTAAAAGTCGCTTTATGTTTTATGTAAGGCTTTTTATTAAAAAGAAAACAGATTTTTATCAGCACTGATAATACGTTCGTCCTTTTTAAATTCGCCGAAAAATTACATACATATGCGTCTTATCGAGTGTTCACATTAGCGAATGATAGTTTTCGAAGCGCATGCATTACACTAATAATTTTAATATATTAAACGTATTGTTAAGTGCCATTTGATTTAACAAAACATGAATTGTAATTATGATGTTTAATAGAATATTTTTTACAGTAACTTGTGTGATATATATTCATTACTTTTTTAATGCCTTTTTGCATTTAGATCTGGGAATAAGTTCCAGTTGTCGGTCTGCGGCATGTGATTTCGATTTGAATCTGGATTATACATACATTACACAGATATATGTGCATTAATTTAAAACAATTGTTATATAAACACACTGTCCATATGTGTCCCGACACTACAAAAATATCATATAGCTATGACGATCAGGTTGAGATTGCTGCCACAGATGCAGTTGTTCTTGCTGCTGTAGAAGCCAATTTTTGTATGTTTTTGTATGTGTGGACGCATCCACCGGCAGCCGAGTTTCTTGGGAAAAGTCAAATGAAATCTTATAACGCATCTAAGAATACATAAAGCATAGATTAGAAATGATAAAAATATATGAAAGATGGATGGAAAGTAACATTTAAATGAGGTTGAGTGTGGCCGTGTCGGTGCGTGAATATGCGTGTGAATGTGCTTGTATATGGATGTGCGTGTGTGTGTGTGTGTGTGGTTTGGAGGTGGCTCTCCTTTACATACATTGTGCAGCCATGTCGCTGCTATCGATGCCCAGCATTGCCAATTCGTCCAGCTCCGCCTGACGCCGCATCTTTTCGCTGCCAGTGGGCGATACCGGCGGTTGCGGTATATTCGCCACATCAACCAGTTCGCTAACAGGTTTCGTTGGATTTGACTCAGGCGCGTCTTCTTTCGCATCTGACAAAAGTGGCGGTGGCGGTGATCCTGGCATAGGTATATCAACTGCTTCCACATGCTTCAAGCTAATGGGAATAGTTGCCGCGGCTTCCGCTGGCTCTTTCACATCACCGCCATTTCCATTGGAAAGCGGCTGCAATTGGTGTACTGCACTATTTTTGTTATACACATCGTTTTGGGAGTCACCGTCCATCTGCATAGGTGAATTCAACGACTTGCTAGATTTCTCAATAGGTTGCACATTTGTGGGCGGCAAGGAGGTCTGAGTGGTCTCTTCGATTGTTACCAGATGTATACCCTGCTTGGCCAAATCCTGCAGACTGTGCTCGTCCATTACCGCCTCATCTTCTACAATGGTTGTGATTGTTGATGGTGGCTCAGCCGGTGCGGGGCTCTCAGCCGCTTCATCAGCAGGTCGCTCAGAGGGAAAGATAATGTCAAGTGCTTCAGCGAAGTCTTTGGGAAGTTCGCCATCTCGAGGTTGTGAGGCCACATCTAAAGGCTGAGTGGACAGATCAGATTCGGATTCATCAATGCCCGGCGGCAGAACGTCATCCTCTTCATTCCCATCAATCTCGCCATCTTCTAAAGAAGGTTTGCCATTGCCAATAGCGGGTCCCTCGGCGCTGTTGCCCGGTGGTGGGGGTGGTGGACAAGCAGTCATGAGATTGGCAAACTGCACCGGATCTGGCATCAGTTCATCATAGTCCATCATCATGCCTGCATCGGGATGGAATGGAGGCGCATTGCCATATGCATCTTCCATCATAGCCATTTGGATTTGAACCACTGTTGGTGCAGGCGGACGCACAGCACCAGAGGTAGCAGGCTGTCCTGGTGCATCTGGGGGAGGTGGAGGAGGAGGTTGAGCCATCATCTCAGTTCCGTTGGTGTAAGGAAGGCCCATCTCGCCATAGATACCGGTTCCAGTTTGCGTTGAGGGCTGTTTCTTGAATACTGGCATCTTACCAATAAAAGGCAACTTCTTGCCACCCGCTGCTGCCGCCGCAGATGCGCTGCTACTCGAATTCTTGGAGCTTTTAGACTTTGACGCAGACTCTTTTTTGTCTCGCTTGGAATCCGGCCCTTTGCGTTCGGGCACAGTACGAGGCCTGAACTCGGAATGTTTTACGACGGGGCGTTCAACGCGACTGACGGCACCATGTTCCCGGCTGCCGGAGCGCGAACGACTGCGGGAACGGCTGCGACGTCGACGAGCATCACGGGAACGGCTGCGTCTCTCTCTGTTTCGCAGTGGAGAACGTGAGTACCGTCGGCGCCCACGACTGCGATCCCTGCTCCGGGAACGCTTCCTCCGCCGACTATCATAGTCGTCGCGGCCTCCTCTTGAACTGCTGCGTCTGGAACGGGAGTTACGTCGCTTGGCCACTGGACTACGCGATCGCCTACCTCTTTCAACGCGTCGCGACTTCTCTTCATTATGCGACTGTGGTGGTCCTGTAGTATCCCTAGGCGCCAAATTGGTCGTGTCGTCCGTATCGCGTCCTTTGCTCTTTAGCTTGCCCTTTAGTTGCTCCAAAAGTTTCTTCTCACTCTCGCTGATGACTGGCTGAACAGTGTTCCATTGTTGCATCATTGCTTCGTCGCGTTTCTTCTGTTCCTCCAAATCGGCTGCAGCTCTGATTGCGGGCTCCACTCCACCAGCTGGTGTCCACTTACTCAGTCGTGTGTGGGTACTGAGTGAATCTTTAATGATAGGCGGCGGTGGTGGTGCGACAGGATACTGGATCACTGGCTCCTCCTTGGTCACTGGCGTTTCCTGCTTGCGCATCGCAACAAGTATGGATGCATTGGCTTGCTTCTCTAATAGTTGCAAAACAGCTTCTTCGTCGGGTAATTTCTTTGGTTGTGGCTGTTCATCATCCGACGAGGAGCCGTCCGATGAGGACGATGTGTCATTGGCCGCAGCATTTGCCGCTTTCTTCTGTTTCTTTCCGTGCTTCCGTTTCTTTTTCTTCTTCTCGGTGCTGTAAATAATAGAGATTATCAAATCACCTCTAATTTTTTACATATCTAAATACCCTCTACTTATGAACATTTGATATAATTTATCAAATTGCCTGTTCAATAATTTTTTAAGCACTATAGCTATAAAGTTAATTATTAGCTTTACTAAAACCTGCAACCTAGGTTAGTCAACGTTGACAGATAAAGCAGATAGAAGTGATTTAAAGAAAACAAAATACGGATATTCCATATATTTAGGAAACACAGTTGAAGTAGAAGCTTAGCTTAGAAACTTCAAAATTAACAAATCTTGGTAAAAACTAGCACCATGAAAAAGTTTCTTTTATGGCTTGCAACATTTTTCTACACGAAGGATAAAAGAATATTATAACAACGTTTGCATATATTCTCGTATATAATTAGAATTACAAAAATTTTCAAAAAAATAGGGCTGTACATCCACATTTCTATTCAAACGATCAGCTAGTACTGCGTTTTCTGCCTCATAACAATGTCTTCATTTTCTACTGATATCCAATTGGTAGCACTGAATTTTTTTTATGGAATATTGCTGCTACAACTGATTGTAAGAGATAATAAACTTAAATCGTAGAATATTTAAAAAACGTACCTCTTCTTTTTGCGCTTCTTGACGGCCTTTTCTTCATCCTTTTTGGATTTCTTTTGCTTGGCATCCTCGCTCTCTTTCTGCTGCAACGCTCGCTCCCGTTCGGCCAGCCATTCGGTCTCGTAGTTAGGACTCTTTTTAAGAAATGTCTGAGAAATGCAGTTGAAATTTACAGATAAATAATCTGTTAAAAGTTTTCCTATAACCATTGCACTTACGTCATAACGGTTGGAATGAGTTTTCGACTTTAGATGAGCCGATGCACAATGTAAGTCACCAATCCAGACCCTGCACAATTTACAGTACCATGCTGAGGCAGGCACCAGGAATTGCATACCCCGCACTGGCACCCGTTTTGTGGGGGCATTCTCAAAACTTGGAAACGGATCGTGGTCGATATCGATGTGCCAAGGCGTTTCTATAGTGTCGCGGTTCATATGCTCCTCGGCATGTAAGTGCTTGAGATAGTCGCGAGCTGTCTTCGGGAACACACCACAGCTGGAACACCAGTGCTGTTCGGGATCGAAAAACACCAAATTGTAATTTTGTGGGGCTGGCTGAGCAGCTTTCGTTGAAGCTTCAACATTGCGCTGTTTCGCTTTCATTGATTTGATTGCGCGATGCTTAAGGCGATTTGTGGGGCTACCATCGCCATTCTCCTCGTCACCCTCAGATGAAGAGTCCGATGAGGAGCTGGTTGAATCACTCGATTCCGAACTGTCGTCCGAACTATCACTGGATGCCGAATTTTCCGATTGAGGTGCCGCTTTAGTCACCTGTTCCAGGCTAGCCTGTGTCTTGATGCGTATTGCTGACGGTTCTGGTGCATCTTCGGTTTCATCATCGGGATCCTCGTCGCCAATGAGGCCGTTTAACATGTCAATAACATTCTCTATAGTGTCCAATTTCTTTTTTATCTGCCCCTGAAATAATATTAAAGCTATATTTTGCAATTCTGTGCAGCCCTATTAAATTGGGTTTTACCAAATGTTACATTTTATTATAGTTATAAAGTTGTACTAAGTGTTAAATTATGAGTTACACTTGCAGAATGGGTTTCACTATTTATGTTTGAAGTTTAAAAACATATTCGATGCTACATTAATAGCCTATTTACCGCAAAATATTTGCTATAGACCTTAAATACGACCGATGGATTCAATTTGTGTTTTTTACGATATTTGGGCACAAAACATTGACAATGAAAAATAAATGAATAACTATTTAATTCATCTATTGTATGGAATACCTGCAAATAATCGTTCTGCGCTATGAAATCCTGCGTTGTGGGCGACGGCGGTTCATCTACAGCGGCCAAATCTTCACGTTGCTCTTTCAACACTTTCATCTCCTTTTTGAGCAGAGTTACTTTCGTCACGTAGTTGGCGCGTTGCTTCTTAAGCTCGTCCTTTTGGTTCTCTGCCTCCTGGGCAACGGCTGCCAATCGACCGATATATAGAGTGGGTAAAGAGAGAGAAACAAATTAGCATACATTTCCGTCAGTTCAATAGAAAGTTCAAATTTCATTTACAAAATGCATTCTCGAGTGCATTTCACGGCTAGTTACACAATGGCAAACACCAGCCACGGTCGGGTGCGGACGTCGGCTCAGCGGACCGCACACGTTTTCTTGTTGTGGTCCTCGGAGTTGAGTGCATGCGTGTGTTGTGAATGTGCCGCTCCCAAGACGAGAAGTGAGTTTCAAACAACGAAAAACGCCGAATACGCATTATGCATACGCATAAATGCGCGTTTTATAGCTAGATTCTGAGTGTCTACAATTTGTATTTTGGTTTATGTATATTATGTTCTTTTTCGCGTTTAATTTACAGTTTACATATTGTTTGGCTTTTGTTTGTTAGGGGCGTAATCATGACAACAATAATAAAACATAATGTGAGAGGTTTGCATGTGAATTTTTTGTAGTACCAAAGCGATATTCATTTCCACACTTACCGTCCTGTGGCGGCAAACCTCCACTCTCACGCGTTGCCGACGGCAACTCCTCCGGTACAGATGACTCCTGAACAGGCAACATTTGCTGTTGTTGTTGTGGCTGCTGCTGCGTGGGCTGCACAAGCGACTGTTGTGGTTGCGCAAGAGTCTCCGGCGTCGCTTGTGGAACACTTGGCAATGGCTGCGGTATCCAGACCTGCTGTCCGTATTCTGCGTATCAAACATGGATGTCATTGTAAAACCTGGATTCCCGAACTTGCCAATAACGACTTACCATTTACGCCCCAGGCTCCCTGCGGTGGAGGCCCATAGCCCGCACTGAAATCAGCTTGCGTTGGCGGCGGTCCTGGCATGCCATATGCTGCTGGTGGACCCTGGGCTTGAAATGCATTTGGCGGTGGTATACCATATTGGTGTCCATACACGCCCGGTGGTGCTCCATACGGACCCTGGCTGTACATTTGAGGCGGCATTACTCCGTATGGTTGTTGACCTGGATGCGCCAACTGTGGTGGCCCTCCTTGCATCTGTTGTCCGGATGGCGGCGGCAGGGGCGGCGAAGACGGCTTCTTTTTGGGTGACCAGCGTCCACCAGGACTCCCGGATCGTCTGCCACGTCTAGGCGGGGAGTTAGTTCGCGATCGAGAGCGTCCAAAGCGTCCATCCCGTCGACCACGTCGTGGGGGAGACCGTCGGCGATCCGGTGAGCGTCTCCTATCCCGATCGTAGCGCCTGCGTGGTCCATAGCGTCCATACTCGGTAGAATCGTAGCGTCCCCGGCGCGGTGGTGGTGAAGGTGAACGCGAGGGCGAACGTCGCCGGGATGGTAGCGTTACAGGTGATGGTGAGCGAGAGGGCGAACGTCGCCGTCGCGCTGTTGGTGAAGTCGAGCGTCGGCGTGAGCGTGATTTGCTGCTTTTGCGATTCGCCGCCATAGATTCCTCGTTTTTTTCATTCGTATCCATATCGACTCCGGGTGGACCAGGTAGCAGTTCGTCCATTTTATTATGCAGCGGAAGACGCTCCACTAATCGTGCGTATTTTTCAACTTAATAATTGTCTAAGTTTTATGTCAATTACAACGTTGCAAATTCTGAATATTACGTACAAAGCACCGCAGTTCAGACACGGGCACGATATTTAGTGTGACCGCATTTATTTCGTTACATCTGCCGCCAGCACTGTACATATAAAAATACCAAATTTTTAGTTTTCATTTGGTTTCAATACGCGCTCAATTAACAACGCTGTAGGCATTAGTGCTGGAACGGTGGAACTGGAGTAACTGTATAGGAAAAAGAATTGCAGTATTTTCATTCCAAAAGCATGCGTTTTAACTAAAGAGGTCCATATGTTTAAAAAGGTAATTAATAGTTAAGGTTAAAACAAGAACCAATTGTTTTATACGAGTAGGATTAGGATAAATGCCTTATATTAAAGTATAGCATTTTTAAAGATTCCAAAAGAGTTTTGGTTTTTTATTGAAAATGTGCGAGAAATATAAAATTTTATTACCGTTAAGCAACATATATTGGTCATTATTAATAATGTAGAACGAATTTTTTTGGTTGTCATGAATTATTAAAATTTCGTATCGGCAGAAAACTACACCCGGCTGACAAATGTCAAGTTAGTGATCCTTTGGTGCAGACACTTTAGTTTTTCAATGGGACAAGTGGGCCTCGGATGCAGGCATTTGCAGTATTGGAAACGTTTCATCAAATACTCCTCAAACTCCTCGCAAGGTTTCAGTAATGTGCGATAATCTTCGATTGATTCGAGGCTAATGGGGTCCAACTGATGCATAAACGCTTTCATTTTTAAAATACTGGCGTAGAAATAGTTGAAGATATCGACAACCATTATCTTGTGGTGCTGAATGGAACGATGGTGCTTATCGCCCAATATAAATGGAGTTTCCATCTTCTTATCCAGTTTTTTATAAGCTGCGTAAAACTCCTTGCAGTGCGTGCTTAGCTCCAAGATGGAGTGCTTCAAGCAATTGCTGTTTGAGGCACAAATAACAATATTAGTTGGAACATTGCTAGCTCTTGCAACATGAGTTGCTATTCTTATATCTTCTTACTTAGACGCACGCAGCACTTGCAGTTTTTCCTCGTACTCATTGATAATGACCTCCTCGGCGGATAGGGTGTAGACCTCTGGGAAGCGGCAGCCGGTTCCCGAACTGATGACTAGCAAATACCGTTGGGTTAACACCCACACCCGCTCAATGAGTATTTTTTGGGTCTCAATCTCGCAGAGATATAACTTATAGTAATCACGATAGCGTAACTCCAGATCCACAAGTAATCGCAGGACTTCCACTTCATTCTCGTAGTGCTCCTGTATTTGGGGCGTCAAATGGGGTTCATCGTCATTGGCGTTGCTCATTTTTTAACGTTCTTGTCTATTTTCTACTACAAATATGTGATTTGCAATGTGATGGCGAAAGTGTACTTCAGGCAGCAATAACTAAATAATAATGACATTGTAGGCCATGTTTGCTTAGCTGAACAATTACAGGCAGTCGTTAAAAGCATATTCAGGTAAGGGCTGCTCATGGCTGACTTATCAATGCACCAACAATGACTATAAATATCGGCATTGGTACAACAGCTCGATATTAGTTCTGACAAAATGAAACCTCAAGTGGTGATCTGCATTTCGTTTGTGGTAGCACTCGGCGCCTTGACCAGTGCTTACAATGGCGACGGGCAGCCAGGCTGTCGTACCCAAGAGGAAGTGGACATTGGCATCTTTCGCGATAATTGGGATGCCACATCCTACTGGAAGTGCGAGAAGTTAAACGAGCCGGCCAGCCGCTGGCGTTGTCCTTCCGAGACGGGCTTTATGGATAGTCTGAAGGATTGCGTCAATTGGGATGAGTGGAAATGGGAGAAACCGGCCGCACCGCTCAGTGAGGTTGTTGATGAATAAGGAAACTCCAAAACATAGTGACATATTATTATTGTCATAATATTAAAAGTAAAATTACGAAATTGCGCTAAGCGAAAAAAAACGCAACAAAATGAATAATGAAAGCATATGTGTAAAAAATTGAATCGTTGAGTCCTTTGTAGATAAATTAAAATCATGTGGCTGATTAGTCCCGGGTGCGTAGGCCCCAAATAGAGGTGCGACGTGTGCCTACTGTTGGGCGAGCCACTGAGCTGTGTATGAACTTATTGATCCCCATTTTGGGCATTTGCTTCTCCAGCACCTCCATGGCCGATTCGGTAAGCACACCAAATATATCCAGATACGTGAGAGATGGCATTGCATTTAGTTCGCTGCAAGTGGAGAAGGATTGCTTCTTGTTATTCAAATTCTCATGAATTCTCCTTTAGTTTTAAATGTAAGAGGTCCATATTGATTTAAGATGAAACTCAGATTATTTTACACACTACATAATCTCCTTTATAGGATTTTAAAAGAAGTTCTCAGAAAAACGCAAAGGAATTAACAAATTTAGATCTATATAATGATTTGTAGATTAATAGTTGTTAACCAAAAGAGCGCGTATTTCAGGATATTTCTTTCACTTGACTTACATGAAGTTGTTAACCGGTATGAGGTAACACCGTGAAACGGATAAATACTCGAGCATTTTGAATTTCATGATGGCTTTTAGCGCACAAGGAGTCAGACTATTGCAATCGGATAGATCCAATTCCAGCAGTTGAGGGCAACGCTTTTGCAATATCACGACATCTGCGAGAGAAGACAACATAAATGTGGTTTAGCTCGAATTGTTTTCTTTAAATTGCAGCTATTACTCACGATTATCGAAGAGGACACGCCGACATCCAGCCACATTAAGGCGTATCACATTGGGCGTTATATGCACGACCAAGGCAGTGATCGCATCGGCACTTAAATTCGTCCACGATATATTCAAACTGCTTAAGTTGGTAAGGGACTCCATAAGCATCCCCACACTCTTGGCATTAAGGCCAGTGGACATGGACAAATTAAGCGCTTCAAGCGATTTGTTCTGGGCAATCTCAAAGCAAATTTCATCGTTGAGCTCAGCGTGTTCCAAGCTGAGCTTCTTAAGTTGACGACAGTGCGCGAGTAATATGTGTAATGAGTTGAGAGAAATGGAAGCCAAGCTCAAATCCAAATACTGTAAGCGAGTGTTGAACGAGGGAGGCGAGGGAGGGCAGGTGAAGGCAGGCTCCTGAATCTGAAACAATTGATGATATAAAGAATTAGCCAAAGTTGCATCAGTTCGGAATCTAATTAAACCTGTCGTTTATTGGGGCACTTACATCCGCTTGAGCTAGTCGCAGAACGACAACACCGCGGCGCACAACCTGCTCGAGAGCATGTGGACATAATGTGCGCAAGCCCAAATCCATACGAGTCCAGAGTGTTTCGTCGCGAGCCAAGCAGTAGAATCGTCTACAGACAGTCGCAAGGCGTAGCAGCGTTTTCTTGGGCAGCCATTTGAAAATGTTCAGTACTATCTCGTCCGAGAGCTTGTCGAAATAGTTGACGCCGCTGTTAAGGTGCGCGCTCATGGCGGTTGTGCGATAGATAAAGAAATTGTCCGATGGTTCCATACGCGAGGTCTGCGGCTGCGATTGCGGCTTCTGTGTTTGCTGGCGACTCTGCTGACGCTGAAGAGCCTGTTTGGAGGTGGAGGGCTGCAAACTTAATGGCGGCTGCTGTTGTTGTTGATGCTGTATTGATGGAGAGGGCGCAAAAGCTGTTGCCACCGGCTCGCTCTGGTTATTGCACGTGACGGTTGCCAGTGGATTGCGGGTGCGCTTTGTTGGCGAATTGGAATTGCTGCTGCACTCGGAGCCCAGGGCAACACGTTTGGCCTGTGAAAGAGCGTGTAGCTTCTCAGCCGATTGCCGCAGAAGGCGCTGCTGCGCATCCTCGCTGAATACTTCGACGACGGTGTTGTTATTGGTGTTTACACTACTGTCCAACGTTGTGTCTGCTGTTGTATTGAGACTGAGGCGTTGTTGCTGATGCGACATTCGTGTGGCGTTGACGTGAGGGGTCAACTCATTAGAATTCTCGTCGCTGGTGGCACTGACCGCCAAGGCAATGGCCGACAAAGCCGATGAGCTGCTTTCCTCAGAGTCCAACATGCCGATGCCCAGCTCTTCGAGCGCCTCGAATGTAAGCGCTGAGGGCGAGGAGGGGTGCTCGTACCGTGACGTCTTTGAAGCGGAGGTTCCAACAGTGCCAATGACGGCGCTGTTTCTACTACTACAGCGTTTTCTGTAATAGAGAGTAAAGCGACGGAACATTAATTAATAAAGCGCTGAGGCGGTGCCCACTTGCTGGTTCAGCAACAGGTCAAGCACCTTTCAATTTCCTTAGTCAACATTAATCAACATTAGTCAACATTAGTGATGTTGACCTGGTTTTTCTTCCTAGTGCATTTTAAATGCATGAAAATACTGTGACGTCACAGCACAAATCGCGCCAATTCTCGCCCGGCAACGTTTTTCTAAATGAGTCTCAACAAAATTTGGGCCTGTGTGCAATTCTAATTACCTGGTAGTTGGACACAAGTTTTCAATATTTTCGTCTGTCCTATGTTTGCGGCTGCTCATATTTACATAAATTCTTTAGTTATTTCGCGGTCTCTTTTGGACATACACACACACACAGCCACAAAATCTACGCGCTATTATTGACAATAACTTAGTATGCCCAAAACGGCAAAACTAAAAATACCGAACAGCAACCGAGAAAATACCAATTGGTGCTGCCAACTTGTTATGCATAAGTTTGCCCATCTCTAACGTAAAAAAAGCTGTAATAACAAAAAAACAAAATTTTAACAGATAAACAAACAAAAGAACGGGGAAAACGAGAAGATATTGCAATCTTCAGAAAATTTATAGCATAGGGAAAGTTTTTTGAGAAAAATTTACATGTTGCAGGGTTTTAGCACATCTTGAGTGAAAAGTGAAAACTGCAATAAAAACGAGGCGGGCGGTGAAACTGCGACGGCAGCAACAACAAAACAACAGCGTTGACGTTTCTTCCTGGATCCCAATTTTACAAAGTGCGTAGTAATTAATCTAAATATGTATGTACATCCATATATTCATGCTAGTGCATCACACACAAACGGCTCGCCTATAATAAATCAATAACAACAACAACAAACGTGTGCACATTAAGGGGGGGAATTTGTGCGTACATTTTTGGTAACAGTGCTTGCGTGATCATCGTGGGCCTTTGATTTAAATACATACTCGCAGTTTTGTCGTCCTCCAAACACCACACACACAATATGTAACAACTTATAGAATCACAAATAATATTGTGCTAGAAATTATTTTTAAAATTGCATATGCCGCAGTAACATTTTCCGCGCTTTCGTTTTACCCAGTTTGTGCCCGAAGTCATTCGTTTAAACAAATTCGAATACTCATATTCTTTTGTAGATTTGTCAAAATGAGCATACGCACGAGAGCACTGGTCTTTTTGACATTTTTTGGCAGTTGCCTGGCCATTGGCTTGTTATTGGTTAGCATGACAACCAACCACTGGATTCGGGCCACTCCGCGACGCGTCAATTCCACGGAAGCCAAAGGCGATGTGAATTTCGGTCTCTTCTATGGAAGTCAGCATTTGAATCTTGGCTTCGGTGTACGCACCTATCCCGTCAATGGTGAGTTTCTCGTTTTAAAATGTTTAATGTGTTCCTAAAGCAACTACTTTATTTTACAGTCTATACATTCATACGAACGGAGAACGGAGACTCCAGCTTCTGGTTGTGGCTACTATCTACACTTGGCACAGGCTTTGGACTTCTCGCCTGCGCTGTTGCTGCCATAGCTGCTGTGTTAAAGTCTGCATCGGCAGCCAAGAAGGGCGGCACCATGGTACTACTTTTGACTGCCAATATATCAGCAGCTGGGGCACAAGTGGTGGCCTTTGTGGCATGGCTGGTGCAATTCTATCAGTATCTCATACACAATGTGCTGATCGCCGAGCATCACAAACAGAACTGGTATAGTACGGGCTTGGCCTACCTTGGCTACAGTTTCTATTTAGTAGTCATTTCCACAATCGTGGTGCTGATTAATATTACCATACTGTTATATGCAAAACGTCGCGAGCATCGTGATCGCAATCGCAGAGAGCCCCCAACTGTGGACAAGAATCATCCCGTTATAATGCTGTACTAGATACTTGTATACAAGAAGGCGCAAGTGGGGGAGTAGCACTAATATAACCTCAAATGAACACAGGCTCGAGTAAGTGATGAAATCTCAGCGGCTCGTGCCTTACTTATAGATGCCTTTTGATTGCCAACGCTGCCTACTGGGCATTGCATTTTACTCATAAACGATGAAAACATACAGCATATATACTTAAAACTATGGATTTTGTAATAGTTTAGTTTTCGAAAACTTTAATAGTATTTATAAGAAGGTATTATTTTGTATACATTCAGTTGAAGAAAGTCTGATATGTATTTTAGCGCACAAAAGACAGCCGAAAGAACAAATTTCCTATAAATCAATTGCGCACTCAACTCAAACATGTACTCGAATAAACTTTATACTCTATTTTGATATACTACCTATGATATACATATCGCGTATATAGCTACTTTACAGCTATGTATGTACAGAGTCATTGTTAAATACAAATACATACAAACAAAGAACGCTTGTCTCACTTCAATGCCTTGAAATTAATTGTCCGGGTGTTTTTCCATTCGAGGGCGAGAATAAAAATGGAAACGAAGTGTAACTTTGTAAATCAGCTATTCGTCGTAAAAAATGTATACTAGACAAAATAGACATATTATATAAGTAATATATACACACATATTTTTGATACATGTATGTACACTGCGCGTCATCAGGTTAGCACACCTACATCAGCCAATACACCGTTATATGGTTTTTAGTATTTTCTTTTCTAGTCAATCGAAAAGGGTTTTTTATAGCCTGTACCCGTAGGGTAAAAAGGGTATATTAGGTTTGTGCAAAGTATGTAACATACAGAAGGAAGCATCTCCGACCCCATAAAGTATATATATTCTTGATCAGCATGACGAGAGAAATCGATCTAGACATGTCCGTCCGTCCGTCCGTCTGTCCGTCCGTCTGGATGAACGCAAGGATCTCAGAAACTATAAAAGCTAGAATAACCAAAGTTGGTACCCAGATTCTCCTATGTCCGAGAAAGGACGAGTTTATTTTATTTTTTGGCCTGTACCCAAAGGGTGAAAGGCTATACTAGTTTTGTGCGCATGTATGTAACACACAGAAGGAGGCGTGGCAGACCCCACAAAGTATATATATTCTTGATCAGGATGAGAAGACGAGTCGATATAGCCATGTCCGTCTATCCGTCCGTCCGTCCGTCTGTATGAACGCAAGGATCTCAGAAAGTATAAGAGCTAGAATAATCAAACTTGGTATCCAGGTTCTCCTAAGTCCGAGAAAGGACGAGTTTGTGTTTTTTTTCTGATGCACCCCTCCACTCCCCCGCATTCGTGTTTTTTCTTAGAACTTCCGTAATTCGCGGAATTTTGAAATCAATTTTGGTAGGTACATCCAGTTAGTACTAATGTGTCCGTGTGCTAAACTTCATCATGATTGGTCAATTCTGAAGAAAGTTAAAGCCATAAGTAAAATCGCTGCTCATGCGCTGCCTGCATGCATTTTTTTTTTTAATTTTTCTTTTTTGTGGAGAGTACAGGCTATTTATTTACTATTTACTGTCGGGCTTGCTCGATTGTAGCGTTCTATCTTGTTTTTACTGGCCAAGTGATCTATTTTCTTTAATGTGGGTAAAAAAAACGGTATCGGTTGAAGAGAAAGCATAATTCGAAGCTTAATATGAGTTAAAGCTTTCCATAACTGAAATAGCAAAATAAGTCGGCAGAAGTGGAAAAGATGTATACAATTTCTTACTTAAAATGTCGGGATATGGTATAAATAATAAATGCGGTAATAATAAAGTGATTTCCTGTCTTTAAAGGGTGTTAAGGAATGCTCGGCATTTGAAAAGATTAAAACTAAAGAAAATAAGTAATAAAGCTAAATTCGGGTGTCCCGACTCTGTACATATGTTTACAATAATTATAGAAAATAAACAAAATTAAGAAAATGAAAAAAAAAATTGGATCTATTTTACCTCTCTCGGTATTCGAACTCACGTAAAGGGTGTATAAAGTTGCACTTATACAAAGCAAGTGCGGCTGTGTGAGTGTGTGTATGCCTATGCAACCAAACAGCAACAGCGCTGCAGCAGCAAATATATTTATGGCTATACGGATACATAATGACTAACTTAAGGTATTTGCAAAATTTGCGTTCGAAATTCCAAGAATTACGGGAGTTAGAGAAAATAGCGATTTGTGTGCAATTATAAACCCTTTACGTGAGTTCAAATACCAAAAGAGGTAAAATCTATCATAAATTATATATGTCGAGAGAAATCGATCTAGAAGTGTCCGTCCGTCTGGATGAATACAAGGATCTCAGAAACTATAAGAGCTAGAATAACCAAAGTTGGCATCCAGATTCTCCTTGGTCCGAGAAAGGACGAGTTTATTTTATTTTTTGGAATTTTCCCCCTTCCCCGCTACAGAATTTCGCCAATAGCGTCCAATTGCTACCTAAACCAAACTTTGCATACATAATTTATATGTAATTGTCTACTGTTGTTCAAGTTATTAGCGAAAGTTATTAGCGAAACAAATTCTCGCCAGTACAACCCCCCCAAACTGCAGCAACAAATTCGCTCTTCTTCTTCCTCTTTTTGCTGCTGCTATGGGCGCATATAACTCAGTGACGGAAGTTTACCTGGGTACAGGGCTTGCTCGACTGTAGCGTTCTCTCTTGTTTTAATTTCTATAATTATTGTTAACATATGTACAGAGTATTTCAAAGTCGGGACACCCGATTTTAGCTTTTTTACTTGTATTTCCATGATCTTCGGAAGAAGGAGCATTAATTGCTTCGACTTCATAGTTGTGTGGGCGGTGTAATGGTGCTTTATTCGAATTCGTATAACGAAATTGTTTTGAGAAGAAGACTGGTCCTTTCTTGGGTTTTCTTAAAACTTACTGCCCTCAATTATCTGAAATTCTAAAGGCAGTCCACCCCCAGGGAAGTCGACAGTAGCACACGCTACGCCGCGGGTGACATCCGTGCCATGAGGCGAAAAAAGTAAAATCAAAAACTCAATTACAAATCTCTAGGCTCGTAAAAAAGAAAGCAACAGCGTCAGTGTTGTGATGAATTACTTAAGAAATTCTCCTTTTAAAAATGTCACAACAGACAGCCAAGCAATTTCCTTAACGTAATAATAATGCTCACCTCGTCTAGGTTCCAGCTAATTGCAGGAGCAGAGGACCACACCGTGGGCAAAAAATCCAAGTGTCATCATCGGATTTTGCAAACAAATCAATTATTTTCTTTTTTTTAACTTGTTGGCCATGCAGTACAAACTTGTTGTTGTTGTCTTTGTACGATTGTGTGATTGTCTGACTGATGGCTGTTTCCTTGGTGCAGGACGATTCGTGTGGCTTTGTCCTTGCACTGCGGCAGCAACTTCCTATTTATTTGCTATGGGCACATTGTTACACGGACAAAATGGGCCACAGGACTGCTTCCTTTGCGACGATCGACACAATTATGTCATCATTAGTTTTGATTAGTTTGTTGGCTCATGTTGATGGGAAACTGTGCACAGCCACAAAGGTGTACAACGAGTATATGTGTATATGCCTGTCTGTTTGTTTTTGTCCTTGTGGCATAGCCTGGCACTTCCGGCACCTCCTACTGTTTACATTTGGGTCGAGTCCAGCTGGCCGCTGTTACTGTTTTGGTTGCAGCCTGGGTTGATTTAAATGAAATTGCCTAATAATGATGAACGTGTTTTTAATTGAGGGTATCGCAGGGCGGTCTTAAGGCCTGAAGAGATGTCATACAGTTTTAAAAAATATTAATTTTTGGCTATGATTCAATGTATAGACAGAATTCATATTGATTACAATTATAAATTGACCCAAATCAAAATATCAATGCTATTACCAAAAAAAAATCTGTTTAATTCATAATTGAAAATAATAAAGAAAGCTAACTTTTATGTAAAATGAGAAAGAAAAGGCAAATCGGGAGATTGTAGAGATAGCCTTTAATAGCAATATTTTATTTGCTATACATCATTTAAACGATGACCCAATAGCTGGTCCTTGGAACTGGTCCCTTTTAATAAGAATATCTGCCCGTCAAATATGTTGTTCAATCTTAAAAAATAATTTAGTAAAACCTAATACCGCATAGCATTTATTTACCAAAATCATGTTGAGAGTTGCAAACCTTTTTAATGTATTTGTACACCCAGATGACGACAAACCAAAATATATTGTATTTAGCAGTTTTTTAAAATTAGTACTTGTTAATATATATAATATGTATTTTTTTTAGTTCCTTATCAAATCTGGACCACATGAAAACTTGATAAAATATTTATTTCTAAGTTACTTTGATAAAATGTTTCGTTTCCTTCTTAAATATTTATATCCCAACAGATATGTTCTTTTGTTTGTCGCTGAAATTAGTGGGAACATTAAATAATAAATGTAGCATATAAAATATATAAAATATGAAATATATTTTATATGTATATTTTTATATTTTTTATGTATTCCTGACCTATTAATACTTTCCTTGCCATATCTAAGCATTTGGTTTTAAAATAATTAATGTCGCTCAAATGATTTGAAATGCGACAAAATTTGTGTGCAAATTATTTGCTGTCTGATCATACTGATAGCTGTACTATATATTCAATTTTGGTACTATCTGGCTGGATAACGACTTATTTGGCCAAACAACTTAAGCCGTCACCATGTCGCGCTGCCATGTGTGTGATTGTGTGCTCGGACCATATGAGTCTAGAACGTGTGGCACGTTTCGGGGTCTCTATCTGTATGCCGATGTTGTGCATATGTATTGGTTGGCACTGCATTGCGCATGGTTGTGCAAGTCCTTGCTGGTAAACATGGCGTTAGGATTAGGCATAGAATGTCCATACATTTGCATTGCAAGATAATGGAAAGACACGCTCATTAGGAGGAAAACTGGAAGCACTGCAGAACCGATGGTCCCAGCGAGATTAGAGCGCAGACAATCGACTTATTAAGAGTGTTTATGCAGATAAACGCATCGTTTAGCGTGTGTCGGGACATACCCACTTTTCCGCCTGGGATTAGGTAAGAGTTCTGGAAATCACAAATCGCCAGAAGTATGTATGTGAAAGCATGTGAAAAAGGAAGAAGGTAGAAAAAAGGAAACGCTTACCGGCAGTTGGAAATGTTAAGCAATGTCGCTGGGCTGTACAAATATAATGAACGGGAAAGTCTCATAGCCGTTAATCGAAGAGCAGAATTATCAATAGAAATACCAAATTCCGAAATACCAGCACACAGCCTGCCACACACGTTGAGGCTCGTTTTATGCGACATACTTACATAGATTCATCTTTAGGAGCATGTATATACGTGGAATTATGGCAGTTTACATTTATAAGTCCGTTCTGTTTACTCGAATTTGTCTGTAGCTTCAGTTTTTTATAGTCTCGTTCGCCTTTTGTGAGGAAAGCATTTCTAGTGACCGCAAACATGTGAATCCTCGAAGAAAGCCAACAACAAGAGGCCGAGGCGAGGGCCAGGGTCAGCGCCAGACAGTTTGTCTGCCCATGAATCGCTGCGCTGCTGGCCAATAAATTTCCCAATTAAATGGATCCTCTGACACTTTGTATAGAACGTCAGCGGGCTACTACCCTGTTGTGCCTCTCGCTCTATATTTACACGCGTATGTGTGTGTAGCATAAGGGATGAGGGTTGCTTGCAAAGACGAGGGGTTGAAAACTGACGCACTTTGCTTGGCCGAACTGGCGCTGTGAAAGGTAGCAGGCTAGTTAACGCAGTTAAGCAGTTTGTTACGGTTTACCCATTGCGACTCCATTTTTTATTTGAAGAACTGCTCTTTTCTTTTTTTGCACTGCTCATTCAATTGCCATACAAGCGTTGCTCTGCTATTGTGGCATTGCGAAATTATTGTCCGTATATTTCTCCATTAGTCGCACAAAGAGACATTTCAATTTCTTTCCGAGACGTGCTGTGTGGCCGGGCAGGAAAGTCGTCCCAGTCGTCCTGGTCTCCGCTCTGGTTGTTCTACTAGATGGCGATTATTTCGTTGCGAAATCTTCGGACCACCCGACGACTTTTGTTTGGCCTCTTTGTGGTCATGAATGGCAGATAGGCGAGTGCCTCCTAGGTGGCAATTGTTCGCAGACGTCAGTGGGTTATTGATAGCCAAACTACTTTCTTGTTCGTAGTACCATATGACTTGACTTGCCTTGATTAGGGTTTTCTCAAACTACATAACAATGAAAGGTTCTGATGTTACGTGTTTGTCTGGGCAATTATATTTAGTTTTCTATTCTAATTCTTCTGAAATTCATTATTTTCTCATGCACTATTTACGAGAGTGCACGGTGTGCACTGGATTGAATAGGAATAGGATTGAAACCCCTATTTGTGATTTATTCTAAATGGTTTTTAATATACACAACAATAATCATGAAATACATTCGCACTAAACTCGCTTCATATGAAATAATTAAAAAAGCCGTAGATTTAAATTCCAAGTTACTTCAATAAAATATGTATCCTTTATTTTGGACTCTGAAAACTTTGCAGCATCGGGCTATTTTTTTCTGTGAATATCTAAAAAAGTATTAAGCAACAAGCAAATATAACTGGGCATTTCATATATGTATAATAAAGACAAATCTCTGATTTATGTACATATACATATTGTTGTTATTATTTCAATATTCTCAAGATGTGTCTATTGCACTATGTTTACAAATAAAAGCTCTTCTTCAATGCTTTGAACATAAATAATTAAAGGTGAAAAGAATTTGCCAATCAAAATATTTTCATCAAGTATGTTTGCAAAATTAGCTTTAACCAATCATTCTTTTTCATTTATATACTCTATCAATTTACACATTAATAAGAAGACACTTTACAATCAGAATAAAGGGGTATTTCCTAAACATCTACTATATATATTGGTTGATAAAATGATTCATAAACACAAATATTTCAAGATCGGGCTATTACTATAGCATATGAGATTGCTTATATATTTTTTAAAATTTAATTTAATATGTATCATTATACACTTGAATCATTTCAGATATGAAATAACACTTCATAGTATTATATATTAATTCCTTTTGCAACGTTTAGTTTTATATCGTTTTGGAATAGTGAACAGTATTGATGCAATTCTGCAGGGGGCAACGGGGGAAATTGAAAACTAAATAAAATAAAGTTTGGGCAATGACAATGGGTAGCTCGATTTGTGTCGTCATATAAGTATACTGTTATACTACTTTATAGGATCGGATGTGCTTTCTTCTGGCTGTTAAATACTTTACACAAACCTGTGTAAATTCAGGCATAGAAATTACGTTATATTAATTTATTAATATACTTCGAACGAGTTAAATACTAATGTCGCGTTCTCCGTCCAGTACTATGTTCAAAGAAATGGTATTATTCAATATTGTTTAAATTTTTTATTTAAATTCGATAACATCTAAATGGAAAAAAGATATAATATTATATATTTGAAAGAACTATTGTATATTTCACTAGCATAAAGTATGTGAAGGGAGATTTCCAGCTATTCCTTTAAAGCTGTCATTAATGGCACATATATTTTGCTTTGGATTGAAGTCACAGTTAATTCCTGTACTAAGCTGGCATATTTTCGAAAATTAGTTGATTTCAGATGGATCAGACACATGGTTGCCATAGGAATAGTAAACAACTTTTACTTTTACTTGATCGAAGCAAGATATAATATTTTTTTAAACAGCTCAAAAAATTCTAATTGGAACAAGTTTGGCTTTAAATTTGTGTACTATATACAAACGTATAGATTGTCTGCAAACGCTGCTTTTGTCTTAAGAAATTATTCAAACATTATTTTTTAACTCTTCCAATAAGCAAATTAATGTATCAAATCAAATCATTTACTGATGATACTGATTTCGCACTTAACGTAAATGTTGGAATGAAAATGATAAGCAAATCTTCAAATCAAACCTATAGTATAAAGTACATTGATTTGGAAAATTAATGTAATATCTACAGGTTACTTCAAAAGTATTGATTCCATCAGCGGCTTAAATACTTTGAACGTTGTTGGTATGAGTAGTCTATCAAGACGCTTTTATCATAAATATTTGTATATGCTTCTGCTGCCATTCGTCTTCGAATTCTTGTGACACATTGAACGTGACAGAAATAATTCAAGACGAGAATGGCTTTCTCACACTCGACCTATCTATCAAACGCTCTCCCGATCAGGCCAACTCTCCACTTTAATTAATGGCAGCAATTAGGCAACAATGTGGTCTAAGGAGAATTTCCATCCAGAGAAGACGACAGACCGTCTGGCAAATACTGATGCAGAGCATTTCGTTGTGAAAAATGCCTATTTGAGGTGGTAAGCTGGCAAGAGTCGTGACCAAGTGCTCAAAGTGCAGCCGCTGTGTCTGGTGCAAACAAAATTATTGGAATCAATAGGACACATTATTAGTTAGATCATTGTGCCACTTGTGCCTGCAGAGATGTCGAAGTCGACGACGCGCTGTCTGCCACTCTGGGAAATCTTCTCACCAACTGACCAGGTAAAAATGATACCTGCACGCCCCTATCAAGCGGCTGAATTGCCATTGTCTGGTATTTGAAAAAAAAAGGTTGAAAAGGTAGCTGCCTACCAGAAATTGTGTGCTACGGTGTTACGAAAATTGCAGTCTTTGTCCGCACGTAGAAGTCACATTCACAATCCATTGATATTGACATTGACCAGGTCGCATAACAAATGCAACAATTTTTGTTAAACCAGACCAGGCCAGAGCAGACTTTGTGTCTGTGTCTATCTTCGCACTCAGTTGCTCAGGTGGCCCAGACCCCATTGTCCTCATGAATGACGCAAACTGTCAAGTGAGTAATGGCAAGGGGACGTGGACAATTGCACTAGATCGGAGTGTGAGAAAATGCAACGATCGTTTTATGAGTTCTCTTTAGTCAATTTTTGGTGAAAATGGATTTGTTCTAGTTCTCCGATTAAATAGGTTTTACAGCATTTATATACATTAGTTAGAGAGGGCGTGCCCGTATTCCTAATTTAATGTGATTCCTTTTGCTGGCAATTTGTGAATGAAAATTTCTCAAAAAGAAAAATTTCAGCCATGACTTGTGTCTTTTAACCCTTTGATGTGTCCTACCGGCTGTTGCCGACTGACCTTGCAAATATTCGAATGAATGCACACTGCTAGCCTCTGTGGTCTTTGATTTTGCCGGCATGATGTGCAAATTTTTGCCAAATGCATGCTTTAAGGCGAATCAACAGTCATTAGCAGGCATGCAAAATGGCCTTTGATTTCTACATTTTGTGGTTGAAAGGTGCCGATCGGAGAAAGTGTGTGGGACGAGCTACATATATACTATAGGTGTGTATAGTTAAACAAACGCTGCACTACCACAGACTTAACCATTATTAGCTATTTTCTTGAGTTTCATTTCAACTTTCAAAAAGTCAGACGATGGGAAATTAAAACCGTTTTTGAGTACTTTTTTCATGCTTATATATTTGTTGATTTTGTAAACATATATTGTATAGTGCAACTCTCAATATTTGTTCTATATACTCTTAGTATCTAAATATAACTCATGTATTGCTAGTAACCGTGTATTCAGCACATAAAAATGTTAAAAATATTCTTAGATTGTAATATTGTATGTGAGTGTGTTTCAGTGTATATCTCTTAAATCTCGTAGTCGCTTAGCATATGAGAAAAAGGATCACTTAAGGACATTATTTACACATGTGTGGGTTTTTCTTTCCTCAACACTTCTACCTTCACAATATTTACAAGTTGTTTGGTACTGTCTGTCTGTCTGCCTGCCTGTCTGTCTGTTTGTCTGGAGGGCCAGAGGGACAGATCACGTCGAGGGATAGTAGTGTAAATATTCATTAAAAAATAAATAGCTCAATATTTGCATATATCGTCCAAGGGCCTCGGTCCTCGGTCGTCGGTCCAAGGAACGAGGTATCTATAGTTAAGTACATTGCGCCAGTGTGGGCCAGGTACATTCGATTCGTTGCTGAGGTAGACATGGATCTTGACGTTTAAGTTGATTAAATTTGCTGATAAAGATGATTGGCCGGCATTTTGTTGAATGGTATGGTTGGTTGGTACACTTCGGATGGTAGCGGTTTTAAAGCGTGCAAGCGCTTCACAGATCGCTGGAGCTGAGCTTCAAAAACCGGACGACCAGTTTTTAATAGCCATACAGATACGGATACATGGGCACAAAGATTGCCGGTCCCAGCTGGCGTTCCTGCGGCATGTGCGTCTTCATATGTTTCTTGAGATGATCGCGACGTCCGAACTTTTTGCCGCAGGCGTTGCAAGGATACGGACGCAGTCCAGTGTGTATGCGCTTATGACGTGTCAGCTCCTCATTGCGTGTGAAGGTTTTGCCGCAGGTGTCCACGTCGCACTTGAAAGGGCGCTCGCCTGATGTAACCAAAGAAAAATAATTCAAATAAGTATGGAATGTCAAAGAATTTGTGGTGACTGTTTGCCCAACACTTACCGGTATGGATGCGTATGTGGCCCTTGAGTTGGCCATTATTGGAGAAGGCGACATCACAGTGCGGGCATTTGAATTTCTTTGGTCGCTGCTTGCGTGCATTTAGCGCTTTCAGCTGCGCGTCCTCGGCCATGACACGTGCATACTCCTGCTCCATCAGACCCAAGGTGAAGGGATCCATGCCAAATGCAGCCGCAGCAGCAGCAGCAGCGTTTGGAGAACTGGCGGCGGCTGCAGCCGCAGCGGCAGCATAGTAAAGATCTGATGCACCGGACATGTAGGGCGACACCTGCTGATGTGGGGACATCTGTTGCGGAGGCAAGGCCGAGGAGGTGGTGGCAAAGACAGGCGATTCAGGCAGCTGGGGCGTTTGTGTGACGTCCAGCAGGGGGGTCGAAGTTCTTGTATAGCTGCTATTATTCAAGCCATCCTCATAGCTGCTACTCTTACTGCTGATGCTGCTCGACGAGGAGGAGGAGGAGGAGGACGATGAGGAGGCGCATTCACGATCACTGTCAGGGCCATGATGGTTGCTGCCATAGCTGCTGGCTGGCCGTTCCGTTTTGATTGTCGTTGTTCCAGTCGTCATACCCACTCCTATCGTCGTCGCCATAGATGAGGTTGTAGGTTCACGTTTCACGGGTCTGCTGGCATTTTCGCTGGCACAACTTACGGGCGCTGGCGTATTGCGATGTGTATCCCAGGGACGGAAGAGCCGCGAATAGGTTTGTGGTGGATGCAAATTAATTGTCGACATATTGTCTCACGTACACGAATTTTATATTTAATGCGAAATATTGAATTTTCTTCAACTTATTTGATTGAACACAGAGGAACGTTTTCTGGAGTTGCGTGCCTTTCAAGATCTAAACTCGAACTGAGCTCTCCTATCGAGGCAGCGCACAATTTAAAGAGATTTCATTGAGCGCACACGCAAAAGGTCCTTGCTGCCAAAGGCCTACCTACAGGGCTACCTACACACACATACACACGCACACACACGCACGCATACGCACGCACAAACGTTTTGGCCTGCGCTTCATTCATCGATTTGAGAAAAAACCTCCGTGCGTCGTTCTATCTGTCTGTTAATGTATGAGTGTGTGTGTGTGTTCGTGTGACTGTGTGCGTATGGCACACTCTAGGGTGGTTTTCACTTCGCATAACAATGGCCGCTTGCACACATATACATACACACAAACACACTTAGTACATAATGTACTCTGGGCTCTGCCCCGCGCCACATTTCAGTTTAGTTTCCCTGCCACCAATTCTAATCGCCTCTTCAAATGGCATCTTCTTTGACTTTCGTTTTTAATGTACACACATACATACATACTTGTATATGTATGTATGTATGTAAGTATGTTTGGCAGCTATTATATATTGTACTATATATAAATATCTTTTTTGTGGGTCTCTCTGGGGTGACTGTGGCTGCGCTTAGCTTTAAGTGAAGCATTCATGATTATGAATTTTACGCTTACCTACCGACAAACCCCCTTATACGCAATTTGATAAAAGTTGTTGTCAGTGAGGCACGACAGGGCTGGACTGGGCTCCGCTCCCCTCACTTCCCCACCTACCGCAACGCTGCATGCCGCACCCCGTTGTGCGTTTGTAACTTGGTTATCTGGCTGGCTGGGTATCTCACTGGGTGGCTAACTGGGTAGCTGACTGAATGCTCGGTAAGTTTCGAAACATTGTGCCAAATTTCGAGCCCATGATTTCGCGGGCTTGTCCAAAATGTCTAAGGGGCCTGACTTCAATTCTTCATCTGCGCTCTGAGTTTTCTTTTGTAGTTTTGCTTCCCCCCGGCTGCTGTGGCAATTTATTATTGAATTAAGTGCTTTTTCTGGGGGTTGGTCCCAGCCTCAGTCTCAGTCCCAGTCCCATTGTTTGTGGCAACTTTCCACTTTAAATATGCAAAATGTGTACCAAGCGTCTTGTCAAGATGGGAGTATGTATATATACACGTATTTGTGAATATATATATGTGTGTGTGTGTGAAAATGTTAAGTCTGCAAGCTATGGCTTAAGTATTCACAGCACATTCTTTGGGAGGTTTGAGCCCTTGGGCCGAAAAGGTTTGAGCATGTAAAATGGTACAGTTTCATAAAGTTTGCCCGTTTTAGCTGATGGGGATGTTTTGGTTTATTGTTTGGAGCACAAACTGGCTCGGAGGGCGGTTGCCCTTTGCAGGTATTTCGCCTCAATTATAGAAGTAAAGAATAATTTAGAACTGATAGTAAGCTAAATTGCTAGATTAATGGTTATTTTTGGAATTACATATTGTTGATTGTTTAAATGTAAGCGCATTTGTGGGGATGACGAACAAATTTAAGCTCTAAAAGATGTATAGTATGTTTATTGAATAAAAAGAAGACAATAATAGTAAAATAACAGTAAAATAGTTGCTCTTAGCTGTTATATCAGTCAATATTATTAGTCATACTTGTAATATTAAAATTCACCCTAGAAATATGAAAATGGATGGACTAAAAAATTGTTCAAATCTGGCTTAGTTAAATAAATTACCAGTGAACAGCCTACAGTTGATATTAATCAAAAACTAATGTTGACAACCTATTTACATTTTATTTATACGAACTAGTTGTGTTTTCGTTTTTTTGAAAATCATTTAATTGGCTGTGCTCCAGTTTTTTCTGGACTCTGAAAAGTAGATCTTTGTCAAAAAGTAATTGCGAACTGAGAATTGATTTCTGGACCTCTGTCTCTTTGCTAGCTAGTTACGCGTCTGATGAATCTTTCGTTACCTTCCTAATATTATCTATCATCGTCGCAATAGGATTAAGAACAGTAAAGAATTGTGTTGGTTAGAAATAATTGAGAAAACCATTTCCATAATTGGTCCCTCGGAAGTTTAAGGGATTTTTCAGCATTTATAAATTTATTCTTGATGGCCAACTTATGCGCTATTTAATTGTATATTAAAAATTGTCTAGTCTTTTCTACGTTAATGAAAGTTAAAGGACAGTTTCTCTTACATATCTAGATATGTATGCAGATATGTATTCATGAACATGCATGTTGGCTTTAGCTACTTGTGGTGCCTGGTCTACCTAGCTTAGCTTGCACTTAGCTTGGTAATCGAAAGTCCCGGTTTTAGGCACTTCCTATGAAAGATGCTTCAGTTAGTTCGGCGTCATTTAAGCCTACCGCTGTGTCATTAGGAACAAAAGCGAAATCATTAGGATTAAGTGCAACTGCTTTGTGCTCGTAACGCTAATGAATGTAACGGGTGCATGGGATCGGGATTGGGTTTGGGTAGGGTTTTAGGGCTGCGCCTTTATGTGGTTTTAGTACCTGCAATAAAAATGCAACACGTCGCAGAGTTTCATTCACGATTCAGGTCGCGTTGCGCTCCGGATTCATTCATAAATGCGGATTGGCCAAGAGATACGGGACTATCTGCTTGGTTGACAGGTAGATCGGGCCACGAGTGCGAACCATAAAAAGTCCACGAGCTTATTTGCGTAGGCTGGCATTTAGGCTTGCAGCCGTCGTGGGTTGGGTCTTTCCATTTCCATTAGCATAAATATTGGACATGGGGTTTTCCACCTATTCATCCGAAGATGACGGCGACAAAAAGTAGTGAAGTTGGTGATGGTGTTGGCGACGACGACCACGGCGACGACATTGGTGTCATAAACTAGCGCGTACCTATACAATGCGGCGCTTGTAAATTGCAAGAAAGGAAGTTATAAATGCCGCTTACAGCATTTCATTCATGGAAAGTCTGCCACACATACCTGTGAAAATAATTAGAGCAAACAATGATAAGACGCCATAAGTGCTATTATTTTCATAAATCGATTAATGAGGAAATTTTGTGTGTCTACATGAGCTAACACGCTCAGACATAAGTACATACGAGTACATATGGGGAAACCACGGCGGTTCCTTCAAAATGGCGACAATACGGCGTCAAGGCGGGGAAAACACGTAAGCCTTACCGAACTTAACCGACCTTCCAGAATCTGAGAGCTGATAGATAGTCTGAGCAGAGCAAGATTAGTTAGTGCCTAAGTCCATGGGCGGATCAAGGCATCCGGCTCTCTTGCACTGAGTAAGCTATGTAGATTGCATTGATCACTCCATGTGATGGACTAGGTGTGATCTTTATAGATTAGGCTTAATCAAAGAGTGAGAGAGAGCACTTCTAAGGCAATGCTTAACGTGTGATTTAAAGAAGCTGGATTAGCTGGAGCTGGAGACCATACATAGCCTTTGGGCTAAGGGCCACTGCACAGCCATTTCTAAAATACTCAATAAACTACACTTGGAAAAACCTCGAACTTTCGATTTAAACCAAATTAAAAACGCTGTCAACAGTTGGTGAATTGGCGAATATAATTGTTTTAAGAACTAAATCCTAATTTTAAGCATATTCTTGCAAGGCAACTATTTAGAATATTTTGAATTATTTTTCACTCCCACTACCAAGGGCGTAGGCAGCTTGTACCAATTAATTTAATTAAATAATGTACGATGCATTTAAAAAATAACTTATGCATATGATCAACTTCAACAAATCCAACTCAGATCCATTTGAAGGCGAAATATTTCGTCTTAATAATGAACGTGTGGTCGACTTTATATGGCAAAATTTTTTGTTGTTTTTAAAACAAGTTCATACGACTTGAAAATAGAGTAATTATTTTATTATTATTAATTATTATTGTAAAGAAGAAATACATTTCCTTGAAAATAAGGTCATTTGAAGTTGCTTATTTTTTTTTTTCTAATTTCTACGCTAATTGGGATCTAATTTACTGAATTGCTTAAATTTTCTAATCCCATTACGACGAAGTTGTCTGTCGTCGATTTTAATTTAAAATCGATGTAATATAGATATCCATTTATAACAATAAAACAGATCAACTAAACCTTACAGCTCAATTACTCACAATTCTTATTTCTAACAATTCAATACCAGAAGATCATCTTATCACTAAATCAGTCGTACCTCGTTATGACAACCAAAAGTAACTAGCATATCGTTTGGGTATAGAAACGAAAGAAAGAAAAACAAGAAAGCGGTTGAGTTCCAATACCAGTTTCGGTTGCATAAATGCATGTTCTAAATCCAACGGAAGAATTCGAGAAAATAATCGCCCCTTAATCCAACATTTAATAAAAGCGTTTTCGAAATATCAAAAGATACCTACAGAATAGTATCTTCTGATTGTGTTTCGCAACAATTATGTATATTTATTGAATTAGATTTCTTTTAAAGTAAGATTTCAAAGGGCAATCAAAAGATACCTACAGAATAGTATCCCTTCTCATTGTGTTTCGTAACAATTATGTATATTTATTTAATTAGATTTCTTTCTCTTTTCAGATAGTTTTTACAAGCGCTTAGTTCTTAAAAAGGTCTAAGGCTAAGTATTTAGAACATAATCCAAAAAGCTCCAGCCTTCAAAAATTGAAAAGAACAGACTGTGCGTAGCATGTAATTAATTATACAAAGCGCCTCAGCCGCACCCATCGAAATCGAAAGCCTCGAAAAAGGCGCTATGCTGGGCGTTACAATGGCAGCTGCCTGGGCCTGCAACAGCGCCATGTTATGGGTGTGAATGGCGGCAGGGAGGGGCGGCGGAAAACCGCACTTTAACGCGAAAGCATAAATCAAATTAGTTTTTCAAGCGAATGCACTCGACTAATTCTTTGCGACGATATCGCGTCCTCGAAATGACATCGCCGGCCAAGGTACAGGGCGCACGGATATTG